AAATTCTCGTTTTTAAATTCACATTTTCGTTCTTTTTTTAACACCAAGTAGAAGTATGATAATTAATATAAGTCGCACATAATTCTGGGTTTAACATTAAATTTTCTTCTAAGATTTTTTCCTTTTTTTTGTTTATTATTCTAATATCTCTGAATGTCAAGGGGAATTGTTAATTGTTAATTATTAATTGTTAATTGTTAATATGTCATTTTTAGAATAGAAACCTTATTTTTATTAACGTTTTTTATTCCTCTCTTTTCCTGCTAAATATACTAATCTGTTGAATTACACTTCAACATCAGTTCCCAAAAAAAATATTTATTTAAAATCAAACCCTATAAATATATCACTAGAAAATTCGATTTCAAATTTGATATTTGTCGATTAAAACAAAATATTAATAAGAATAAAAATCATTTTTATTTGTATATTTAATTTCAAGATTAATCGTTCAAAAAATGTTCTTTAAATATTTATCCAAATATGATTTCAAATTTAATTTTTAACATCGAAAATTTAAGATTTTTGCGATTTTTTCTTTCACGGAAACTTGCAGTATTTTGAAAGTTGTTTATTTACAAATAATTTTTAATACAATAAAATACTTGCATTTCGAAAAAAAAAATATTCCCGAAGCTAATATATCATATAAGACATTTTTTTCTCATCCTCACTTTTCGATATAATATATAATATATTCGACTTGAAATCTGATTGGTAAATTTTTGTTTCAAGAACATTTAAAGTATCAAAAGCATATCAAGATTTGATTTAAAAATTTAGTGATGTATGATCATTCATTATAAATTTTATTTTTCCTGATTATTCAATTTAACCTACATCCAAGCAATAAGTTAGTTCATTTAATTTATAATTTAATTTTCGTTCTTAAATGAAAGAATTTAAAGAAAACATTAAATTTATTAAAATGAAAATTAATAATACCACTTTTTCCTTCATTTTTATATTTTTCATTATATTTTATTATTTTTTTCAATATTATAAATAATTGATTAATTCAACGAATCATAAAATAAGCTGCAACTTCTTCAAAATTCTTTTCTTTTTTTTTCTTTTTTTAGCGAAGAATTTTATAAAAATCATTTTAAATAATTGATTTTTTCGAAAAATTTTATTTTTTATGAAAATAATTTAATTCATAAAAAGAATTTTATTATTTACGAAAATAATTGATTCTTGGTAAAAAAAATTTATATTATTTGTGAAAATAATTGAATTATTGGGAAGAAATTTATAAAAAAATTTGCAAATAATTGAATTCTGGGAAAGAATTTTATCAAAAATTTTAAAAATAATTGAATTTCTTCGAAGAATTTTATTATTTATGAAAATAATTGAAGTTGGGGAGAAATTTTAAAAAAATTTGTAAATAATTGAATTCCTTGTGAAATTTTAATTACTTTATGAATATAATTAAATGTTTGCGCAGAATTTCATTAATTTTTTTTTTAAATAATTGAATTCTTTTGGAAAATTTTATTAAAATAGTAGATATTGAAAAACATTGAATTGAGGACAATTTTTGAAAATAATTGAAATTTTTGCCTAGAATTTTATCAAAATTTTTGAAAATAATTGAATTTATTCGAAGAGTTTTTTTAAAAAAATGTTTAAATAATTGAATTCTTGTCACGAATTTTATTAAAAATTTCAAAAATAATTGAATTCTTACAAAGAAATTTATGGATTTTTTTTAAATAATTGAATTCTAAGGAAGAATTTTATAAAAATCATTTTAAATAATTAATTTTTTTCAATTGTGTTTGCAAATAATTAAATTCCAGCGAAAATTATATTTTTTATGAAAATAATTGAATTCATAAAAAGAATTTTATTATTTACGAAAATAATTGAATCTGTGTAGAAATTTTATTATTAATGAAAATAATTGAATTTGTGAAGAATTTTATTTTTTTTTTAAATAATTGAATTTGGGAAGAATTTTATTCAAATTCTTCATAATCTTAATTAAATTCTTTCGAAGAATTTCTTTCAGTTTTTTTAATAATTTTAATTGAAAGTTTTCAAAGTAATAAAATGCATTTTGTATGAACATTTCCTTTCAAGTTTTTACAATAATTCTCTTCCTTAATAATTGAAATTAAACAATTAATTCTTACATTTTATTAAGATTTTTAGAAAATAATCAAATTCTTTCGAAAAATTTCTTTAATTTATTAAATACAAATGAATTTCTTAATAATTATATTGATAATAATTGAATTCCAGAGAATAATTTTATTATTTTATGAAAAATAATTTAATTCTTGCGATTAATTTTACTATTTATAAAAACAATTGAATTATTTAACAGGATTAATTAAAATTTTAGAAAATAATCGTATTTCTTTCAAAAAATGATATTAAGAATTTTTTTGAAAAATTGAATTCTTTCATGAAATGTTATTAAAATTTTTAATTTACAAAGAATTTTATTACTTTTGAAAATAATTGAATTTTTACAATTATTTGTAACTTCTCAAAAATTCTCCAATTTTAAATGAATTTATTTACTTTGATTTCGTAATTTGTCGTGAATTTAATTTAGAAACAAAAATTCTGAATTTGGATAAAATTGCCAAAAAAATAAAAATGAGCAAAATAAATGTTTTCTCAACTTGGATTTGATTAAACTGGAGAAAGAGGAAAATAAAATTATTAGAATTGAACTTTGTACATATTACGAAGTTAAAGGTGTATTATAGAAGTTTAAAGAATGGTAACTAATTCGTCTCTAATGAAATAATTACAGTCAGTCTCACGTGTTCGAAGTATCGGCAGTTTATTTTGCCCTGAATGAAAATCTCGTGCACTAGTTAATGATTTTTTTTTCTGTTTTCACATCATCAATTTTTTAATATTATGGAAAAGTCGTCGATTCGCTCCACTGTTTTTTTCCTTATTTTGTGTTTTTTTTTATTTTTTTTGTTTATTCACTTTTTTTTTAATCGTATCGCTAGGCCGTCTAAATCTAAAAATATCTTTTGTACGATTCGTAAGAAAAAATAGAATTGAAACTATGTGAGCACGTGGCATCAACAGTGTGTAATACAAGTACGCAATGCTTTTTTTTTTTTTTGGAAGTGACTGCAAGTAGTGAAAATAAAAGCAAAACCAATAACAGTGATTAATGTTTAATTTTGAAATCTTTCGCTTTACTTATAAACAAATGTTTTGTAGATCATATTTTTTTTTATAGTACACACCCACATTTTTGTTGTTAAAAAATCAGACTTTCTAAGGCTCGTTTTGGGCCTAATGAAACAGAGTACATTACGTTGTGTATTTTCTTTTCTTTTTTTTGTGGGGCTTTTAGTCTAATCACAGTTTACTGACTTAACTAATTATTTACCAACCACAATATTTGATGGACCATGAAGAGATAAATTTTTCTGATCATACGTTTTTTTTTCTTTTTGTCCACTCTGCTCATACTCTTGACAATTTCATATCTCTCAACAACCTTGTACCTTGAATCACAATTCTTTCTCTTTCAATCCTTTTTTCTTTACATTAAAAATTTTTTTTTCTTTTTTCAACTTTTACCAAACATTTCGAAATAATTATTATAAATTCATTCATTATTATTATCTTTAATTTATAAAAGAACAGAGAAAATAACTCAAACGTGAGAATAATCGGAAGCGTTGTCAAAATCTCACGTTTCAGTTCAAATTGTGATTCAAGATGTTTGGTATTCATATCGTTTTTTTCCTTTTTTTTTATTACATAGTTACATATCTATAACGCAACTGCTGCCATGTTATCTTTTGTTCGAGTCATCTAACAAGGATGTAAATTGTTGATTAAAAGATATTAATTGAAAAAAAAGAGAAAATAATTGAATCCTCTCGCATCTGTCACCTTTTTTAGAGAACAGTATGTGTATATAAATAATTGAGAGAAAATCACTAGGATTTACTAAATCCTTTAAATTCATAATCGTCTTGGAAGCGATGTGTAAAATAACGTTATGTATGTGCGGCACAGTTACCTTATTCATACGCATTTCGATAAATTAAAACTATGTTTTTTTCATTCAGGAGTCGAGACTCACTTTACTGGTAAAAATGCCGAAAAATCAGGAAACAATAATTATTTCAATGACTATTAATCAATCTTACAATCTCAGAGATATGTAAACAATTCTTTCATAAACATTTTTACTATTTTCTTTCGAATTAAAAATCTTTCAAAAAAAGAAGACAAGACAAAATTTAATTTAAAAATCAGTTTACGAAAAAATAGAACTGAACATTGGAGTATTTTACAGGCGATTCTAAATCAAATAAAAGTTTATTTTTCATGAAAAATCTTTTCAGTGTTTTATATTTAATTAATTTCTTCTCTTTTCCTGATTTTACAATTTTTTTCACAAATTAATATTTTTAATGCAATGTGAAAAAAAATTATATATTTTACTTCTAAAACTCTTAATAGGAAGTCGCCTTTTTTAAAAATGCAAACATTTTTTTCTCAAGAAAATATAAAATTAAAATTACAGAGCTTTTCATATTTACAAAGTTCATTAAAAATAAAATTCTATTCATCAGATTAAATCGCCAATAAAAAAACAAAATAATTTCAATTTATACATTTGAAAATTTCTATAAAATTCTCTGTCTTGTCGTAAATTTTATAATTCAAAAAATTTTACACTATATTGTTAGAATAAAGATTAAAAAATTTTCTTGTCACTCAATAGCGTTGTACACGAATATTCTGTACCAATAAAGCAAGTCACAATTGCTACACAAAGAATGCACAATTCGTCCTTACTTTTTTTTGTTTTGCAAAATTTTTTTCATTTTCATTCATTTTTGTTATTAAAATACATATTGTCGTATGTAAAAAGCAATTTCGGCCCGAGTGAAAATATATTTTCACTTATGAAAAAAAAAAAAAAAAAAAAAAAAAAAGAATCGGTCAAGGGTATGAAATCGACTAAAGATTATTAAACAGCCTACAGCACCAACGCATAAACTCAAATAATGAATATATTAATTAGATTACAATCGATTTCCTGACATTTCCAACAATTGCAATTGAACCGCTTTGAAAATGTAAAAAAAAAATTAAAAGGCAGCATTGCTAACTTACAATATAATTACATATGTCAATAAATCTTTTATAGTTTCAGGAGATTGGTTTTTATTTATTTATTTTTTTTTAGCATCCATTACCTCAATTCTGCACGCATATCAGTAACAAATATATCATATGCGCTCTTTATTATAATGTATAGATACATGTAATTACATAACATCTAAAGCCAAGCTCCTGTAATATTTCACAACACTTGAGGCACTTAATTGTGTGCTCAAATACCATTTTCCTCACAATGTCTTATGTTACTTGCCAAAGCAGATTTTTCTATTGTATGTTATCTCTTGTAACAATTATATTTTAAAAATTGTCAGTGCCGTAATTAGGTATACAAACGGAAATAATATTAATAATAATAATAATAATAATAATAATAATAATAATAATAATAATAGTAATAATAATAATAGCAATAATAATAATGATAATAATAATAATAATAATAATAATGATAATAATAATAATAATAATGATAATAATAATTAATTAATTAATTAATTATAGATCTCAGAATTCGGGAAATAACAAGTTGTGAAAGAAAAATTTTTTTTCCAGAATATTGACGACGGAATGATAAATGGTGACCTTTTCTTTTTTTTTTTTTTTTAATATTTTTGTTCATTCCGTTTCCCGTGAAATTTCCATTTTAAAGCTTCTAGTAAAGACTAGTATATAGAACATTATAATAATTGTAGAATAATACATTTTGGAGCTTGCTTTTCTGCAACATTCTTACCTAATCATCGTTTTTTTTACATTTTGTTTAATTATACAAACTTTACACTAAGAATTATAGTACAATATCTAAGCAATAAAATTTTTTCCCCCTTCCCTTCCTCCCCTCATTTTTTGATCCACACTATTATGGCCACCGAATTTATAAATATTTAAGGCATGTCAAGGTCTCAAAAAACCAATCAAATGTGCAAAAAAAATATTTCTCTTTTCAAATGCTTTTAAAAAAAAATTGTTAACAATTACAAAAAGAAAAAAATATTCATTTTTCAAAAAATGCATTGGTCAAATTGAAAAAAAAGAAAATTGACCCTTAAAAAAAGTAAATGAAAAAAAAAAAATAGAAAAAAATAGAAAAAAAATGATAAAAGTATTAAATAAAATATTTCATCTACTGTTTTTGCTTGATTACTTATAAGACACTACAAACAAAACAAAGTCAATTGCCCAAAAATTTCCAACAAAAAAAATTTACGTTTAAAACTAATAATTATTCCAATTTAATTGACAATCTAAATCAGCCAATTTCTTAAAAAACTAAGCATCGATTTTCTGAATCGATTTTTTTTTTTAAATATTCTTCGTGACATAATCATTTCTGTACAAGATGCATTAATTTTATTTCCCTCATTCTCGCGCAAAAGATTAAGTTTGATTTCAATTCCCCCGTGATCAATATTCTGGAAAAAATTAGAAAATCCAAATTAAGAAAAAAAAAAAAGAAAAAAAACCAAAAACAAACATTTTCTACATTGTTCTTTGTGTGTGTATGTGTAAATAGCAGAGTTTGGCACAAATACAAAGATTTCCCATTTACGGCTCTGCACTATGATAAGTAGGTAGGAGAAAGGAATTAAAAAGATTAACACCTTAGTTTAACATTTTTTTTTACAAGCTAACAAATATGTACCTCCAAAATCACAGAACCAAAGCAATAACAATACTCTCCGTTAGATAGTGTATTATCCTGCCAGCAATCATATTTCTTCTTAAAAGTAAAATGGGAAATTTGGGAGGAAGGGGGGCATGGGGGGATTACTGTCTCGTGAAATAAAAAGTTTTTTTTTTGCTTTTATCATCCTTTGTCAACCAATACCACATTCATTGTAGGCGAAGTCACTGTACAATGTAAAAAGAGTTTTCTTCGTGCCCACTTTTTTTTTTTTTTGTCTGTTATAGCATTTTTAAAAGCAGCGGTAAACAATCCACTCAATCCAAATGAATGGTAATTGCTAAATATTCAAATTGATCGCAGTAGTATCTGTAAACGTTCTCGTATGAATATTACACATTGATAACATTCAATCAGAAATATGTACTTTAACATTTTCTCTTTCTCTCTCTCTCACTCTCTCTGTTTTTCTCTTAAGAATATCAGCGCAAAAGATCGTTCCTTTTTATATCAACGCAAAAAAAATTTTTTGTGAATCGCTTTCTCCTTTGCTTTGATGAGGGAAATTTTGAGAAATCCTTGGGTCGATCCATTGCTTTGTTACTCTCAAGTCATCAACGATTTTTTTTTTCTTAATTTTTTTTTTTCTTTAGAAGCTACGAACAATTGATCAGAGGAAGGACATTATGAATGAGCAGCTTACTTACATATCGGCTTACGCATTTCCATCCCTTTCATCTGCTTTGTGTTTTGTACATGGTAGTTCGCGACAATGTTGGGCTACTTGGGCATAACTTGGCCTGGTAAGATCCTGTACAAAAAAAGAAGAACAATTACATTTTATATCAGGAAATATTTAACGAATATAATTCTTTTCATAAAAAGTAATTGGGATTTAGCTAGTAACGTTTACCTATTCCTGCCCTATATTTTATTTTTCTCCTCTTCCTATTGTACTAATTAAAGAAAGATGGAAAAAATAGAGGTAAGAAGTAGGTAACCACCAGATGACGTTTGAAATTTAGCCAATCCCAATAACTAAGATAATAAGATTAAAGGCAGTATAAATAATATTAAAAGAATAAAATTTATAATAAGGATGAATTTACAGGCTTCACAGTGTCCCTAAAAAGTATTTTAGGGGAAATAAGGGACACTTTTAGGGGACCATAAAAATTGGTTAAATAAAGATAAAAATATAATTTATTTATACAGGGTTGCCACAAAAATTTAACTTTAATTTTCCCTCACTTTTCCCTGATTTCCAAACACAACTTTCACTTATATTTTTCCCTGACACTAAAGAATTTTCTCATTCACTCTAAAAATTATTAGATACTCAAAAAATGTTCTATTAAATTTATTTACAAATTTCTTCGAAAGTAAAATTATTCGAAAACATCAATAGTTTTCTTTAAAATAAATATTTCATCATTTTTATTTCATTGGAATTAAGATGTTCAAAAATTTTAAATTCAAACTTTTTCAAATTGAACAACTCATAAGAATATTATTAAAAAACATAAAGATGACCGACTGACAAAATTATTATTATATAAAAATTAATTTAAAAAAATTAATTCTACCAAATTGTTAGTTAAAAGTACGAAAAACAATAATTTAATTCTACGAGAAATCAATTATTTACATACAAAGATAAATAATATTGAATGTTTTTTAAAATTTAATTTTTACGAAGAATTGTATTAACAACTTTTGAAAATATTTAATTTCCTTTAAGGAATTTCATTAAAATTTTAATGAAATTTATTATATTTAAGAATTTTATAACAATTTTTGAAAATAATTGAAAACTTTTTGAAGAATTTTATTAAATTTCTTTAAAATAATTGAATTTCTTCGAAAAATTTTATTACTTTTGAAAATAATTCAATTCTTGTCATAAATATTGTCATTTATGAAAATAATCGAATTTTGTAAAGAATTTTATTAAAATTCCTAAGAATTATTGAATTTCTGTGAAGAATTTTATTATTTATCAAGATAATTGCTTTTAAACTTGTGTAATAATTAAATAATATTTAAAAAATTCATTCTTGTCATAAATAGAAATTTTTTTCGAAGGTTTTGTATTAGAATTAGTGGCAGTTTCATAGTTTACGAGTCAAACAAAAAAGACACCAAAAATTGTGAATTTTCTTGTGAATTCTAAAAATTGAATTTTTTCCAGTACTTTTAATAAAAATCCCTGACTTTCCCCTGATTTCCCTGACCAATTCTACTTCCCCTGACTTTTCCCTGACCGTGGTCAGGGAAAAAAGAAGAAATTTTAGTACAATAAGAAGTACAAAGGTAAATATCAATTTATATTTAACTAGTCTTTAAAAATATAAATATAAAAATTATATAAAAATTATAAATTATATAAATTCAAAATATTTATTTTGTTAATTTTAATTTTCATAAAATTTTGTTTTCAGTTTAATTATTAAACCAAGAGTCTTTTTAAACACATAAATTAAATAAACAAAAAACAAGTTTTTAATCCATTCACATCTTAATTAAAGAACATCTACATTCATTTGTCTGAAGTAACCCAACGGTATGACACTGTATAATAAACCCTGTAATAAAACTACAAAAAAAAAAGTTCGGGTTAAATTTAATAAAAATTCACCAAAAAATAGTTTTTTTTTGTCGATTTTTATGTTATATTTCCAAAAATAAATGTAGAAACTGGCTTACTAATGCAAAGCATTTTAAAGTAGGTATTTCTATCTTAAAAAAAAATTATTAAATTTATTGCAGCTGTTTAAGAGTTGCAGCATTTTGAAATAGTAAAAATAAAGAGCCAAAAGTGTTTCGAAGAAAACAAGTATAAATACAGGTTGATATAGGTTCTCTTCACAAGGGTTTTTTTCTAGACAACAAACCTCAAAAACTATTCTTTTTAATGTTTTACAATATTTTATACACATTCATGCGTTCCATAAAACACGACATTGAAATTTGTAAAAGTTAGGCTAAAAGTGTCCGTCGTAAAGGATAATTCAAGAATCTATTATAATATACGCAATCAGTTATAAAAATATTAAAACTTTTGATCATCACTGTCCCTCATCATATTTTATAGACTTGTTCACAAAAACCCAGCTCACTACAATAATTATTTTTAGAGAAAAAAGAGCAACATCATTAAAATTAGGAATCTAATAGTCACTTGTTGTTAACCCTTTAAAGACAGGACGGACACATTTTAGAGACAATTTTTTATGATAATTTTCTCGTCGACAAGGAATTTAAAAAAATCTAGGAGAACTATTCCTTACATCTTAGACATTGCTCTTTCGAAATCTGCACAAAATTGAGAAAAACCAAAAAATTACGGCCATTTTTTTTTTTTTGGAAAAACGTTGTTTTATGAAAATTTGTTTTCGAAGGTATTAATTGAGCTGGTTACAAATCTGAAGTCTAATTTTAAAAATTTTAAATGGCGGAATTTTGATAAAAAAAATAATAAACTTTAAAAAACTTTTGTGAAATTTAATAAAGTTATATTAGAATTTAATTAATATTCTTGATATTCAGGGCTCGAACTAGTGAAACAATACTATAAGTAAATATAAACTACACTATAAAACATGAAGATAGCGATTGCTCCGAGTCGAAAACTCGGAGTGATCGATTTCTTCATGTTTTATAATAATTAAAGATGACCGAGTGATAAAATCATTATCAATTCAACTATTATTTTCAAGAATTTTTAACTAAAATTCTTCCTTAAATCGATTATTTTTAATAGTTTTCGAAAAAGTTCTTTGACAATTTTCAAATCCATTTCTTTACAATATTCAATTTTACGAAATTTCAATTATTTGTAAATTCTCCAATTAAATATATATATATATATATATATTAGAAAATAAAAACTTTAAATAATATTAAAAAAATTCAATTAAACTTTTTCAACAAAATTAATTACAAAATTCAATTATTTCTAAAAATTTACGCTATATTGCTTTTAATATTCAATTATAATCTAAAATTTATGACAGAAATTCATTTTTAAATCAATTTTTATTAAAAAATTCTACATTATCTAAAATTTTATCTGAAATTCATTTTTAAATGAATTTTTAAGAATAATTACATTTTTCGAGAAATTCGATTAAAATTGTATTAAAAATAATTGAAATTCTGCGATGAGAGTTTTATTATCTGTGAAAATAATTGAATCCATAAGAAGAATTTTATTATTTTTGAACAATATTTAATTTTTGCGAAGAATATTATTACTCTTGAAAATAATTAAATTTCTGCGATAATTTGTAACTTTTCTAAAATTAAATTTTTATTTCGTGTTTCTAATCAAAGTCTTCTATAAATGCAGTATTTTTAAAAATTTTTAAAAAAGCTCTTTGAGAATTTTCAAATTCATTTGTTTACAATTCAATTTTACAAAATTTAAATTATTCGCAAATTCTTCAATTAAATAGATATTAGAAAGTAAAAATTTCAAAAAAAATATTTTTAAAAAATTCGTAATTAAACTTTCTCAAAAAAATTAATTCCAACAGAATTGTTTAGTTAAAAAAATGAAAAAATCGAATTTTCAAACATTTTAATTTGAAACCTTTTCAAAATTCCATTATTTCTAAAAATTCACTTTCTAATGCTTCAAGTATTCAATTATAATCTAAAATTTTAACCGAAATACATTTTTAAATAAATTTTCATTAGAAAATTCTACCAGAATTTTATCAATAAATTTTTAAATAATTGAATTCTTTTGACGAATTTTAATAACATTTTTAAAAATAATTACATTTTTCGACGAATTCGATTAAAATTGTAACAAAAATAATAGAAATTCTGCAATGAGTTTTATTATTTTTATGAAAATAATTGAAATCCTAAAAAGAATTTTATTATTTACGAAAATAATCGAATCCATGTAAAAATTGTATTATTTATGAAAAAAATTGAATGATTGCAAAGAAATTTATAAAAAATTTTCTAAATAATTGAATTCCTATGTGAAATTTTTATTATTTTATAAAAATAATTAAAGGTTTGCGTAAAATTTTATTAAATTTTCTTTAAATAATTGGATTTTTATGTAAAATTTTATTAAAATAATATATATTAAAAATCATTGAATTGAGGAGAATTTTGGAAAATAATTGAAATTTTTGCCTAGAATTTTATCAAAATTTTTTTAAAAATAATTGAATTGTTTCGAAGAAATTTATAAAAATTTGTTTAAATAATTGAATTCTTGCAACGAGTTTTATTAAAATTTTCAAAAAAATAATTGAATTCTTACAAAGAACTTTATTAATTTTCTTTTAAATAATTGAATTCTAGCGAAGAATTTTATAAAAATCATTTTAAATAATTGATTTTTGTCAAAAAATTTTATGAAAATTGTGTAATTATTTACGAAAATAATTGAATCTCTGTAAAAATTTTATATTATGTATTTATGAAAATAATTGAATTATTGCGAAGAAATTTATAAAAAAAATTTGCAAATCTGAATTCTGACAAAGAATTTAAAAAAATTTTTGAATACAACTGAATTTCTGCAAAGAATTTTATTACTTTTGAAAATAATTGAATTACTGCAATCATTTGTAATTTCTCTAAAATTCTCCAAATTATATCGTACAATTTACGATCTTTTCGTTTTTTTATCAATCAAATTACGGACTTTACGGACCTTTTTTCAAAAAAACGGACTTTTACGGACTTGAATCAAATTTAAGGACCTAGTCCGAGCCCTGTAGAATTTTCATGCGTCCCGATTGACTGTATTAAAGAAAAGCAAATTAATTAATTAATTTCAAAGAATAAAAATTTGAAAACAAATCATGCTAAAGTTAACTATAAAAAATGGAAATTATTTTCTAGGGAAAGCAGAGTTACGAGATTGAGAGAGAGAGAAAGAAAAAAAATATAAAAAAACAAAACTTACTACAGGAAAGGCAGAGGCCACTCCAGATTGCGACTGGGTATTCTGGGTGGCAGTAGGGATGTCACAATCGCACCTGGTCACTGGTTCGGACTCTTCTGCTGCTTGTGCATTTGTACTTATGGCCTCATCCACACCATTCATCAAGTTCGAGTCATCAGTCTTTATAGATCTGTCAGTGGTGCATTTCAGTGATAAAGGTCTTTACCTAAATTACTTACATGTATATAGGTTGTGTTAAAAACAAACTTTACGCACACCAAATTCAATAAATTTACAAGACACTAAATGAGAAAATAAAAAGAATCATTTTTCTAAAACTAAATAAACAGAAAAAGAAAAGAGAAAGAATATATGAGAGAAAAAAAAAACTTTTCAGGGATCGGGTCTTGCAAGATTTTTTTAACTCACAATTAACAAACTGATATACATTTATTTTTTATATTGACAATAAATCTATAGTTAATGATTATTTGCAATCAAAACAAATCTATATGGTTAGAAAATAAGATTTACTAGTTACCTTAAAGGCTTAAATCGAACTTATTTTTACATAGAAACTCTTTTTAATGAAACTTTCAACAATATTAATATAATTATAATAATAATAATAATAGTAATGAAACGTTAAATTACTAACGCAGTCTGATTCTGCTATTTTTTTTACTATCGCAAATATTTCAGTGCTATTCACAAAAAACTATTTATTATACAGTGACATACATCCGTACATTGTTTGCACAGCGACAGTTTTTTTTAATTTTTTCATTTGTTTTTTTTAATTAGCAGATTATTTTTAATCTAGTAAAACTTGAAAAGTCGCTACAATAATCGTTTTAAAAAGAATTATTCTAATTTTGCGTTTCTTAATTGTAAATTATTTCTTTATTTACTTATTCTTTTAATTGTAAATTCTGTTTCTTTTCGTAATTATAATAATTTTATTTTTTCTTAATGTATATCTTTATTTTTTTTTGGTTTGTTTGTTAGGACAATGTCCCTGAAAAATTTTACAATACAACTGAATAAAAGTGGAAAATCTATTTTAACACAAAAAGAAAGCATACACCATGATAAACCACTAACTAAAAATCAATTATTAATTATTATCAATAAACTACTGATCAAGCACAAAAAGATAAAAACAAAAAAAAGTATTTAAAAATTTTTATTTTTAAAAACCTTAATGAAACTAAATTCTAAAACTAAATTCTAAAGTCAATTTAAAGATGTTTATCCATTAAAATTGTACTAAACGAATAAAACGAACATTAAAGAAACTTGTTTAGTGTTCAAGGCAGTGTTTTCATTACGAACAAGACTCTTCTCCATAATCACAATATTAATTTTTGTTTGTGAAAAAATTTCACCTAAATTAAGCAAAAATAAAAAAAAATATGTAACAGTAACATTTAATTTTTAAAATAACAATAACCCCTCAACTTTTATGATATTTCAAATATCGTACTTAAAAACTTTCAATTTCTCCCTTGAAATTATGGCAAAACATTTTTTTCTTTTATTTAAAACTAAAATACCAATTTTCGTATTTCAAATAATATTTTTAAACTGAGACAAAAGAATATTTTTCTTTTTCTGGTTAATTAATATTTTTGTTCCAAAAACATTTTATAATTCTTTGAAGAATTCAAATTAGAATTTAGAAATTTTTTTATTTTGCTTTTTAAAGTTGAGTTTTGTTTTACGATTGTCAATTTAATCTCAATTGATAGAAAATTTCCAATATCATTGAATGTAAAAATATTGAGAGTGAAAAAACCTTCGTGACCCTAGTTACCAATATTTCCAAACTGGATTTTCTTATTTTTCTTTTTCGTATTTTTTACAGCATTTCTCAATTATATATTTATTCGCATAATAAAAGAAATAATTAAAGAATAATTAAAGAAAGTTTCAATTTAGTTATCAAATTTAAGTTTTTCTGTCAGAATTATCAAGAAAAATATTTGCAATTTAGAATTTTTAAATCTCTAAGTATTATTTAATGCAACGTATTGTTAACGTTTTACTTGTACTTTCTAGTGATTAAAAATTTATTCCTAAACTTTTATTTAAGATCGTTTAAACTTTAAAAACTAAAAATTTACTGTATATAAATTTTTGAAAATTTTAATTTAATTTCTAAATCTAGTCTAATAGAAATTTTCAAGCAAAATGCAAAAATACTAAAAATTTCACCTTACATTATTTTAAAAAGCAAAAAATTATTTTCATTTAAATAGAAAAAAAATAATTAAATTAAATTTTAACGACAGTTTGAGAAAGTCAATATTTAAAAAATTGGTTCGAGTCAAACATTTTTTTATTACAATAACTTTGTGACTTTCTTAAATATTTTTTTTTTTGTTAAAAGTATTTTAATTTAGTTAATGAGAAAAATTGTTTTTTGAAAACGTATTTTTAAGTTTATCAAACAAAAATAATTTTTTTTAAATCTAATTCAATGAAACTGGTTAATTTATTGTAAAAACAGTTTTTCAAAATATCAGTTGCACTTGAAAATTTATTATTTGCAAAATTTTGCATTTTTCCAGAACTAATTTTTTTGGAAGTCTTTAAAAATGAAAGTAAAAAAAATAAAGAAAAATTAATAATCTAAATACACAATTTACGAGAAATTAAACCGTTTTTCTTTTTCTTTTTAGGGCAATTCCAAAATTTTATATTTTTAAATTAAAACGCACAATATTAATTAAAAATTATTTCAGAAAAAGTGAATTAATTCAATTTTAATTTTACCGCTTTGAGCCATTAAATAACAATTTAAAATTCTCGAAATAGCAAATTAATCAAATTGTTTGGTTTATTCTGTTGAAAATAAACCATTTTTGAATACATTTTTGTTTTAATTTTGCCATTTTTTATTTTGCAAAAGAAAGTCGTAAGCTCCAAAAAATACGAAATTTTATCAAATAGTTAATTTTCAAATTCGATTGAAATTTTTAAAAATATTAAAAAAATTATTTAAAAAAGTTCAACCCCTTGACACAACTTCAAACAAAAATGCTAAAACTTGACAAATAATAATTACTTAACAATATGTCAAGTGATTGTTATTTATTGTTTAATTGTTATGTTTTAATTATTTCAAAAATATAATTCAATTATTATTTAATTATATACATTTTTTGTTTCTATGTTTTTAGTGTACAATTTTAATTTCCATCCAATCTTTACAAACAATATTTTATTATTTAATTTTCACAATTTTTCACAATTGAAGTGATTTGAATAAATGACGTAAAAATTTCTTAAATCTTGAAGAAACTATCGAAACTATTTATGCAACGTTACCCTAAATCTGAGAAATGTTACTCACTAACAAAAAAAAAAAAATGAAATTTTTATCCAATTTTAACTTTTAATTGTTTAAAATGTTAAAAATTATCCCTCCACCAAAACGTATTTCTAGTTTAAATAAAATTTTTTTTATTAAAAAATACCAAAATATTTAGTATTATTCAATAAGTTTTTCCACTTGAGAAAGAATCTGAGAAAAAATTGGAACAAAAGTTAGTATGTCATAATTTCGTATTTTAAAAGAAAAAAGACAAATTGAATTAAATTAAAAATTGCATTTGAATCCAAATGCAACTTTAAATTGTTTAAAATATTGAAAATTGAATTTTGTACTCTTCTACCAAAATGAATTCTCTTTTTTTCTTAAATACAAAATCATGTCTAACATTGGACTAACTTTTGTTTTGACTGTCCATCAGATTCTTCTTTTAAAGAAAACAAAATAGAAATAAGAAAATAATTATTATTTATATGAAAACTGAACAAATTTAAGACTTAACAAATTTATAAGCAACAAAATGTCATTTCTTAAAATATTCCAGTGATAGAATTTTATTTAACAGAATTTCCTTTTTGCAGAATTTTCACTTGACATAAACCTTGTTTAATTGAATTTAAATGAATTTCAATTTCCACTTGAGGGAATTTAACTTTAATTCAAATTTTATATTTAATTTCTCCAAATGTGGATTTGACTAAATTTACAATTGAGAGAATTTCTATTTAACCTCCTTTATACATATTTGGAAAATCTTTCTATTTAGCAGAATTCTTAAGGAAGAATCTGATGGACAGTCGAAACAAAAGTTAGTCCATTTACATAATTTCGTATTTAAAAAAGGACAAATTAAATTTTGAATTTGGTTTGATAGAAGAGTAAAGGATTTAATTTTCAACAATTTAAAGATGCATTTGAATAAAAATTACAATTTGCTGACAATAAAAAAGTTTGTTAAATTTATAATTAAATTTGTTACCCAATCCGTTTCTTATTGAAAACAAATTGTAATTCTTATTCAAATTCAACTTTTAAATTGATTAAAATGTTGAAAATTAAATTCTTTACCCTTCTATAAAGATTTATTTAAATTACATTTGATTTTCTTCATTTGCTCCGAAATATTTCGGACAAATCTTCGTTATAATTCTTACTAATAATTATTTTTTTAAAGTAAAAATTGGACGAAATAAAAATTCTCGAATTTGGAAATTCGGCTAATTTAACATTCCATTAAATAAGAATACTACTAAATTAAATAAAAATGTTTCAAAATAACAACCAACAACCACTTTCAGATGAATTTCTAATCGTCAACCAAACCCAATATTTTCATGAAAAAGAGGGGCTCATGAATATCGCATAAAAATTATTTGTTAGAATATTTATTAGACAGAATTTTTATGTCCCTAAAGTTTCGAACATTCAAATGAACGACGATATTTTTATTACTTCTTCCAATTTGAATTTCATTTAGAAAAAAATATTTATCAGAATTTAAGTGAGTTAGAACATTTAAATGAAATTTTATTATATATAATTTTATTTTGTTCGAATTTTAATTTTCACGAATTGTTATTTAGTAGAACTCCTAAATTGCCGAAATATCAATTAAAAAAATTTATCTTTGTCCGAACAAATATTCGGCAGAAAGATTTCCTAAAAAATATTTTTTAATCCTTTTTGTCTAAAAAAAGCGATTTCTAATGAAATCTGTTTTCTAAAAAAAGTTTTTCTAACAAGTTTTAATTTCAAAAAGAAATTTTTTTAAAAAGTTATGGTTTCCAACATTTATTTTCCGAAATTTAGCTGTAAAATTTAATAATTTTGATAAAAATTAGAAAATTGTTAAGAAATAGAAACTATTTTGCATATTTTCCGTTTTTCAATCACAATTCTGTTTACAAAATTGTAAGTTTCTTTTTGAAAAAGAAGAAAACTAAAATTATTATTTCTCATTACAATTTGTTAACAAAATTTTGTTCATATCTGCAAAAAAAATAATAATTTCCATCATTTTTTATACCAAAATTTCCAGAATTAATTTATTTATAAAATATTTATTTAGAAAATTTTAAATATCTTTAGGAAAAAAATCCCTATAGTTTCTATTTTTTAATTACGATTTTTAACTAAATTATTTTAAAATTTTGTTAAAAAATTTGTATAATAATTTATATTTTTTATAATTTCTTAACGAAATCTCAAGTATTTTTTTTGAATAATTAAAAAATTTTCGTAAATTTTATTTTCTAATCATACTTATTGATCGTTATTACAAAAATTTAATATTGTTAGAAAAAACAATTTGAAAATTATTATTAGAAAAATAAATTTTTGGAAAATGACCTTTATTAGAAGAAAAAAACTTTCGAAAATCACCTTCTTTAGAAAAAATTTTTTTTAATTCACATTTATCAGAAAACAAATTTTTAGAAAATACGTTTTAGAAAACCTAATATTGTGTTAAGTAATATTTTTAGCTACGTAAAAATGCGCGTTAATTTAAAATCTAAATTTTTTAAATCAGTTAGATGAATTTTATATCCTAATAAAATTCATTTCCTTAAACTTTTGAACGTTCAAGTGAACGAAATATTTTTCTACGCATTAATATTTTTGAAAATTACTAGACTGGAATGAAAAATATTGCAATTCAATGTTTGTTTAGACAAAAATTAATTTTTTAATTGAAAAAAACATTATTTTGCAAATAAAATTCAAATTGGAAAAAGTAATAAAAATATCGTCGTTCAATTGAACGGTCGAAACTTTAAAATTTTGTCTAATAAATAACAAATAATTTTTATGTGATATTCCTGCGCCTTGAAAAAGAAACCTAATTTGTGTTAGAAAAAATGCGATGCAGAAAAATAAGAGTGAAAATCCAGAATATTGAGAGAAAAATCTAATCAAAGTTGACGAATTGATTTTTACAATTAGAGATTAAAGGAAAAATCTATTCGTGCAAGCCCAATGAGAGAGAGTAACGCGAGAGCTACTTCTAGGAAAAGCAGTGTTTTTGAAAAATTGTTGATGTATGTATGAGAGAACAAAGCACACTCACTTATCGGGAGATGACGGGGGGGTGAGAGTAATGGTGCTCAGAGCATTGTCTGTGACTTCGACGTTGCTGGCCGAGGTATTGGAGTTCGATGAGGGAGCGGCGCCGGAAACTGAAGACGAGTTGCTTGGTCCAGCATTCTCCTGCGAACAACCGGCGGCGGCGGTAGCAGTGTTGGCAACAGTGGTGGTAGCAGCGGCGACGACGGCTGCGTGAGAGGAGCCTGGACTCGCGGACCTACTGCTATTACTGATCTGGTGATGGTGGTGATGGTGGAACTGTTGAGCGATCCCTGGTTCCTTGTCCTTTGTGCTTTTTATTTTAGCCGTGCCTTTGACTACGTCGGCGAGTCTGTTTTGCGACTGCGAACATTCAGCGGTCACAGTCTCCGTCGTTGGATTGTGTGACTTGGTGTGATCGGCGTCTAAGCCGGGAAGCGGTGGGAAAGCGGATGCCTCAAGGTCGAACTGGACCCCTCGATTGTGCTGCGTATTACTGGCCGGAGCAGAATCTCTATTCGAGGGTTGTGGGCTGCTGTTCGCCTTCGAGGTTGTCTCTTGATCTTTGGTCCTGCGATGTATGCGGTGACGCGTGAATTGTACTGCGCTCGTCTCAAGGGTCTGAGCATCGCCCTCCTGAGAACCCTTATTGTGACTGCTGTTGTATTGCGTCTCGCCAATCGAACTGTTTGTCGAGTGGGAGGCGTGAAACTTTGTGCCGACCTGGTAGGAAGAAGCAGTGGGTTTTGCGGTGGGTAGACTCGGTGCCAGGACTGGAGTCGCTGTTACGATCGGAACAGGTCCTCCGCTCAGTGGAGGGTGCGAATTGCGAGGCATTGACATGTTGCCTCCACCGCCGCCTCCCACACCACTTAAACTCCCGTCCACTAGGACATTATTGACGCCCATGCCACCACCGCCGCCGCCACCTCCTCCTCCTCCACCGCCTCTCTCCGGTCCATTCCTCTGCTTGTTTCTGGAAACCAAATTTATATCTTCAAATTGCTGAAAAATTATAAACCGAAACAGGGTTGCCACAAAATTAGTCATTCTAATTTTTCCATAAGAATTAAAATTTTCAAATCCAAACCTTTTTGAAATTAAACAACTTACCAAAAATTATTATAAAACATAAAGAAATTTTTCGAAAAATTTTCGTTTTTTTAGATCAACTTTTTTCTAAAAAAAATAGTGATTTTTAATCTTTCAGCAAGCTTTTCAGGAAAAGTTATTAAAATTTTTTATTTAAAGATCAGTATGTAAAGTAAGAAATTTGCTACATTAGACAAAAATAATTAAGCTAAATGCAATAAAAGAGAAGAAAAATTGTTGAATTTTAATAAATTCGGTTTTTCGAAATTTTCATAATTTTTTATTTTTTACCAAAGGGTGGAGACTATTAAACAAGTAAAAAGAAGAAAAAAAGAAGAAAAATTTTGAATTTTAAGAAATTCGGTTTTTTGAGTTTTTGCTAATTTTCCATAATTTTAGATTTTTTACCAAAGGGTGGAGACTATTAAATAAGTAAAGTATTTTTGAAGAGCCCAAAAATAATAAAGCTAAATACAGTAAATGAGAAGAAAAAATGTTGAATTTTAAGAAATCCGGTTTTTCGAATTTTTGCTAATTTTCCATAACTTTAGATTTTTTACCAAAGGGTGGAGATAACAAATTAGGTAAAGTATTTTATAAGAGCACAAAAATAATAAAGCTAAATGCCATAAAAATGAAGGAAAATTGTTGAATTTTAAGAAATTCGGTTTTTCGAAATTTTCATAATTTTTGATAATTTTTGATTTTTTACCAAAGGGTGGAGACTATTAAATAAGTAAAGTATTTTTGAAGAGCACAAAAATAATGAAGCTAAATGCCGTAAAACAGAAGAAAAAATGTTGAATTTTAAGAAATCCGGTTTTTCGAATTTTTGCTAATTTTCCATAATTTCAGATTTTTTACCAAAGGGTGGAGACTATTCAAATAGTAATATTTTCCTACTGAAATAGCTAATGGTAACTAATTATTATTTTTTTTCGGTCAAATTAAATTCTCGGCTATTTCGTGATTTTTCAGATTGGTAGAAACACTGTTAAATGTATTGGTAGAAACTAAAACCCTTCGAAGACGTGTACGACAGCTAGTTTTTAATAATTTTTGAAAAAGTTTTTTGGGAATTTGCATATCTATTTGTTTACCTACAAATTTTATGAAATTTCTATTATTAGGAGATTCTTCAATTAAAAATATATTAGAAAATAAAAACTTCAAATAACGTACACAAAAAAAAAATTTAACTAATTTAAGAAGAATTTGAATTATTAAAATCTATGTTCGTCAATCTAATGCCTAACTTGTAATAAAAATTGTTCATTAAATAATTTCTAAGTACAAGTAATTTTATGATAGTTCTTGAAGAATTAAGTTATTTAAACAAAAATTTTTGGCAGAAATAGAAAAAATTGAAGATTTTGTATTAGAATTTGCGATAATTTCATAGTCAATTTATATTAAACTAAAACTAAAGAGCTCTAAACGCTATTCATTTTTTACAAAAAGAAATAATAAGTAATGAACAGTTTTATTTTCTTAATTTTTTTTTATTTTATTTTTAAAAGGGAGCCTGTCTCTAATGAATAAATTATCTTTTTTAGATTATAGAACGTTAAAACAAATGTTTATCAAAAACCACTTGTAAATATATTGGTTTTAATATTTTCCTAAAATTTAAATGTAACTAATTCAGATGCTAAATATTGATTTATCTTAATATGTACCTTTTTTGTATATAATTTTTAAAATCACTAAAAACGCAGGTCCTTAAATATACTTTTCCTGCGTTTTTAATTATCAAAATAAAAAAATTGAGTCTTACAATTAAAAAACTTAGAAAAATAGTTTAAAGAAATTCTTTTAAAATTGTATATAAATAAACGAATAATAGGCTTCAAAGTTTAGAAAAAATAAGTGAAATAAGTAATATTTTGAAGAATATTAGAAAAATATTCTTCAAAAGAATATTTTTTATTCTTTTGAACAAAAAATATTTAGTTTGAAAATATCTTTCAAGTATGTAGCATGTTTAAAAATTACTCTCACACAGAAAATATGAAAAATTGAAAAACGTGACTTTTTAGTTTTGATTCTTAATTATAGAGTTTTTTATCTCTAAATGGAAGCAACGTGTTTAGAAAATTATAACAAAATGTTATATTCAAAATATATGCCAAGAGCCGTTTTTTTATCCTGAACTAAAATAATTAAATAAATAAAAGAATAAAGTTCTTGAATTGTCATTTGTTTAACTTTTAAAAAAACAGAGTGGTGAAAATGTATCATTGTTGAAAACAGTAAAAAATTCCGTTACTTTAAAGCCTGAAATAGTTTTTAATGACAATGAATGAAATTACCTGCTTCTTTGATTATATCTTGTATTGTGTGGTTTGTACGTGGCGTGAGGAGTGATTCCATTCATAGTGAACATACTCGTTACATCGAAATAAGCCGGACTTGCTGCTCCCCAAGGCATCATTCCGGCTGGGTAAAACGGTTGATGCTAAAAATGATGAAAACAAAATAAGTAAAGTTATATTAAATGAATTATTATTTCTTTAAATTTTCCAAAATAAATTTTGAATTATTACTCACGTAAACGTGAACTTGATTGGCATATGGCGGCATTGTGGTTTGTGGCATCGTGGTGCCATTTGTGTACATGAAACGCTGCTGGCTTGGCTGATAAGTTCCAGGATCGTAGACTGGCGCTGGTTGAGGTGGAGTTCGATATCCATTCTTAATTCCGCCAACTCCAGACACTGTCGGCATCGGTAGCCTGTTCATTGGTTTAGCCTTGATGCGCGCCATAATTGGCTTCCCCTAAGAAACAAATGCAAAATATCATAACCACTCTTGTTCCTTTATATTTATTTATTTATTCTACACGTAGAATTTTATAAAAAGCCACTTACAAAAAGATATCAAATTTTTTTCTAATAGAAGTTATCAATATAAAATAAGTTCACATCGGCAGGCCTCGGATCGACTTTAAGGTGCAAAAAAAAGTCGCTTTAGTCGATTTAAAATAGAAAAAAGTCGTTTATTTCATTCAGTGTCATCACAAAAATTTTATTTTTTATTCTTTCTCATCTTTCACTGATTTCTAAATTTAATTATTTAAAACTTGAATAATTTCGTTAAATAAATATTTAAATACTTCTTGCTTGTTTTTATACGGGAATAAAATTTTAAAAATTTCTAATTAAAACCTTCTGAAATTTACAACTTTTAAAAATTACAATTTTAATTCTCTTAAAATTCAATTATTTTCTACAATTTTTAATCAAACTTCTTCTCGAAATCAATTATTTTTAATAATTTTTCGAAAGTTCTTAGAGAATTCAATTATTTAAATACAACTTTGAATATTTTCAGGATCTTAATTTTTGTCAAATAAATCTATTTATATTGTGACCTTGGGTCCAAAGGACCCAAGGCCACAATATAAACAGATTTATTATTTAAATACAAAAATTCAGTTCTTTATAATGATTCTAACTGTCCCAAATTTTTTAAGTTATTAATTAATTTTAAAAAAATTATAATAAAGAAGTTAAAATTAAAGTTGCATTTTATACTAAAACTTATTGCAATATTCGGAAGAAAAGTTGAAAAAGTCGTAATTTTCTAAAATAAGTCGAAATTCTAGAATTTTTAATTATATTTTATGAAAATAATTGAATTATTGAGAAGAAATTTATAAAAAAAAAATTTGTAAATAATTGAATTCCTGTGAAATTTTAATTATTTATGAAAATAATTAAATGTTTGCGTAAAATTTTATTAAAATAGTAGATATTGAAAATCATTGAAATGAAAAAAATTTTTTGAAAATAATTGAAATTAGGACAAGATTTTTTAATGACATTTTTGGAAATAATTGAACTTTGGTGAAGAATTTTGTTATTTATAAAGATAATTGGGATTTTGAAGAGAATTTTTTTAAAATTGTTTGAAAATAATTGAATTTTGGGAAGAATTTTATTACTTTTGAAGATAATAGAATTTCTGCAATTATTTTTAATTTCTCCAAAAATTGAATTTTTTTTAGTGTTTTCAATAAAAATTTGAAATAAAGATTTTTAAACTCTATTATTTTTAAAATTTCTACTTTTTTTAAAAAAAAAGTAAACAAGAAGTTAGCCGCGCGCTTTAGCGCTCGAATTGTTGCTAGTTTTTAATAATTTTTGAAAAAGTTCTTCTCGAGAATTTTCAAATCCATTTGTTTACAATTCAATTTTACGTGAAATTTTGATTACAGTAGAACCTCGGTTATCCGAGCCTCGATTATCCGAGATTCCGGATTATCCGAGGCACTAAACATGCTCGGATAATGCGGAATAACTCGGATAAAACGGATCGAGCGACTAAATTTGGAAAATAAATTTTACAAAACCACTATTTGTGATCATTGCATTTAAAATTTCGTCCATTTTTGTCATTTAATATTATTCTAACACTTTAAACACATGAAAAATAATTTAAAATTTTTAAATTTTCATTGGTTCCGTGTTATCCGAGTTTTCGATTATCCGAGGTACCTCTTCCCCACATTACCTCGGATAATCGAGGTTCTACTGTATTCGGAAATTCCTCAATTAAGGGCATTTGAACCTTGATGACGTTACACTTTGTGCAAAGCATGTGTGACGTCATCAAGGTTCAAATGCCCTTAAATATACATTATAAAAAAAAAACTTGAAATAATTTTAAAAATTTTCGATTAAGTTTTTTGAAGAAAATTAGCTCCATAGAATTTTTAATAATTAAAAGTATGAAAAATTTAGATTTTCAAAGATTTTAATTTGAAACCTTTACAAAATTCAATTGTTTCTAAAAATTGCAAATATTAGTAAATTCTCCAAAATTCAATTATTATCTGAAACTTTAACTGAAATTACTTTCTAAATTAAGTTTTATTAGAAAATTCTACGAGAATTCAATCATTTAAATACAAAAATAAATAATTTATTGATGAATTGAAAATAAATAATTAAGTTCTTGAGACGAATTTTATTAAAATTTCTTTTTAAATCATTGAATTCTTTTGGGAGATTCTATTTAAATACTAAATATTAAAAATAATTCAATTTCGAAATTAATAAAATTTCTACGCAGAATTTTATTACAATTTTTTGAAAATATTTGAATTGTTACGAAGAATTTCATTGAAAACAATATTTTTAAATTCTCAAAAACAAATTATATCAAAATTTTTTAAAATAATTGAATTCTTTTGAAGAATTAAATATAAATTTTTTAAAAATAATTGCATTTTTCGAGGAATTAATTTAAAATTGCATAAAAAATAATTGAAATTCTGCGATGAGTTTGATTATTTGTGATAATAATGGAATTATAGCGAAGAAATTTATAAAATATTTGTAAATCATAGAATTCCTGTGAAATTATTTTATTATTTATGAAAATAATTAAACGTTTGCGTAGAATTTTAATAAATTTTTTTTTTTTAAATAATTCAATTCTTTTGGAAAATTTTATTCAAATAGATATTGAATATCATTGAATTTAGGAAAATTTTTGCAAATAATTGAAATTTTGCCAAAAATTTTATTAAAATTTTTTGAAAATAATTGAATTTTGAAGAAGAATTTTATTATTTATAAAGAGAATTGAAATTTTGACAAGAATTTCTTAAAATTTTTTATTATAATTGAATTTCTGCAAAGAATTTTATTACTTTTGAAAATAATTGAATTTTTGCAATCATTTAAAACTTCTTCAAAGTTCAAATTTTTTAAGTGTTTTTAACTAAATTTCCTCGTTAATTTCTTTATTTTTAATAATTAATTCAATAAATACATTAAAAAAATTTAACTAATTTCAGAATAATTTAAATTTTAAAAATTTTTGCAAAAATTTTAATTCTTTAGAATTTCTAATGAAATTCATTCAAAATTAAATTTTGAATTTTCATTTTAATTTGAAATTAAAATGTTTTAAAGTTCATCTATTTATAATAATTGTCAACGTAACTATTTTAAAATTCATTTAATTTTGAAGTGTATAAATAAAATTATTCATTAAATAATTTCTAAGTAATAATTCTTATGATAGTTCTTCAAGAATTAAGTTATTTAAAAAAGAAATTATTGTCATGGAAAAAATTGAAAGTTTTGTATTAGAATTTTTGTTTTTCTAGAAAAAACTATTAGTAATAATAATTAATATTATAATAATAATTTCAACTTTATAGAACATTTTTAAATAAGATGAAAATAAGAAAATTGCTCTTACCTGAAACTCTCTGACTTCCTCGCGTAGAAACCTATAGGCTTTTTGAGCATCTTCGTCGGACTCGAAGGTAACATACCAGGAGCTATTATGTGCAAATTCACACGAAATAAACCTAGGACATCCTTCTCCTGAGAATAAATTCTGCAATGACAATAAATATTAATAAACACACCTCATTTACTTGACCACCTTTAAGTTCAGTTTGGCAATTACAAAAAAAAAAAATACTAATAAGAAATATTTGGAAAAACTGACCTTTACATCCTCTAAAGGAGTGTTATCAGGAATTTCTCTTAAGATAACTATACAACGTTTGTGATTGGGCCTGACTTTTTGACCCTCCTCGTCTACTTGAACGTTAGGAGACTCTCGCAGCACCTCAGTTATTAATTTAATATCCTTCGTCAATTTTTTCACTTGATTAAAGTTTGCTACTGTCCATATTGGTACATATTGATCATTATCCATTTGAGATAATAAATATGTATCATTCGCTAAATTCTCTCTGAAATAAAGAAAAAGAACATTTTTTTTCAGTCATACAGGTAGGAGATAATGTAAAAATTACATCACACTTTTATTCTTTATTTAAATAACTCTCGTCAATTTCAAGCAATTTATATTTTTTTATTTTACTTTTGTTACAAATAATAATAATGACAAAAATATTTTTCATGACTTGGCTGTACACAACAAATATTCTAAACTTTTTTTGGTTAATTTCAATTTTTCTCCCCACAACATTATTATTTTATCAGGGTGTCCAGCAAGGATTTAGAAAAAAATTCCCTGACTATTTACTATTTACTTATTTAACAAAAAATTATTATCTAATGATAGTACCAAATGCTTTTAATATTTAATTATTATCGAAAATTTGAACTAAAATTATTTTATTTTTAAATCAATTTTTACTAGAAAATTCTACGAGAATTCAATTATTTTAATACAAAAATAAATAATTTATTCAATAATTTTCCTTCTCTTTTATGGTATTTAGCTTCATTATTTTTGGGCTCTTCAAAAACACTTTACTTATTTAATAGTCTCTGTCCTTTGGTAAAAAATCTAAAATTATTAAAAATTATCAAAAATTCGAAAAACCGAATTTCTTAAAATGTAACATTTTTTCTTCTCTTTTATGGCATTTAGCTTTACTATTTTTGGGCTCTTTAAAAATTTAAAATTATTCAAAAAACCGAATTTCTTTAAAATTTATGATAGAAAGAAACAATAATAAAAATCTTCTAAGTTTTGTTAAATTAAAAAAATTTTAATTTTTGTATAAATTTTTAGAAATTTCCCTGGCTTTCAATTAAATTCTCTGACATTCCCTGACTTTTCCCTGACCAAAAAAATCCCTTGACTTTTCCCTGACTTCCCTAACTTCCCTGACCGTTAGTCACCCTGATTATTAAAATTTCTGTCAATAATTTAATTCTTGAGAAGATTTTCGCTATTTATTTTTAAAAAAAGGTAATTTAATTTTTAACGAGAATTTTTAAGAAAATTTAAAAAGAATTTAATTTTCTGAAAGTATTTTATTAGTTTTTAAAGGAATTGAATTCTTACGATGAATTTTAATATTTATCGAAATAATTGAATTTTGAAAAAGAATTTTATTAAAATTCTTTAAAATAATTGATTTTATGTGGAAAACTTTGTTGTTTATCAAGATAATTGAATTCTTTTGCAAAATTACTTAAAAATTTTTGAAAATAATTGATTTCCTGTGAGGAATGAAAAGTTATTTATGAAAATAATTGAATTATTCCATCGAATTTTATTATTTTATTGAATAATGGAATGTTTCTTAAATTTAAATTTATATAAAATTGTATTAAAAATATTGAAAATTCTGCGATGAAAATAATTGAATTCCTAAATGAAATTTTATCATTTTTATGAAAATAATCGAATTTTGTAAAGAATTTCTTTTAAATTCCTAAGAATAATTGAATTTTTGTAAACAATTTTGTTATTTCTCAAGATAATTACACTAAAACTTTTGAAATAATTAAATAATATGAAAAAATTCGTTCTAGTCAGAATTAAAAAAAAAAGTTTGAAGGTTTTGTATTAGAATTGGTGATATTGTCATAGTTTATGAGACAAACAAACGGTTTAAAGAATAAACGTTCATTTACAAAAAAAAAAATAAATAAATAAATTCTAGTTTGAAAATAATATTTTGAAGTTCAATTTTTTTCAGGGGCATTGGAACGACTGCACATTAACTGATTGTAATTTTACTTTCTAACGGTTCAAGCCTGATTATTTCTCTTTTAATTAATTACAAAGTTTTATTTCTCAGACGGTATTTTTTTAATTTGAGTTTCTTTTTACCTGCAACCACTCTCAGGGTTGACACAAAAATTTAATTTTATAACTATTACAACATTTATTTACAAATTTCTATAATTGTAAAATTAGTCGAAAACATCATTTACTTCATTTTTAAATAAATATTAAATCATTACTCTTTTTCCATAGGACTTTCAAAAATTTCAAACTCAATCCTTTTTGAAATTCAACAATTCAACAACTTATAATAATTAAAGATGACCGAGTGATAAAGTCATTATTTTCTCATAACTAAAAGTTCTTCTTTAAAGCAATTATTTTTAATAATTTTTTGAAAAAGTTCTTTTGAATTTTCAAGTTCATTTGTTCGCAATTTTAATTTGAAACCTTTTTAAAATTCAATTATTTCTAAACATTCCAGCTATAATACTTTTAATATTCAATTATTATCTAACTAAAATTCATTTTTAAGTCAATTTTTATTAGAAAATTCTACGAGAATTCAATTATTTAAATAAAAAAGTTAATAATTTATTGAATAATTGAATGTTTCTTAAAATTTAATTCTCATAATAATTCCCATAATTTATCATCAACAAAGTTTTAAATAATTGAATTCCTTTAACAAATTCTAATAAAAAATTTTAAGAATGTTTACATTTTTCGAGCAATTGGATTAAAATTGTATTAAAAATAATTAAAATTCTGCGATGAGTTTTATTATCTGTGAAAATAATTGAATCCATAAGAAGAATTTTAATTATTTTTGAACAATATTTAATTTTTGCAATAATTTGTAACTTTTCTAAAATTAAATTTTTTTTCGTGTTTTTAACTAAAATCTTTCTGTAAATGCATTATTTTTAAAATTTTTTGAAAAAGCTCTTTGAGAATTTTCAAACTCATTTTTTAACAATTTAATTTTACAAAATTTAAATTATTCGTAAATTCTTCAATTAAATATACATTAGAAAATAAAAACTTCAAAAAAATTTTTTTTTAAAAATCCGTAATTAAACTTTCTGAAAAAAATTAATTCCACAAAATTGTTAGTTATAAAAATACAAAAAATTCAGATTTTTAAACATTTTAATTGTTCTAATGCTTCTAAAATTTAATTATAATCTAAAATTTTAACTGAAATACATTTTTAAATCAAATTTTGTAAATAATTGAATTCCTTTAAAATTTTTATTATTTTATAAAAATAATATTAAAGGTTTGTATAAAATTTTATTAAATTTTGTTTAAATAATTGAATTTTTTTTAGAAAATTTTATTAAAAGAGTAGATATTAAAAATCATTGAATTGAGGAAAATTTTTGAAAATAATTCAATTTCGGAGAAGAATTTAATTATTTCTAAAGATAATATTTGAAATTTTGACGAGAATTTTTAAAAATTTTTGAACATAATTAACTATCTGCAAAGAATTTTATTACTTTTGAAAATAATTGAATTTCTGCAATCATTTGTAATTTCTCAAAAATTCTCCAAATTATATTGTACAATTTACGAACTTTTTATTTTTTCTTAATCAAATTATGGACTTTACGGACATTTTTTTTTTTAAAAAACTGACTTTTACGGACTTCAAGCAAATTTACAGACCTAGTTCGAGCCCTGAAGTAAGTTACACTTTTTTACTAAAAATCTTGGTCAGGGTGTGGTTTTTTTCTTATCAAATTTAAATTTATTTGATTTCGAACTTAAATAAATCTACAAATGGCTTTCAAAATTTTCATTAGAGTTTTTTATGAATAATTAAATTCTTTTGACGAGTGTCTTTAAATTTTTGCAAAAAAATGTTTTTTTTTATTAATTTTAATTAAAAATTTGAGAAATAATTAAATTAAACAAAGAATTTTTTCAATTTTTTAAAATAATCTTGTCTGTTCATAATTATAGTTTATAATTTGATTAATTCAATTTTATTAAAATGTATTGATACTAATTGAATTTCTGCAAAGAATATTACTATTTATAAAAGTAATGGAATCTTTCCAAAGAATGTTATTATTTATGAAAATAATTGAATTGTGAAAAACAATTTAATTATTTATAAAGATAATTGAAATTTTGATAAAAATTTTAAAAAAATTTTGAACATTACTGTATTTTTCGAAGAATTTTATGTAAATTTATGAAAATACTTGAATTTTTGTGAAGAAAATTTGAAAAAAAATAATATTCAAAAAAATTTAGTAAATCTGAAGAATTTTGCTATTTATGTAAATAATTAAATTCTTAACAAGAATTTTTTTACAGTTTCTAGAAATAATTGAATTCTTTCACCGAATTTTAATAAAATTTTTAAGAATAATTACATTTTTCGAGGAATTCGATTAAAATTGTATTAAAAATAATTGCATTCATGCAAACAATTTTATTAAAATTTTTGAAAATAATTTAATTCTTGAGAAGAATTTCCCTATCTATTTATAAAGATAATTTAATTCTTGACGAGAATTTTTAAAAAAATTTGAAAATAATTTAATTTCTCCAAAGTATTTTATTACTTTTCAAAAGAATTAAATTCTTGTGATGAATATTGATATTTATCAAAATAATTGAATTTTGGAAAAGAATTTTATTAAAATTCCTTAGAATAATTAATTTTACAGGAAGAATTTATGCGATTTTGTTGTTTATCAAGCTAATTGAATTCTTTTGCAAAATTACTTAAAAATGTTTGAAAATAATTGATTTTCTGCGACGAATTAAATATTATTTATGAAAATATTTGAATTATTGCAACGAATTTTATTGTTTTATTGAATAATTCAATGTTTCTTAAAATTGAATTCTTTCTTCAAGTTTTAATAAAATTTTTAATAATAATTGATTTTTCAAGGAATTTATTTAAAATTGTATTAAAAATATTTGAAATTCTTCGATGAAAATAATTGAATTCGTAAATGAAATTTTATTATTTATGAAAATAATTGAATCTTTTCGTAGAATTGTATCAACAAGTTTTTTCTATAATTAAATCTATTAATAGATTTTATGAAAATAGTAGATATTTAAAAACATTGAATTGCGAAAAACTTTTAAAAATAATTGAAATATTGCAAAGAATTTTATTTAAATTTTTGAAAATAATTGAGTTTTTGGCGAAAAATTTTGCTATTTATAAAAATAATTGAATTCTTGACGAGATACTCATTAAGATTTATAGAAATAATTGAATTCGTGCAAAGTATTTTATTAAATTTTGGTTAAATAATTGAAATTTTGCCAAGAATTTAATTAAAATTTTTGACAATAATTGAATTCATGAGAAGAATTTTGATATTTATCAAAATAATTGAATTTTGGAAAAGAATTTAATTAAAAATTCGTTTGCAGAATTACTTAAAAATTATTGAAAATAATTGATGTTCTGCGACGAATTAAATGTTATTTATGAAAATAATTTTCAAAACAAAAGTTTCCAATTGAAAGTTTCAACGGCACTTTGCTAAATTTGGTGTGAATTCATCATTAAAAGATAAAAGAAAAAATAGGGGAAATTTTTAAAATAGGGTACGTTTAGGGGCCATAATTAAAAAAAAGGGGGACTTTTTGGGAAATAGGGGACAGACTGTGAAGCCTGAATTTGGTGAAAAAATTCCCGGTTTGGCATAAAATTCCTGGCTTATTCCCGGTCAAATTAAATTCCCGGCTATTTTCCAGTTTTCCTGGTTAGTAGACACCCTGGTTGTATTTTGTTTCAATGTTTGAAAGAAAAGTAGAAAAAGTTGCAATTTTTGAAAATAAGTCGAAAAAAGTCTGAATTTTCCTAATTTCCCTGACTTTATTGACATGTGGCGAAAGTGTTTTAATTTTAATTGTTGTGTTTGAAATTGTCGTCATTGTCTACAATGAAAGAAAATGTACCTGGAGAAGTAATATTCAAGCTGAGAAGAGAGCATCTGTTTAAGTTGTTCTAGAGGTATTCCCGACACGGAAAGGTCGGCCATTTGACTGGTTGGTGCGGAGACTTCGCCAATATTAGTGATATCTACTGGACTGTATCCAACGGCACCTCCCATACCCATGGCAAGTTGAGGTGCAGGTTCCAAGGTGCCTACACCCGCGTCGAGCATTAATTCTCCTCCACTTGGTCCACCGTTCATGACGCCGTAATCTAAACCGGAAGCACCTCCAACCATGCTGAGTGTTTCAGGGGTGGCTGTGTAAACCGCCCCTGGTGGGAGCTTGGCAATGTCCCCATTCATGTACACGTGCCCTGCGAAACAACAAATTCAATTACTCACCGTCTTCCCACAGACATTTATTTACTTCTTTCATTCCCGCTTCTTACAAACTATCTTATTCTTACAATTCATTTTCCAATTGGCCAATTTTATTTATCATTTTATAATTACAATTCAATTTACAATTATTTTATTTATCATTTTATAATTACAAGTTAATTTACAATTCAATTGTAAAAAAATGATAAATAAAATTGGTGTTCGAAATCCATTTTTCAAAATCAAATTTCTGAAAAACTAAAATGTCAAAATTCATTTTTCTGTAATTTAACAAAATTAGCAAACGAATATATTAAAACACTGTTACTTACAGTACACAGTTCATTTATGTAAATAACATGTAAATTCAAAGAAACAATTTTTTTACACTTGATTGAAAATTTCCCTTTAAAAGAAATTTATAATTATTAAAATAACTTAAGATTGAAGTACTTAATTTAGAGAAAAAGATTGCTTTTCATTTCAACTAAAAATTTCGAATCGAAATTTAGATAATTTTACAATTTGTGTAATATCAGGAAAAAGAAAAGTATTTTTAGAATCGGTATGTTTGATGCATTGAAAAGTCACTGTGACAAATGCATTATACATAATTTTTTCGTCAGGGAAAAAAATACATTTATTAGATGGAATAATTATGATTGATTAAAAAAAAAAATAGAGAAATTTCGAAAAGAGAATATTTTTAAAATGTATTTTGTATATCAAGTTTTCGTTGTAAAATTAGTTCGATAGGTGAGAATGAAAAAAGTGTAAATTTGTGGTTATGTTGAGAGAGAGAGATAGTGGGTTTGGTGGGAATGTCACTTAACAATATTGCTAAAATGGAGTACTTAGCTGATGCAATCTGCAAATCTGAAGGAAGGTAATTGATTAGGGCATGCAAATTGAGAAATACAATACTCGAAAGTGAGAGATGAGTCCAGATGGAAGTCAGGAGTAGTTTCAAGGGGCCGATCGTTCTCCGTCCATTTCTCTCACCAGGGGTGCGTTAGATGAGCAAAGCACACGAGACCTATTCTGATATCTTTTTAGCGATTGGCAGATTCACAATTAAAAAAACCCGTGATTGAATGCGAACAAAAGAAAATTTTTTTTTGTCTATCACCGGTGTCAGTGGAGACGAGGGAAATTATATTTCGCGTAACAATGCGACATGTTAGGAAACGAGGTTTCTGCATTCAAGTACACCACATGCTAGGAGTCGCTCTCCAGCAAAAAGGACACACCGTATGGAAAAGGATGAGGGCTCGTTTTTGCACGTTTCACTAAGTCCCATTAACGGAGCTCTAAAGTGGCAGACGCGCGGTGCAAAGTGAGAATTTTGAAAGGGCAAGATATGCAATATGTTGGATGCGACTAGCCAAATATAGAGTGAGACATTGGCCGGGCCAGCAACGATCGCGCACGCAGCCCCACACGATTGACAACCGTTTTAACAGGACTCCGAAGTCCCAAAATCAATGTTAACGAGCTCATCGGACGGGGTGATTGCCGTTTTACGAACCTGAAACAACTTTTACAGTGGATGCTGGCGGCAGCTTCGCCTACTGGCTCGTGCACGAGTCTTAAAAAGATCGTGAGGCCAGGCAAAGAACACGGGCCCGTGAGCGGAAACGCACCCTTAATTCGCTCCCACGAGTCAAAATCCCTCCGGCAGGAGTACGCGCGAGCGTACTTTTATGCAGCTCGCATCGATGCGAAAAGCGGCGCTCGTTAATTTCGTTAAATCCTTACCGATAAGAAGAATCGACTCAACACAATTTCTCAAGGAAACTACAAAATGGCCGACACAGAAAGGCACATGCCGTGGCTCAATGCTTTCTGGGCAGTCGCCGCTATAACTTTAACAGTAGCCGCGACACTAGCGCGAAATTCGGGGCCGGCACTCAACTACGAAACCGCGGCAAATTTTAATTTCCCCTTGCGCCTTTTTTTTCCTCTCTCTCGTCTCTTATCTCTACCATTAAAGTTCACTTCTACTTTGCCATTCGAAATCAGCATTTTCCTATGGTATGCGGAGAACGGTCTCTTACCTTTTTATTTTTTTTCCACTATCGCGTATATTGGTGACGCACACTTTTCACTTATACACCGGACATTAAAATTACACTTGGGAGCAGGCTTGGGAGAGAGAGAGTTATCTTCTGGAAGATTGTCTCTCAAGGGCCATAATCAAACGGTTGGAACACGTGTTGAGATAGAATTTTTTCAATTCTTGCAACATCATTCCATTGTTTTTGAGCCTTCTAATTTTCTAAAACTTTATTTGAATAATAACACATGTGTGCTCACTAGAGACTTACCTTTATTATATATATACACCAACTAGGAAAAATTCAGCAACGTCCAGAGTTGTGAGTCATTTTTTTGAACATAACCGTGCGATGTCTTGCAAATACTGCGCCAGTAGCGGAATAATCAGGGGGGCATTTCCAACCCTTTTAAAACACTTTCCCCCCTTTTACGTTTCTTCTAAACTAACCTTTGACTGGAAACGAAATTTAAATCATGTTACAATTACATAATTCAATATTTAATATTTAATTTAATAACTTTAAATATTTTTACTGAAAAGGTAAGACGTAAGTACTTGAAAGAAACTTGGAGGTTAATTTATTCTATTTATTCCATTTATTCAAATTTTATTTTTTAAAGAAATACTTTTTTGTTGGAAAATTTTTCCAAAACGCAATTTTCGATGAGTGTTATTAAAAATCAAATATAGAGAATAAATTTTTGTTTGTGAAAATTAGTAGAATTGAAAATTAAGAAAATTATATTTGTTGCGAAGACACGCGTGAAAATAAATTTTCGGCTCATAGAAAAAAAAAGAATTGAGCCACTACTGACTATCTGGACCTTATACACACAAACACATATTATCAAAAGGAAAAGACACGGTTGTATACCCTTCGTGGCACACTTGCTTGCACTTGCTCATTTCTTGTCGAGGTCTTTTGATATTTCAGGGAATCCCAGTCGAATCATTTCCCTCTGATAATAAACACATCTCTTTTTACTGATTTCTCGCGACTTTACATAATATACATATAGAGGCACAGCATTCTTTGCTGTATATGTATATACACATAGAGAAAAGAGAGGACAAAAATTTGTTTTCCCAGAAATAATTTCAATTTGAAAAACCGAGACAGCTTCAATTGTCGATGTTACCATGGTAATAATCTAAAATATTGCAATTTCTAAAGAATTATTTTTTACATTTAAAAACACATGAGATTTAGCATTATTTACTTATTTAATATTTATAGTGTTTAATTTACTCGCGACAAAATATGGCTCAACTTTGACAATTTTATTAATCCCTTTATCCCATAATGATGAAACACCTCAAATCTTTTACGCACTTGATTCAAGTGTAACAGACATAAAGCATGAAAAATATCTTGCGATAGTCGATAAGAAATCAGCACGCAAAGGCATGATCGTGCTATCCGTGCCATGTAACCATTGAATAATCGTCCTTGGTCAATAGCACAACACTGCAACTATTTCTCACTGTATACAAAAATGAGATTTGTGAAAGTTTTCTCTTTTTTATTTACAAAAAAATTTTAACAATTTTTTTTTTAAATTAATTATTGGTTACATTTTTTCGAAGGGTTTAAAAAAAAATATTCCTTTCGAGTATTTTGTTTTGACTTTAGAAAAAGAAGGAACTTTTTTTGTCTAAAATTCTTTTTTTTTCTATACTATTAATTCAACATATTGTGGAACAATTAAACAATTAGGATCCAGGATATAAACTGACGAAACTGACGAAGGAAAAATCGAAATAATGAAAACCAAACTTGTTTTAGTTTCAGCAATAATTGGCATGAATTTGTAAACAAATCTTTTCAGCAATTACATAAGATTTATAGTGTCGACGAAATGGAAAAAACGGAATTTTTTAATTAATTTGAAATGTTCACATTCCTACCTTATTCTCGGTTGATAAACAAGTTTCTCGATTGGTAAGTTAGTTTCAAAATTTTTAATTAAATTTCAGTTAATTCAAACTTTAAACTAACAATGATTATTGTAAAATGCAAATTCTAATTAAGTATTTAAATATCTGAGGGGTCGTCCATATACCACGTGGACAGTTTTTCAAAGATTTTTTACCCCCCCCCCCCTTGTGGACACAAAAATACATTGGATCATGGACATTTTCTAACTTTTTAACACCCCCCCCCCTCCCAAAAGTGTCCATGAGGTATATGGACGACCCCTGATTAAAAACTGTAATCTAATATTGTATTCGAATATTATTAATAGTATATTTAATTTTTAAGTAATGTTTCTGTTCGAATAATATCTATAAAATTTATCTAAAATCTTAAATAAAATTAAATTTTTAGAAAATTCTACGAAAATTCAATTATTTAAATAAAAAAATTAATAATTTATTGAATAATTGAAAATTTATCTCAAAATTGAATTCTGATAAATTTTATCAACAACTTTTTAAAATATTGAATTCTTTTTTGACGAATTCTATAAAATTTTTAAAAATAATTACATTTTTCGAGGAATTCGATTAAATTTCTACTAAAAATAATTTAAATTCCGCGATGAATTTTATTATTTATGAAAATAATTGAATTTCGAAAAAGAATTTTATTTTTTATGAAAATAATTGAAATTTTGCGCCAAGAAATCCAAGTTCTTTAAAATTTCTAATTAAATTCATTTAAATTTGAAACTTTTTAAAATTTTTAATTAAAACCTTTTTTGAAGTTTATCTATTTATAAAAATTGTAAACGCAACTTTCTGAAAATTCAATTAATTTTGAAATACTTAAGTAAAATTAAATTATATTAAATTAATCATTAAATAATTTATAAGTAATATTTTTATGATAGTTCTTAAAGAATTAAATTATTTAAAATAAATTGTTTTATCTTATAGAATTCGTGGTAATTTCACAGTTTATGAGGCAAATAAAAAAGACACAAAAATTCAGAATTTTTTATGAATTCTAAAAATTTAATTTTTTTCAGTAATAATTTCTAAACTGAAATTAATTTGAAACTAAAATAATTTTGTTAAATTAATATTTAAATACTTGTTATTTATTTTTCCACAAGAATTAAAACTTTCAAATTTTATTTTCTGTTTTCTGAAAAAATTTAAATATTTTCAAAAAATAACAATAGACTGAAACTGTAATCCTTTTTATAATTTAATTATCTTTTAAAATTTTTTATAAGACTTCAAAAAATCTAAATCCATTAATAATGGATTTAGATTTTTTGAAGTCTTAAAATTGAAACTGAAAATTATTAAAAATAATTTATTTTTAATAATTTTCAGTTCCAGAATTTAATTTAATTTTTGGACAACTCAAATAACTAATCAATTTTTTGAAAAATTTTTTATTAAAAATTTTGAAGCTAATTTTCATAAATATTAAATTTTGTAAAAAGTAGTTTACAATTTCAGGAAAAAATGCGACAAAGCGAAGTTTTGATATAAAAAATACTAAACTTTAAAAAATCTTGTGTGAAATTTAAAAATTTTATTTTATTTATTATTTTATTTTTATTTTAAAAATATTAATTACATTTTAATATAAATTTACTAAATTTCAGAATATATTTTAAATTTTGTATTTTTTTAATCAAAATTTTGCTTTGTCGCATTTTTTCTCCAATTTATAATATACTTTTACAAAATATAATATTTATTATTTCTCCATGCATTAAAATTTTGAGAATTAAATTATTTTCAAAATTAACAATTAAAATTCTTCAAAATTATTTAAAAAAACTGAATTATATATTTAAAAAATGTAATTATCTCTCAGTTATTAAAAAATAATTTTTGAGAGATTTGACTACTTATTTCTCCCACTTTAAAAATCGAAAAGTTGCAATTCAAACCAAAAGTGTCATTTTGTTGCAATATTTAGAAGAAAAGTCGCCGCTTTGAAAATAGTTGGAAAAAGTCCAAATACTATCGAAACTTACTTGAAACAGAATAAAGTAAGAAAAAAGAAATCGAGTACTCAGCAAAATTATATTGTTGATTTTCAGACCAAGAGTTGTATTATAAACACATAGTTTACGTCCTTTCTAGAAAAGAAGCCTCAATAGGTGATTATCTTTGGAAAAATCGTCTATATTTTGAAAATTCTATTTTCGTCAATCTACCAATCAATTGAAAAAATATTATATTAAAATATTCGATAATAAAATTCAACTTGAAAATATCGGATAAAAATAAAAGCAGGAATATTGACCCTAAAAAGGATGAATAATCTAAAAAGGAAGTTCGAAAATGATTTTTTAAAAAAAAATACATTCGCTTAAACTGATGAATTGCCATTTATTTAATTAGAACAGCCACATATTTTTTTCAAAGACAAAAACAATTATTTATATACCAATATATTGTTTTAGACAGAAAGTGAAACAATTACGCCGAAAAAAAAGTGTGGCGTTTTTTGTTTTACATTATTTTCAACGTCATTTACAACTAATACAATCAATGGAATAAAAAGGCACAAAAGTTTGAGGAAAAAAATTGATCAAGTCTCAAGCACAAAACTATGGTCCTTATTATATAGGGGAAAAAAGTGAAGCAAAGCTGTAGAGTTTTATTTTATTTTTTTGTTGTTGTTGTTTTTTTTTTTTAATGAGAAGCCAATCAGAACCCTAGGAGAACTTGAATCGACCTCTCTGAACACGTCTATGGCGCCCAGATACATACTATCTAACATCAAAATTAAGATCCATCCAATTTTCTACCTGTATCTATCTCATGTACGTAGAGCTTCGTCAAATTCTATTATTTATCGCTATTACTTTAATTATGAGAAAATCGAGCTGAGCACCTAGCATAAAATCTGTAAAATATTACTTCAAGTACCGAAATTCGGATTAAAATGTGCCTATATAACGGTACTGTTTTATATATATATATTTTCTTTTCTTTTTTTTTTGTATATTTGTTTTTCTTTTTTTTATTACTGAAATATATATGCGTATATATAATAGGATGTCCCACGAAGTGTCAACAGATAGTGACCGATACAGATAATTTGAGATGAAATAGTGATGGCGTAGATGGAATTGTATTAGATAGTGGCATCGGTGGTTTGCTTATTAGAAACCGTGAACCTTGAGCTGGTCAGGTTTTGCCAGACCTGATTTAGTTAGCCACTGGCATATATTTTCTCGCTGGTCCCCCTGCAGCTGTAATACCTCCCCGTACTCCGGGTGCTCAATTACTGTCCCATTGCAGGCAAACTCCTACAACAAAAATTAACAATTAGCCTTCATGTACATACTTCATTTTTCTATTCAAACAAATTTTACAGAGCAGTTCTTTGACAATTTTCAAATGCATTTGTTTACAATATTCAATTTTGCAATTAAACTTTCTCAAAAAAATTAATTTCAAATTATGTTTCTAAAAATTCACGTTCCAATGCTTCTAAAATTCAATTATAATCTAAAATTTTTATTTTTTTATTTTTTTATTATTTATTTATTTATTTATTTTATTTTTTTAAAATGAAATCCATTTTTAAATCAATTTTTATTCGAAAATTCAACGAGAATTCAATTATTTAAATACAAATAAAATGCAAATAAATAATTTATTGAATAATTGAATGTTTCTTAAAATTCAATTCCCATAAAGAATTTTATCAACAAATTTTTAAATAATTGAATTCATTCCACGAATTTTAATAAAATTTTTAAGAATGATTACATTTTTCGAGCAATTGGATTAAAATTGTATTAAAAATAATTAAAATTCTGCGATGAGTTTTATTATCTGTGAAAATAATTGAATCCATAAGAAGAATTTTATTATTATTTTTTTTCATAAATAAAATTTTATTATTTACGAAAATAATTGAATCTCTGTAGAAATTTTGTTATTTATGAAAATAATTGAATTATTGGGAAAAAATTTATAAAAAAAATTTGCAAATCATTGAATTCTGGCAAAAAATTTGATAATAAATAAATTTTTTCGAAGAATTTTATTATTTATGATAATAATTGAATTTGGGAAGAATTTTATTAAAATTTTTTATAATCTTAATTAAATTCTTTTGAAGAATTTCTTTGAGTTTCTTTAAAATAATGGAGTTTCGTTAATAATTTTAATTGAAACAATTCTTTTTAAGATTAAAAATTCTGCAAAAATAATAGAAAAAGATTTTTAATTTTCAAGAAACTAAAAATTTCTAAAGTATACGAAAAAATGACAACTTTTGCAAGTTTTTCTTTGGAAAAGGGGAGAATATGCATGCTTTTAAATAATTTAGGCGATTTTATTAATTTAAGAGGATGAAAAAGGGGAAAAAAAGAAAACAAGTGGATTAGGTTAAAAAGGGGACTGTGATCCCAGCATTAGTAAAAAAAAAGGAAGAAGTATCTTTAAGGCTGAGAAAAGTATCAAAAACAGTAGCTGACGAAAAATTAAATTCAACAACTAAAAATCTTATGAGGTAGAAACCATAATAAACTATAAAGTTGTAGAAAAATGCATTTTGAATATTAATTTCTTAATAATTTGTAGACATCAAAATTGGAGGAACAGGAAAAAAAATGCTGTTTTAATTTTCAATTTTTCGTTTTTGAAAACGTTGCATAAAAAACGAAGAAATAAAAATTCCTTTTACCAAATTTACACAATGTGAAGAAAAACAAATTTGCAATTCCTAATTTAACAAACTGCAGAGTAATATTAAGAGTACTTTCCATTGATATGAGGTGAAAGATAAAACGAGTAGCTTCTCATTTAATACATAAGTCAATATTTTATTGCTACTAACGTCAATTAAACTGTTTCTCTTAAACGTGTCTCGACATAACACATATTTCATTATCAGCAATTATAAAAAATACCTATCAACTCACGAAATTTCTTCCTTATAATTATTATAAAATGCTAACTATCGCGTAATTTTACTCAAAAAGTTGACATCTATATTTTAATATAATAAAAATATTTTTAACATTTCATTAATTTATTTTCTAAGAAAGTATTCCGAGTTCTGATTCAGTTTACAATTTACAATTTACAAATTTAATAAATACATGAATTAAAAGTGAACAAAAGAATTCTTGAAAGAATTCAAATCAGTGAAAGTATTTAAAAATACTGACTTTACGGACAAATTACTGACAAAAATATAAACATATTCAATTATTATTTTCAAGAATTTCTAACGAAATTTTTAACTAATTCTTTTTTAAATCGATTATTTTCACTAATTTTTGAAAAAGTTCTTACCTAGACAATTTTTAAATCCATTTATTAACAATGTTTAATTTTACGAAATTTCAATTATTCGTAAATTCTTCAATTAAATATTTATTAAAAAATAAAAACATAAAACAATATAAAACAAATTCAATTAAACTTTTTCAAAATAATTAATTTCTAAAAATTCACACTCTATTGATTTTAATATTTAATTATTATCTAAAATTATAACTGAAATTCATTTTAAAAATCAATTTTTATTACAAAATTCTACTAAAATTCAATTATTTAAATACAAAAATAAATAATTTACTGAATAATTGAATGTTTCTTAAAATCCAATTCCCATAAAAAATGATAACAACAAATTTTTAAGAAAATTAAGTACCAATATTTTTCGAGAAATTCAATTAATAAAATTGTTTTTAAAATAACTGAAATTCCGCGACAAGTTTTATTATTTGTGAAAATAATTAAATCATTGAGAAGAATTTTATTATTTTTAAACAATATTTAATTTTTGCGAAGAATATTATTACTCTTAAAAATTTATTCTATTTCTGCAATAATTTGTAACTTTTCCAAAATTAAATTTTTTTGTGTTTTTAAATGAAATTCTTCTATAAATACATTATTTTTAATAATTTTTGAAAAAGTTCTGCTTGAGAATTTTCAAATTCATTTGTTTACAATTCAATGTTACAAAATTTCAATTAATATAAAATAAAAACATCAAATAATTTTTAAAAAATCCGCAATAATTAAACATTCTCAGAAAAATTAATTCCCTAGAATTTTTAGTTAAAAATATAAAAAATTCATATTTTCAGATTTTAATTTGAAACCTTTTCAAAATTAAATTATTTCTAAAAATTCACGTTCTACTGCTTTTAAAATTCAATTATAATCCAAAATTTTAACTGAAATCCATTTTTAAATCTTTGTTACAAAATTCTACTAGAATTCAATTATTTAAATAAAAAAACAATTTATTGAATAATTGAATGTTTCTTAAAATTCAATTCTCATAAAGAATTTTATTAATAAATTTTTAAATAATTGAATTCTTTTGACGAATTTTAATAAAAAATTTTAAGATTAATTACATTTTTTGACGAATTCGATTAAAATTGTAATAAAACAAATTAAAATTCTGCAATGAGTTGTATTTTTTCTGAAAATAATTAATTTCTTAAAAAGAATTTTATTTTTTATGAACATTTAATTTTTGCGAAGAATATTATTATTACAAAAATTATTAAAATTTTGACGAGGTTTTTTTTTTAAACTTTTGAAAATAATTGAATTTCTGACAAGAATTTTATTACTTTCGAAAATAATAAAATTGAATTTCTGCAATTAATTGTAACTTCTCCAAAATTCAATTTTTTAGTCTCTAAATCAATTATTTTTAAAAAGTAATAATTAAATTGTTAATAAAATCAACTAATTTTAACATTATTAATTTATTATAACAAATTATTGTATTAAGAATAATTGAAATTCTGTGATAATTTTATTATTTATGAAAATAATTGAATTCTTGCAAAGAATTTTATTATAATTTTTGAAAATAATCTTTCCAGGAATTTAATAAAAAATATGCAAAAATGATAATTTGAATTCCTGTTAAAATTTTATTATTTATGAAAATATAATTGAATTTTAGCAAATAATTTTGTTATTTATAAAGATAATTGAAATATTGACGAGAATTTTTTAAAAATGCTTGAAAATAATTGAATTCCTAAAAAGAATTTTTTTATTTACGAAAATAATTGAATACCTGTAAAAATTTTATTATTTATGAAAATAATTGAATGATTGCAAAGAAATTTATAAAAAAAATTTTTAAATTATTGAATTCTTGTGAAATTTTATTTATTGTTCAAATAATTGAATTTTTTTGGAAAATTTTATTAAATTAGAAGATATTAAAAATCATTGAATTGAGGAAAATTTTTTTAAAATAATTGAAATTTTGACAAGAATTTTATTAAAATTTTAGAAAATAATTGAATTTCGGAGAAGAATTAAATTATTTCTAAAGATAATAATTGAAATTTTGACGAGAATTTTTAAAAATTTTGGAACATAATTGAATATCTGCAAAGAATTTCATTACTTTTGAAAATAATTGAATTTCTATAATTATTTGCAATTTCTCGAAAATTCTCCAAATTCTATCCTACAATTTACGAACTTTTCGTTTTTTCTCAATCAAATTACGTACTTTACGGACCTTTTTTCAAAAAAACTGATATTTTGACAAAAAGTTAAATAAAGCAGAAAAGATTGTAAACACTTAAAAAAAGGAAATAAGAACACAGTTATAAAGAATAATATTAATAGTAACAAAAATAGTTTTTTGTCAACACGAGAAAAACTATTATTTGAAAGATTAAAGAATGAATTAATCTTTTTTTTTCTTATTCTTCCTTTAATGAAACTGTATGAAAATACAAACAGTTTTTCTCTTAAGGCATCAATTTATTAATGTATTCGCTTGTTAACTCTTTAATTTCAATTCCTGTCTGTTAGTAAAATGTTATTTGCAGTTGTGAACTTTGTCATTATTCAAGGTTACTCGATGATACAGTGAGCTTGGAATTCAGTCTGCTTCTTTTCTACACACATATCTTTCAATAAATTTGTAAATTCTATTATATTAGAAATGGGAGCGATATATGATATCTACATTTAGAGAAATTTGAAAGTCAATTTTATCAATTCATAGATAAAGTTTTAATATATTTACATTTATGACGTTTCATTGCTCACAATTGGAATGACATTAATCTTTGCGATGTTATGTAAACAAAAGTGTTTACTTGTAAGAAATATTGATAAATTGAAAGAATTATTTTTACAATTTAAGGGAAAAAATTTTTCCAATTTTCAATGTAATGAACGAAAAAAATATTTTGCGTTGATTATTTAGAAATTTTAAAATTAGCTCAACAATTCTTAAGCATGAAGAAATGGAAGAAAGACATCAGGGATCATAGTACAAGAATCACTTTACAAGAAGCGAATTATTTTCTGAAAATAGGTGATGAGATGATGACAAAAACACATAAAATAAAGTTATATGCAAAATAAGTCATTTGAATTTATTATTTTATAATTAATTATACTTTATAATTTTGGAATTCCATCCTCTACGACTTATTGTTTAAAACTTTATTTTAATAATTTTTCATTGATAAAAATTAGGACTAAATAAAATTTTGATTCATTGAAATACAAAGTCAAGTTATGTTTCTAATGTTCTGAAAATATTGATTAACAAAATTTATTTTCTTTTTCAAATTCAAAATTTTTTATAATAACAGGGTTGCTCCAAAATAATTTTTAGAAAATTCAATTAAACTTTTTCAAAAAAAAAAAATTAATTTCAAAGTTAATAGTATGAAAAATTCAGATTTTCAAAGATTCTAATTTAAAACCTTTTCAAAATTCAATTATTTATAAAAATTCATATTGTAATGAATTCAATTATTTTATAACAGAATTTTACTACTTTTGAAAATAATTGAATTTTTGCATTTGTAATTTTTCCAAAATTCAATTTTTTTAGTGTTTTTAACTAAAATTTTTTTATAAATCAATTATTTTTAATAGTTAATTAAATGTATATTAAAAAAATTGCCTAATTTCTGAAGAATTTGAATTATTAACATTTTTCAAAAATTTCTAATTAAATTAATCCAAAAGTAATTAATATTAATTTTATTAAATTATTTAATAAAATTTCAAATTAAAACCTTTTGGAGTTCATCTATTTATGAAAATTGTAAACACAACTCTTTTAAAATTCAATTAATTTTTAAAATTTGTAAGTAAAATTTATTATTAATTAAATAATTTATAAGTAATAATTTTATGGTAATTCTTCAAGTTAATTTTACTTTATGAGGCAAACAAAAAAGACTCCAAAATTCGGAGTAAATTAACATTTTAATTAACCGTGAAAGTTTAAAGAAATAAAAATAAAAATTAATTGAAAATAAACACTTTTGATAAAAAAATATTTGAAAAATTGACAAAACAGGTAAAATAGACTTGGAAAGATTGAAATAAACAAATTAAAACGGAGAAGCAGAGAGTGAACGAGAGACAGGAGTGAAATATTAACAAGAACGGAGTTGAAAGATGTTTAGTGAATGAAAACTATAAAATTTTAACTTATAATAAAATGAATAAAATTGAGAAAGTTAAGGATAATTTCCTTGTAATGACTTTGAGCTATTTATCAAGTAAATGTTTAATGGGAACAAGGTCATTCTAAATATAGTGAATTACGCGTTACAATTTTCTTTAATAAGAAGCATGATCCTTTTTCGAAAAATTAAATGACAAAGAAAAATGAATTCCGCAATCTCAAGCGTCAGTGAAGAAATCCACTTGATAGGAATTTGATGACGTATGAAAAAAAAATGGTCACTGAATATCTTATAACCCAGGAAGTCACACGACACTGAATATACCGTTATTTATTTTTTCCGGAGCAAACAATCACTATTTTGTTGTCGAAATTCTATACATATTTAGAGTTGTGATTAAAAAATGATTGCGATGAAATTCCGATGGGAGAGAAAAGAGAGAGTGTAAGGATATTAAAAGGAAGAAAGCGACAAGTAAGAGGACGAGTGATTGTCAATGCTTACCTTTTTACATGCTCGAACAATTTTCTTCAAGTCATATTCAGAAGAGAGTCCTTGTACCGTTGTTAAGGTCTTGCGACCATTCCGTTGCTGAATCCTTATATGCACGAGACCGTCCTGGACATCATCATCTGAACCCTTGATTGCATCTGCAAAGGGGTCTGCAAAACAAAATTGTTTTCGTCAATTCCCACCTCTTTGTTTTTAAAATAGAAACTTTGTGAAAGGCATCGTCCATCTTTCATTCGCAAGCACGTCAATCGATATTTTTTTTAGCGGAAAAAATGAAAAATTGAAAATAAAGTAATAAAGATGATGACTCTTTAAATTTATTGCATTCAGTGATGCAAGTGAAGACGCTGTCGCCATTTTGTCAAAACTATCTATGTGGAAACGCGCACAGGAATCATCGAGATCAAAAATTCGATAATTACCGAATGTGTTGAGATTCTGGATGGACATACGACAAACAAAATATATCCCTCGGAGATATACGACTGCAAATTGCAAATAAGCTTTTCGGAAAAATTAACGGAAGATACAAGTGAACACAGGCACTAAGCAAGAATATTGCTAAAACCCAAAAGATCTCGCGTGGAGACGGAGAACGAACTCAGCGGGAAGTAAAAGTTGCATTTGTCATGGATAAATGGGTGGGGTTAAAAACTTGACTCTCGTGTTCCGAAACCTATCGAAAAATACTCAGTAAAGTCCCGTTATATGGCAGCACTGTCGCTACTCATTTCAGAACGCATTACAAAGTTAGTGAAAAAAAGTTTTTTTTTTATTTTACCATCATCCTCTTTTATGGTATTAAATAATTAGTATTTTTTCCAATTATCTTCAAATAGATATTTACACTATATTTATAAGAAATAATTGAGATTTCCCGAATCACTAAAGTCAAATTTGCTGTTTTATTATAACTCGATTTCTCTTTTTTCTCACTTCCGGACAACGGAAGAATTACTAGTCAAGTTAATTTCTCATTATCAGTGTTAATTTAGCGTTTTTCCTTTAATTATAAACAAAAGTTTTAAAATGAAATATGGACTTTTTTTTCTCATTAAATTTACCGTCAGCGTCAAGTTTTAAATGTAATTTCAAATATAACTGAAATTTATAAAACTGTTTGAATTGATCGCTTGACTTTACAAATCATCAAAAAGAAATAAGAAAATTAAAATTTGATCATATTTTCATTGTATTTTTTTGTTTTTAACAATAAAAAAAGCAAATTGATTTTATTGGAATTTATTTTAGTAATACGCTTTATTTTAAATAATGCAAATAATATATAAATTTTTATATTAATTTTATAATAAGTGTAATTTCTTTAGTTTTCTGATGGTTGACAGCATTGACAGAGACCAGTTTTAATTTTTTTTTAGGTTAGAATTTCTTTAAGGGAGACTTTAAAAAAAATAATTAATTCTACACAATTTGTTAGTTAAAAGCACGGTTAAAAGTATGAAAAATTGAGATATTTAAAAATTCTACGGAAATTTAATTATTTAAATACAAAAATACATATAATTTATTGAATTCTCATAAAGAATTTTATCAACAAATTTTTATAAATATAATTAAATTCTTTTTTGACAAAATCGTAAATAACATTTTTAAGTTAAGAATAATTACATTCTTCGAAGAAATTGGATTAAAATTACATTAAAAAGTAATTGAAAATCTGCCATGAGTTTTATTTATGAAAATAATTGATTTTCTAAAAAGAATTTTATTATTTATGACAATAATTCAATTTCTAAAAAAATTTAATTATTCATGAAGATAATTCAATTCTTGACTAGAATTTTATTAAAATTTTCGAAAATAATTTAATTCTTTAGAAAAATGTTAATAAAATTATAAAGAATTGCATTTTTTGAGAAAAAAAAAATTTTTTTAAATAATGGAATTCAAAAAAAGAACTTTATATTTATAATATAATAATATATTTATAAAAATAATTAAATGTTTGCGTGGAATTCTGTTAAAATTTTTTAGAAATAATTATTTATAAAAAATTTTAACAAAATTCCACGCATCATTTAATTATTCTTTTGGAAAATTTTATTAAAGTCATCGTTGTTGAAAATCATTAAATTGAGGAAAATTTTTGAAATTTTGCAAAGAATTTTATTATTTGTAAAGATAATTAAAATTTCGACGAGAATTTTTAAAAATTTTTGTACATAATTGAATTTCTGCAAAGAATTTTATTATTTTTTAAAATAATTGAATTTATGCTATCATTTGTAACTTTTCTAAAAATATTTATAATTATTTTAGTGTTTTTAACTAAAATTCTTATTTATATTTATTTTTTATTCATAATAATTTATTGAATTTGATTAAAATTATAATTTTGCGTTGAGTTTTTTTTCTATTCTTGTTATGAAATTCATAATAAATAAATGTTTAAATGGAAATCATTTAATTCTTCTAAACAAATATAATTGAATTATTTCAAGAAATTTTATTTAAATTATTGAAAATAATTAAATTTTTACGAAAAAGTTTATAAATTTTTTGTTTAAATAATTCAATTATTCTTTCCTGAAATTTCATTAAAATAGTAGATATTGAAAATAATCCCCTTAAATCCTAATGGACTACGGGAATTTTGAAATAAATAAATAAATAAATAAACTGTATAGAAATAAATAAATGAAAACACTAGATTTCTAAAAAATTTGCATATTTTATTTTGTAACTACACTTTCGTACATTTTCTCGCTTGTTATTTAGAATAAATATTTTTTCGGTGCAAATTTTTGCCGCGAAACAATAAAAATATTTCTGAATTGAAATTGGAATGAAATTCTTCAGTTCTTTAAAAATAATCGATTACTGAACATCACGGCAGTTTTTATTTATTTTAACCTAGGCTTCGTATGTCAAATTTAATTTACATAAATTCTTAGTCATAGAGTACTATTGAACTGTACATTTATTTTTTTTTTATTATGTACCTAGGAAATTAAAAAACAAAAAAAAAAATTATCAATTGTGTAAAACTTTAAGAAACATTTAATTTAAAATGAATAAAATGTGTTAAATTAAAATATTAAGTATTAAGTTGTCTCCTTGTAAAGTATATAAGTATATTATTAAAAAATGAGATGTCGAATGTATAGCTCAATAGTAAATTTTTATAAGTACAAAAAAAAGGAAATTGATTATTTGGAAGAACAGGGTAAAACCTGTGCGAGTATAAGCTACATATGAATATCTGAGCAGAGGTTTAATACAAACGTATTTTAGTTCGTTATTTTTTTTCTCTCTGAGATTTGTTTTTTACAACAGTATTAATAATAGCAAAAAACGTTCTCTCAGAGAGTATATTTCGCAGTATGTAATTGAAAGTGATTTCGATGATTAAGGCTTACGGATTGAAGTCTATTGTCTCACCTTATAAAAATAGGTGATTTTTCAGTCGTTATATTCTTTAATTTAATATTAAAACAGAGTCTAACAAATGAATGTTTCAAGTACTTTTTTTATTTATAGAATTGAGATTTTCCATTTTTCTTGCTTTTACACTTTCTATAAATCGAAAAAGTACTTTCAAACACAAGTAAAAATATGGAAGGGAAAAATTTATATTCAACTTTAATGTCTAACAAAGGTCACAATTGCACAGAGAGAAGGAAAAGAAACAACTGTTCGGTAAGATAAGTTTTCCACAAATGGAAAAGAATAAATTAAACGTAAAACAATTTATCGTACAGATAAATAATTTATAAAATAAATAAATATAAATAATTTTTTTGGACAACATTTTCTTTCACTGTTAATGTTGCCTTCTCTCTCGTTATTGAATGTGACGTTGAAAAAAAAAATTATGAAACATGACAATTCAGGTACCAGCTTATAAAAAATTAAATAAATATCTAACTTTTTTTTTTAAAGAAGATTCTCTTTTAAATTTTCTCGGATTATATAGCTATTTTTTTTTTAATACAGATTGTGTCGCTTATTTATCAGTCAATTGATGTTACAAGAAACATTTTGTTTTATAATAGAAAAGTATTAAAATATACTTTTTATCTATCAGTTTGGTTGTTATATCCTGAGTTAAGAAAAAAAAATGAGATTCATTAGAAACGTTGAATGGAACAATATTAATGAAAGTGGACTTAATATAAATTTATACGGAATTACGGAGTAGTGAGATTTTTTAAAAATGGACGTTTCTTGTCAAGTGAAAAATCTTAGGCTAAGATTTTCATTTTATTATTAAATTCATCAATATTTTTTGTTTTTAAGACTAATAAAAAAATTGTTAATTTGGTTCTGATATATTCACTTTTTTTTCTTTTAGTTTCGACAAAAGTTCAATCCTTTTTCCTCGTACTTTTTTCAAAAACAATATTAGTTCTCTCAAGCTACTCGCCTATCAATTCCTTTTCGAAACAGCGTGATAACTTACGAATTTTAATTACAGTTCCTGTATTATGAAAAATGTGCAACAAGTCTTCTTGCACACTACACTGAATATTCCTGAAGTTTGTTTAGTTTATTTTTCTCCTCCTCCGATTCATCTCGGCAAATCATGAGAGTGTGCGCCATACCACAAGTAACAGCAGTTATGTACAATCCTTCAAGAGCTTTAACTTCCATTGGTGTCGTTGATGATTTTCGCATTTCTCCGAAACCCTGTAAATATCAATTTTTATTTTAAAACACTTCTCACTGATTTTTATCTTTTAAATATTTTATTATTCATTTGTCTATTTACTTTTTATAAACCTGTACTTATCATGGATAAAAATTAGAAATTAATGAAAAGGAATTTTTTAATAAAATTTACTAATATGTGACTCTTTATAAAATTCAATTATTTATCAATTATTAAATTACAGGCCTCGGATCGACTTTAACGAACAAAAAAAGTCGATTAAAAATAGAAAAAAAAGTCGAAAAAGTCGATTATTTAATTTAGTGTTGTCACAATTATTTATTTTCTATTTCCCTGATTCTTCACTGATTTCTAAATTCAATTAATCAAAAATTGTATAATTTTCCTAAATAAAATATTTAAATTTTAAATACTTCTTATTTCTTTTTTCGCCAAAAAATTCTAAATTCAATTGATCAAAAATTGTATAATTTTCCTAAATAAAATATTTAAATACTTCTTATTTCTTTTTTCGCCAAAAAAATAAAATTTCAAAAATTTCAAATTCTGAAATTTAATAATTTCTAAAAATTAAAACTACAACCCTTACAAGAATTCAATTTTTTTCTATAACTTTTAACTAAACTTCATTTCTAAATCAATTATCAATATTACTTTTTAATATTTTTCCGAAAGTTCTTCAAGAATTCAATTATTTAAATACAAAAATTCAATTTTTTATAATAATTGAAACCCGTTAATATTTCTTTTTAAAGATATTAAGGTAGAATATATTCAAAAATTTTAATAAACATAAATTCGTAAAATTAACTTATTAGAAATATTTCTAAATAATTTTTAAAAGACGCAATAGTTTTACAATTACATAACAATCAAAATTTTTTTTTCAAAAATTGAAATTTGGTAAAATCTTTTTAAATAATAATTTAAATTTAGTAAAATCTTTGATAAATAATTGAATTTTGCAAAGAGTTTTATTAAAATTATAGATGAATTAGAATTTTAATAAAATTCCAGAAAAAATTGAATTTTGCAAAGTTTTATTAAAATTTATGAAAATAATTGAATTTTTTAATAAATTTAAAAAAAAATCCTTAAAATTGAATTTAGAAAAAAAATTTTATTACAATTCCTAAAAATAATTGAATTTTTCAATAAATTTAAAAAAAATCCTTAAAATTGAATTTAGAAAAAAAATTTTATTACAATTCCTGAAAATAATTGAACTTTTCAATAAATTTAAAAAAAAATCCTTAAAATTGAATTTAGAAAAAAAAATTTATTAACATTCCTGAAAATAATTGAATTTTGCAACAAATTTTTTAAAAATTCCTGAAAATTGGATTTAGACAAAAATTTTATTAAAAATCATGAAAATAATTGAATTTTGCAACGAATTTTAATAAAATTCCTGATAATTAAATTTAGACAAAAATTTTATTAAAATTTTTGAAAATAATTGAATTTTGCAAAAAGTTTTATTAAAAATTATAGATGAATTAGAATTTTAATAAAATTCCAGAAAAAAAATTGAATTTTGCAAAGAGTTTTATTAAAATTCATGAAAATAATTGAATTTTTCAATAAGTTTTTTAAAAATTCCCGAAAATTGAATTTAGACAAAAATTTTATTAATATTTCTGATAATAATTGAATTTTGCAATAAATTTTTTTAAAATTCCTAAAAAATGGAATTTAGACAAAAATTTTATTAAAATTCATGAAAATAATTGTATTTTGCAACGAATTTTAATAAAATTCCCTAAAATAATTAAATTTTGCAAAAAAAAATTATGAAACAAATAAATATTTGAGTTTTTAAAAAATATTAAAAAGAATACTCAAATTTTTGATGAATTTTAATTATAAATAATTTCTCAAAAATTCTAAAGGGGCCGTCCATAAACCACGTAGCCCCATTTTTTGGGAATTTTGACCCCCCCCCCTCCCCCATGTAGTACGCTATTACATGTATTAGCGCCATTTTTTCCTCTTGTCGTAGTCAATTGCTTGACTCCCCCCTCCCCCTCAAGAGGCTACGTGGTTCATGGATGGCCCCAAAGTAGTAAATTTTAAAAAATTCTAAATTACTTTGTCAGAGAATTCCTTTTTTCAAAACTATTTTAATATTTTCATTTTTTATCGAATTTACACTTGAAGATTATTCATTAAAATTTTTAAAAATTGAATTACTTCCAAAATTTTAAATAAAAATTCTATAATAGTTAATTTTCAAAAAATATAATAAAATACTTGAAAAAAAGGATTTATTTTCAATTAACTATTTGAAAATAGTCGAAAAAAGTCGAAAAAAATCATAATATCCGAGGCCTGAAATTAAAATACTTTAAAAATTCGATTTGTTAAAAAGTTTTTGAAATTCTTTAACAAATTTAATTATTTTCAGTTGAATTTCCAATTTCTATTAATTCGATAATTTTTAAAAATTTATTTACTATATTTGAATCAGTGACTGATTTTTTACTATCAAATTAATTATTTTTAACTAATTTAAATTTAGAGAACATTATTAATATCTAGGAGGTTAAAGTTTTGAACGTTCAAATGAACGAAATTTATTTATTTCTTCTTCAAATTAAATTTTTATTACTATAATTTTGCGTCACTATTAAGCAAATTAATTATAATGTTTCTAAATGTAAAATTTGAGTTTTTAATTTGAATTGTAATCAATAATCTATGAAAATATTTTTAACAAAAAATATTTCGTTCATTTGAACGTTCAAAACTTTTTGTTCATTAATAGCTATAAAAATTGAAATAAAAAGCGATTTTGTAAAAACAAATTAAAATAATAAAACTTTTTTAATTTGGTGAAAAAATCCCCGATTTTGCATAAAATTCCTGGCTTATTCCCGGTTAGTAGACACCCTGGATATGTCAAAAAATCGAGACTGAAAATTTTCGGTAAAACAATGTTTCCATGAGGAAGCAAAAAAAATTATTTGAAAAATTAATATAAAATTGTCGAATAGGTGAACGAGGATGATGGCGAAAACTTTGAATAAGAATAACTCACCAATTCACCATACGTGGGACTACAACCCCAGGCAATAACCGACTCATCGGCGGCAACAACGACGCTAGTTTGCGAGCAGGCAACACATCTGATGTCCCAACCAGAGAGATCTTGAATCGGCTTGGGGTACATATTAGCCTCGCCGGTGCGCTTTGTCTGGCCAAACATCAACGCAGACCCATGAATATTGATAACAATACTGTAAGTACTTCCGCAGTGAACTGCACGCACACCTCGACTCGGCGGCTCCAGGAACTTGATCAGACGAGGCACTAACTCATCTCGTTGCTCATTGTGACCCAAGCGGCCGATTCCGCCGAAACCCCATGAGAAAGCACGATTCTTGCTGTCGATGGCGACAGTGTGATAATGCCCACAACTGAAGTCACTGATCTCAACGCGGTCTAGTGGCGTCACATGATTGTCCTTCCCCTTCTCCATATACAAGACAATGCGCTTCGGTGCTTTCTCAAAGTGAAAACCCATTTTCGTGCTGGTGATGAAGTACTTTCCGTCGGTGTTGTGACCCAATGCACCGTACTCGGGCGAACCGAACGAGTGCAATCCACCTTTGATGTCAAGGATCATTGAGAATTCGGCACCGCAGCCAATTTTCACTATGGGCGGACCGGAGTATTTCACTTTCGTTGCTGTCAGAACGTTGGGAATTGTTTTTCCTATTCCGCATTGACCTAGTTTATTATCGCCAGCCGCAAAAACTAATCCGCGACTGGTCAAAAATAAAGTGTGATTACGTCCGCATGCAGCGGCTATCACCGTGTGACCTTTCAAGCCCTCCACCTCGGTCGGCTCATCTCGACGTTTCATGTCTCCAACTCCCAATTGTCCTTAAATTCACAACAATAAACCAATTAATTTTATACGCTTCATTAATCAACTCAACAATCTTAACAAAATTGCACACAATCATTTAGATTTCAAAAAGTAAACTTATTTGAATTTGATTTGATTAACCATTTACAATTTATAACACTAACTTTTTCGTACGCTACGCCGAGCCTGGTCAATAATTTGAAAGTTTCCCAAACTGACAAAATCATTATTTTAAGAATATTGTTACTGTAATTTCTTCAAAATTATTTGTATCATTTCAAATCAATTGACATTTTCTAGAATTTTTCACTAAAATTCTACTTTAAATCAATAACATCAATTATTATTCAATTAAAATTTTTCAAAAAAATTAATTCTACAGAATTGTCAGTTAAAAGTACGAAAACCAATAATTTAATTTCTGCGAGAAATCAATTATTTAAATACAACTGGGTTGCCACAAATATTTAATTTTATTTTCCCCTGATTTCCAGACAAAATTTTCACTTTTTCCCTGACCCTAAAGAATATTCTAATTCACTCTAAAAATTATTAAATACTCAAAAATTGTAAATTGTAAAATTATTCAAAAACATCAATAACTTCTTTTTTAAATAAATATTTAATCATTATTATTTTTTCGTAGGAATTAAAATTCAACAAAACATAAAGAAGGCGATCGTCTTCTTCATGTTTTGTAATAATTTAAATTACTATAACTTTTATAAAAAAAAGTTAAGTATTTACAAAAATCCTAATAAAATCCTTCGCAAGAATTCAATTATTTTTACAAATAGTAAAATTTCTCAAAAAAATTCAATTATTTAAAATAACTGTAATAAAATTCGTTGCAAGAATTCAATTATTTTCATAAATAATAAATCGATTACTCGAAAATTCATTTTTAAATCAATTTTTATTAGAAAATTCTAGATGAATTCAATTATTTAAATTAAAAAATCAATAATTTATTGAATAATTGAATGTTTGTTAAAATTGAATTCTCATAAAGAATTTTATCAACAAACTTTTAAATAATTGAATTCTTTTGACAAATTTTAATAAAATTTTTAAGAATAATTACATTTTTCGAGGAATTCGATTAAAATATTGTATCAAAAATAATTAAAATCCTGCGATGAGTTTTATTATTTTATTATTTTGAAACTAATTTAATTCTTCCAACGAATTTTATTCAAGTTTATAAAAATAACTGAATTTCTGTGAAGAATTTTATTATTTATATAAATAATTGAATTCTTACAACGAATTTTATTCAAGTTTATAAAAATAATTGAAATTTCGGTAAAGAACTTAGTTAATTTTTTTTTAAATAATTGATATTTTTCGAAAAATTTTATGAAATTTTGTATTTTAAATAATTGAATTCATGTGAAAATTTTATTACTTATGAAAATAATTGAATTATTTCGAAGAAATTTATTTAAAATTTTGTAAATAATTGAATTTCTGTGAAATTTTACCAAGAATTTTATTAAAATTTTTAAAAATAATTTAATTTTGAAGAAGAATTTTTTTATTTATAAAGATAATAATTGCGATTTTGACGAGAATTTTGTTTAAATTTTTGAAAATAATTGAAATTCTGCGAAGAATTTTTTTAACTTTTGAAAATAATTGAATTTCTGGAATCATTTGTAACCTTTCCCTGACCTATGGCAACCCTGAACAACTTTTGAAAATATTTAATTTCTTTTAAGGAATTTAATTAAAATTTTAATGAAATTTATTATATTAAAGAATTTTATAACAATTTTTGAAAATAATTGAAAACTTTTTGAAGAATTTTATTAAATTTTTTAAGAATAATTGAATTCCTGAGAAGAATTTAAGTAATAATCTTTGAAAATAATTGACTTCTTCAGAAAAAATTAAAAAAAATTTTTGACAATAATTTAATTCTTGAGAAGAATTTTCCTATTCCTATTAGAAAAGAATTTGATTAAAATTCCTTAGAATAAATGTTTAGTACACAAAATTGGTTCTAAATTAATCCGTTCTAATAAAATTTTACTACGGATTAGAAAAATGATATAAAAAGAGAAATACAAGAGATGAGGAAAAAGGTAAAAACGGTAAAAAAGAAACAAATCATCCACTTTACGCATCGACTTTGATTATTTTTTATCAAAAAAGGAAAGTTACCTTTTTCATTTCTGCCAAACGCTAAACATCTGTTGTCCTCAGTGACAATAATGTTATGAGCAGCTGCAGAAGCCGATGCAACTAATCTTACACGGGCTCCATTTAAGTTTTTAAATGTATGTGGAACCCATAAACTTTTTCCTACGTTGCCCTTCGCTCCTTTCGGTGGTGCTTTTCGTCCCACCAAATCCCAGTTTGTCAGTCCACACATGATCAATGTCCCCGGTTTGCCCCATCCGCCCTGAAAAATATTTTCTGAATTAGAAATGAAAAAACTTACAATTTTTTTACTATTTGTAAAACGGCAAAAAGATAATAAATATCTCTTTCTGCCTTCGTAAGTATCAAAAGTTTTTCAATATTTTCAGGTTGGTCACAAGTTTCAGTTTATCAATTTTCCTGACGAAAGTTTTTTTACAGGAAAATATGAAAGTTCACAGAAAACAAGTAAAAATTAATAAAATTTAATAATTCAATTATTTTTTACAATTTTCAACTAAACTTCATCTCTAAATCGATTACTTTTTAATAATTTTTCTAAAGTTCTTCTAGAATTCAATTATTTAATTACAAAACATCATTTTTTTTTGTAATAGTTGTAACTGTTTTTTTTTTCTTAATTTCAAAAAAAAAATTATACTAAAGAAATTCTTACAAATAATTTTTTAAAAATATTACTAAATAATTTTTGAATTATAGGTTTTCAATAAACCTATAATTTTCAATTATAGGTACAGAATTAAAAAATTTCAAAAATATTTTTCTAAATTAAAAATTCCAATTCGCTAAGTACAAATAAAATCTCAAAAGAAAATATCGATTTCAAAATTATAAAATTGTATCTAGCACATTTTATAAGAACAAATTTAATTTGATTTCCACTTTAAATTATATTTCATCGAAAAACATAATATTTCTCTGCACTAAAATGGAAAGATTAAATATATTGTAATGAATTCATATATTTATGCGTCGAGTTTTTATACATTCATATTTATACCTGTTCATAAGTATCAAAAACATTTTTTTCGGCTTTTAAAATGTACTTAATAATACAAATAGAAATGTTGACAAATAATAAAATAAACTTTCAATTATTTTCATTAGTAAACTCTAATTATTAAAAAAAAAATAATAAAGACGCTTTCCCAGGAAGCAAAAAAAAACCGTTAGAATTCTGAATAGAAAAAAAAGACGAGATAAAAATCATTAAATCATATAACGCTGACAGGAATGGAATAAAGCGAAGGAGAGGTAAAATTTATAGGAAAAAGAAAAAATTTGAAAGAAATTTTGTACCTCGGGAGCGGGTAATTCTGGAATAGTTGAAATGTCGGTATTATCCTCCTCTTCAACATCGGCACCATCCTCGCCGTCGACTGTGTTGGTGCCGGTTTCAGCTTCCTCAACCTCCGACTCATGATCACTCGAGATATCTTCCTCGTCATATTCAGTCTTGCGTGTTTTTGCACGAGGCTTCTTATTTGGCGCGGTTTTCCTTTTATTAGAAGACATACTTTTTTTTCTCTTCAATTGACGAAAAAATGTGATTCCGATGGATTATTTTTGAAAGAAAAAAAATTCTTAAACAATTTTCAAAGGACGCAACACAAATGACATTTAACGATGTAATATGGCGGGTAAGAACCTTGCGTCGCGCGTCACGATTCCCTTTCCCAAGGATAATATAAAGCTCTCTGAAAATTCACCGTGGAATATGACTCGACGAGCGAGTTGCTTTATGGCCCCTTCTTCGAAGCCGATGAGCATCAAGCATTGGCGTAGAAAAAAGATAACCCTCCACTTTACGGAAGCGCCTATACGCCACTGTAACCGAATCCCGTATGTGTGCATAAAGTAAGGTACAAATACAAGAATTGCGTGCGAGGGACCCCCTTAGGCTAGCTGAAATTCCCTAGAATAGAATTAATTGCGAGCGAGCCTACCCCTTAGGCTAGCTGAAATTCGTTAAAATTAAACGACTGTGTGAAAAGGAGGTTATGTTTTCTTTCCTGAAACATTAATTAAAATTAATTTTTTTAAACATTTCTTTTTCACAAATTGAAAAAAAGAAATCTTGTGAGGTAATAAGTTAAATTTATTTGGAAAAAAAGTAAAATAATTTTGAAGTTAAATTGATAATGTGTCTACAATTATTCTGATCCATTTTACAAAAAGAAAATTAGTTGTGTTATTTATGGGAAATTTTAAACATGAAATATTTATATTTTTTTAATATATACATACAAATATGTAAGTTAAAACAAAATCGAATTTTAAAAAACAGACCATTGTAGAAACTATTTAATAAGAGTTGAAAAATTATTAATAAATTAATTAAACATAACTTTTTTACAGAGCTAACAATTATCAATTTAACCTCAAAATTATTTTACTTTTTTCCAAATAAATTTAACTTATTACCTCACAAGATTTCTTTTTTTCAATTTGTGAAAAAGAAATGTTTAAAAAAATTAATTTTAATTAATGTTTCAGGAGGCTCGCTCGCAATTAATTCTATTCTAGGGAATTTCAGCTAGCCTAAGGGGGTCCCTCGCACGCAATTCTTGTATTTGTACCTTACTTTATGCACACATACGCGATTCGGTTACAGTGGCGTATAGGCGCTTCCGTACCACTTCCACAAACATTATACTTTTTATTATGGCCGATTCCTAAAGTTTATTCTTTTTCCAAATTTTTGTGAAGGAAAGAATTATTATTTTATTTTCATACTTTTTAATTATTAAACAACGGTAGGTTCAATAAACAAAATTACTTCTCTTGATATTAAAAAAGAAGGTTCTTTTAATTCATTTGTTCATCTCTGAAAAGAATTGTATAACTTTTGAGGTTAGAAAAGTTATATTTTAAGTAGTGGCGGGATTTTTTAAGTTTTTATCGTTTTTATAATAATTGTTCAATTAATTACAAAAATTTTAATAAAATCTAATTCAAGAATTCAATTATTTTTAGAAATAATGAAATTTTCGCTGAAATTGAATTATTTTAAATACAATTTTAATTGAATTCCAGGGAAAATTCAATTATTTTTAAACATTTTTTTTAAATTCTTCTAAAGAATTCAATAATATCAAAAAATAGTAAATTTTTCATAGGAATTCAATTTTTTTAAATACAATTTTAATAGAATTCTTCTGGAAAATTCAATTATTTTTTTAAATTTTGCAAAAATTGAATTCTTTGTTGAAATAATAAATTTTCACGTAAGGATTTAATTTTTAAAAAAAGTTTTAAGAAAATTCTATTCAAGAGTCGAATTATTTCAGAAACAATTAAATAGTCGATTTACTGAAAATCATTGAATTCTTGTAAAGTTTTTATAAAAAAATTTGAAAATAATTGAATTCATTTCAAGAATTTTATCAAAATTTTTTTCAATAATTGAATTCTTTCGAGAAAATGTAATTAAAATTGTATTGAAAATAATTTATTTCTTGGGAAAATTTTTATTAAAATTCTTTTAAAATAATTGAATTTGTTTAATATTCTTAAAAATAGTGGAATTTATTTAAATAATTTTTACAATAATTTTTAATAATTGTCATAAAATTCTTTGCAAAAATTCAATTTAGGAATAAAATAAAAAATCTTTGTAAAAAATTCAATTATTTTTATATAAATAATAAATTTTATTCTTATTAGGATTTTACTTATTTTCAATATAATTTTAATTGATATTTTTGAAAATTTCAATTATTTTGAAATTTTTTATTAAAAATTGATTTAAAAATGAATTCATTAATTAATTAATTAATTAATTAATTAAACAATTTAATTTCCGTTTTTTAATCTTGAAAAGTCGGGAATTTGAAATGAGCAAAATATTTAAATTAAAATTTTGTAAATTGAAAAAGGTGACGAGAGTTGCAAAAGAAAAGAAACAATTTCTTCCGAACATTTTTCATTTATTGATCACGAAATTATATTTATAACGACCTTACACTAGAATAATTTAACTTATAGTAAATTAAACTAAATGTGCGAATGGAATGATTAATGAATACGGAGATTGCCAACTATTTAAAATTCCCCATTCTATTTTTTCGTTTGCTTTAAATTGATTGAGTTAAAATTTTAATTATTCAGCAATTTTCATAAATACGGAAAAAAATCTTCAGCTGGAACAGCGATAAGTTTCACTTATCAGCGAAAGTATTTATTGAAAACAGAAAAAATTTCGCCAATTGCAGGCAAATTTGTAACTGTTCCAGGTACAGATTCTTTTCCGCATATTTCTTGAAAAAAAAAATTTTTCACCTGAAACAGCGATAATTTTTACTAAAATAGCCGAAGTATTTATTGAACAAAGAAAAAATTTCGCCAATTGCAGTTAAATTTGTAGCTGTTCCAGGTAAATTTTTTTCTAAAATGAATGAATTATTTTTCGAAATGAATCAATTATTTCTCGAAATGAATTTGATTTAGTCAACTTCCTCCATTCTCGATGCCTCTTCGGACTCGCCTTCCAATGGTGGAACGTCAGAGTCAATTTTCTCCTCCTCAATCATTGGCGAGTCGTCGTCCTCGAGTCCAAGACCGAGTCTGATCATTCTGTAGATCCGCGACGAGTGAACTTGAGGATCTTCGAGTGCGAAACCGGAGGATAAAAGAGAAGTCTCGAAGAGGAGCATGACTAGGTCCTTGACTGCCTTGTCGTTCTTGTCGGCGTCGATCTTCAGCCTCAGGTTGTTCATGATCGGATGGTCGGGGTTGATCTCGAGGTGTTTCTTCGCCGCCATGTAGCCCATGGTGGACGTGTCGCGCAGGGCCTGCGCCTTCATGATCCTCTCCATGTTCGCGGTCCAGCCGTACTGTGAGGTCACGATGCAGCAGGGCGAGTCTACGAGTCTATTCGAGACGACGACCTTTTCCACCTTCTTGTCGAGAACGTCCTTCATCACCTTGCAGAGATTCTCGAACCTCGCCTTGTCCTCCTCGAACTTTTTCTTCTCGCTCTCGTCCTCGGGCAGCTCTAAACCTTCCTTCGTCACCGAGACGAGCTGCTTGCCGTCGAACTCCTTGAGCTGTTGCACCACGTACTCGTCGATCGGCTCCGTCATGTAGACAACTTCGAACCCACGTTTCTTGACTCGCTCCACGAAGGAGCTGTTCGACACTTGGTCCTTGCTCTCGCCGGTGATGAAGTAGATATGCTTCTGACTCTCCTTCATTCTTCCGACGTAGTCTTTGAGGGAACACATCTCGTCCCCTGAAGCCGATGTATGATATCTCAGCAACTCCCCAATTTTCTTTCTATTCTGACTATCCTCATGAATACCCAGCTTTAGATTCTTACTGAACTGCTCGTAGAATTTCTTGTAGTTCTCCTTGTCCTCCGACAACTCTTCAAAAAGTTCCATACACTTCTTAACTAGATTTTTTCTAATAACTTTTAGAATTTTATTCTGTTGGAGCATTTCGCGAGAAATATTCAGAGGCAAATCCTCACTGTCAACCACCCCTCTCATGAAATTCAGATACTCCGGTATCAGTTCCTCGCAATTGTCCATAATAAACACTCGCCTCACGTACAACTTAATGTTATTTTTCCTCTTCTTATTCTCGAATAAATCGAACGGCGCACGTCGGGGAGCGAAAAGAAGGGCACGAAACTCGAGTTGTCCCTCAATGGAAAAATGCTTCACAGCCAAATGATCCTCCCAATCGTTCGTCAAACTCTTGTAAAATTCTCCATATTCCTCCTGTGTAATATCATCGCAATTTCTCGTCCAGATCGGTTTCGTTTTATTCAGCTCCTCATCCTCGGAGTACTTTTCCTTAATTGTTTTCTTCTTCTTCTTTTCGTCCTTGCTCTTTTCCTCGTTCTCATCCTCGCCGACGTCTTCAATTTTCGGCTTTTCATCCTCATTCTCCTTCTTCTCGGCATCGTCGTCTTCTTCGTCTTCACTCAGTTCCTTGTCCCTCTCCTTCTCAACGACAAGTTTGATGGGATAGCCGATAAATTGTGAATGTCTCTTGACGATCTCTTTGATCTTCGACTCCTCGAGATATTCGCTTTGGTCTTCCTTAATGTGGAGAATGAGTTTCGTTCCACGACCGATTGGCTCACCGTTGTCCTGTCGCACTGTGAACGAACCACCGGCTGACGATTCCCACAGATATTGCTCGTCGTCATTGTGTTTCGAGATGACTGTCACCTTGTCGCAGACCAAGTATGCCGAATAGAAACCAACGCCGAATTGACCGATCATCGAAATATCCGCACCAGCTTGAAGAGCTTCCATGAAAGCTTTCGTTCCTGATTTCGCAATCGTTCCCAAATTGTTGACGAGGTCGGACTTTGTCATCCCAATTCCCCTGAAAAATAATAAACAAATTAAATAATATTTTCTTTTTGAGAGAATTTCCACTACTTTTAAATTCGCTAATTTTCAAAAAAATTTCAAAAAAATCAATTATTTAACATTTTTATACAATTCTTCACAATAATTCAATTACTCTTACTAATAATAAAATTTTCCATAAAAATTCAATTTTTTAATTAAACAATGATTAAATAATTTTTAATTTTAATAACTTTTTGATTAAATTATAAGCATGAATTTAATTATTTTCATAAATAATAAAACTCGTCGAAAAATTTCAATTATTTTTAATACTAATTTTAAATTAATTAATCGAAAAATTCAATTATTTTCACAAATAAAGTTTTCCACGCAAGAATTCAATTATTTAAAATAAAATTTTCATCATATTTATTATATTTCGAAAAAATTAATTATTTAAAACAATGTTCATAAAATTCTTATGAAGAATTCAATTACTTTCAAAAATAACAAAATTTTACAACAGAAATTCAATTCTTTTTAAACATTTTAATAAACTTTTCCGCAATAATTCAATTATTTTCAAAAATAATAAAATTCTTCTCTGTAATTCAATTATTTTTGAGAATTATAATAAAATTCATAGCAACTATTCAATTATTTTCATAAATAATAAAATTCATAGCAGGATTTCAATTATTTTTAATACAATTTTACAGGAACTGCTCAAAAAATGTAATTATTCTTAAAAACCTAATTTCAATTCCTCGAAAAAATCAATTATTTCAAGAAAAGGTTTTTTAAAAATATTTTTTGAAATGATTGAATAATTATTTTTAAAAAATTAATAAAATTATTCGAAAGAAATTAATTGTTTTAAATATTTTTTTGGAATGATTCAATTATTTTTTTAAATTTTAATAAAATTTTTTCTAAGAATTCAATTATTTCCACAAATAATTTTTCGAAAGAATTCAATTATTAAAGATAAATAAGAAAATTACTCCCGAAAATTCATCTATTTTGAGGTATTTTAATAAAATTCTTTTCAAAATTCAATTATTTTCATGAATAACAATTCTCATCACAATAATTCAATTATTTTTAAAAGTAATAAATTTCTTCTTGGAAATTCCATTATTTTAAAAAATTCTTATAAATCGTTCGCAAGAATTTAATTATTTATAAATATATTTTAAATTGTTTCATGAATAATAAAATTCGTATCAGGAATTCAATTTATTAGCAGGCTAAGGAAAAAGTAAATATTTTTTATGAAAATTAAAAAAAAGTCAGGAAAATAAAAAATATGGAATGGAATTTTTGTTAATTTTGTGAAATGAATAAAACGAGTTTTTTTTACATTAAAAAAAAATGACAATAACCCACAAAAATTAATTTTCAAAACAAACAAAATGAATGCAGAGAATTTGCTAACGGAAAGGAAACTTACGATTATTATATTAGAAATTAAAAACTTCAAATAATTAAAAAAAAAAAAATGCCACTTAACTTTTTGGAAAAAAATTAATTCCACAGAATTCTTAATTAAAATTATGAAAAGTTCAAATTTTTAAAGATTTTAATTTAAAACTCTTTTCAAAATTCAAATATTTCTAAAAATTAACGCTTTCAATACTCAATTATTATAATTGAAAATTTTAATTGAAATACATTTTTAAATCAAAATTTATTAGAAAATTCTACGAAAATTCAATTATTTAAATACAAAAATAATTATTTTATTATATTGAATATTTCTTAAAATTGAATTTTTTTGACAAATTCTAATAAAAGTTTTAAGAATAATTTCATTTTTAGAGAAATCTGATGAAAATTGTATTAAAAATAATTAAAATTCTGCGCTAAGAATTAATTATTAAAATTTTTGAACATAATTAATTCTTAGCCCAGAATTTTAATTATTTTTAATACAATTTTCATCAGATTTCTCTAAAAATGAAATTATTCTTAAAAATTTTATTAGAATTTGTCAAAAGAATTCAAATTTTGACGAGAATTTTTGTAAATTTTTGAAAATAATTGAATTTTTGAGACGAATTTTATTAAAATTTCTTTTGAAATAATTCAATTCTTTTGTGAAATTCTATTGAAATAGTAGAAATTGAAAAAAATTCAATTTCAATTTCAATTTGATATGAAAATATCAAATTTCCAGAATTACTACAAAATCTAAAGTTTTTAACTATTTCAATTGTTGTGTAAAAATGAATAATAATAAATAAATTTATTTTATTTAAAAAATAATTAAACTTAAAATAATAATTATGAAAAATTACATTTCTGAGAAATTTTAATTTAATTTTTTAGATAGGGTTCATAATTTGTGTTAAGAAATTGTGTAAAAGACAACTGAATGTTTATAAAAACAAGTAATTGATAATTTTTTAAATCATTGAAATTTTCTCGAATTCCATTAAAAATAATGGAATTTTTAAATATGTTATTGAAATTTTTGAAAATAATTGAGGGAAATTCATTATAGTAATTAATATTATTTTTAAAATAGATAGTCAACCTTCAAGTTTTTAAATGAAATTCTTGCTTCTAAAAAGGGATTTTTTTTTCTAAAATTGTCTTATAAAATTTGAAAAAATTTTTAAACATTAGATAAAAATTTTTGTAGTTTAAAAAACTGTAAACTTAAATTAATTAAATTATACTAAAAATGAAAAACATTTAACACTTTGAAATAAACATTTTCACTAATACAAATTTTTTTAAATTTTGCATCCAGCAAATTCAGGAGAAATAAAAAATATTTTACAGTTGAAACATTAGTTATAATTCATACTTACGAGTCAATAATTGTGAGTGTTCTGTCATTTTTGTTAGGGATGAGTTTAATGTACAATTCCTTGCAAGCGTCGAGCTTCGATGGGTCTGTCAAAGATTCATACCGGATTTTATCCAAAGCCTGAAAGAAAGTCATAAAATAAAAAATGAATTTTAATTTAATTTTAATAATAATAAATAATTTAATTAAAAATTCTAATTCAAGCGGTGGATTTTTTATAAAATATACATTAAATGAAATATTTTGTTCATATTGTTTTTCTTTAATTGAAACGTTATTCATATATATTTGCATTTTAATTTTATAAATGAAAATTTCTTTGACTTTTTTCTTTTCAACTATTTATTAAGTTATTATATTTTGGTGTTCATTTTTACCTAATTATTAATTTATATTATTTCTTTATTTATTATTAACCCGGAATGTTCTAAACAAATGTAGAATTTCAACATTTGTCATCGCGATGATTTTTCGATGAAAAAATATTTAAAGAATAAAGAACAGTATACTTACATCAGAAGAGTTTGAAATTAATTCTCGTAGAAAAATTTCTTTATTTGAGTAGAATGTGTTGATGATTAAACTCATTAATTGAGCAATTTCTGCTTGAAATGCATAAGTTTCAACATCATCATCACCACCGTCTGACATGGTGACGTCTTCCGGCATTTTCGTTCTTTTGCAAATTTCTCTTTCAGTATAGAAAAAATAATTGCACACTTATCACTTAATTATTAATTGATATTCAGTTATAATTTGTATTTTATTTTTAATCACTGACATGCAATCATGCAATATCGATGAGAGAAAATAAAAAGTTAACACACTCGCTTTACGTCAGTTTCGCACGAATTCACAAGTTGGAATATTGCTCCTCCTTGCGGCGCATTCGATTTTATCAACTGAGGAACTTTCTAGAAGTTGACGATCGGAAATCCTCGCTTCACTTCTAGCAACTTCTAGATAATTCTATCAAGTTCCAGACTGTTTAGAAAATTTTTTCTAATTGTTTCAATCTTTTCTTGACTTGAAATTATAATAAATATTTCTATCGCGAATTAATAGATATTTTTCAATTTGAATCAAATTGGGTTAGATTTATTTTTAAACATTATTTAGGATATATAATGAAAGTACTTTTGACTATTTTATAACCGGAAGCTCGTCGGAAGAGGAATTCAGAACAAAATTCTTTAGAAACATCTAGAATATGTCAATGATGTCAATCAAAGAAAACGAAGAAAACTATAGATGAAAAAATAAGAAGGAAAACTAATTTTACTTTGGCGAATATAATTCTAATTTTTCCCCCTTCTAGAATTCTTTGACTATTTTGAATAAAAGTAAAAATGATAATTAATATGGGTCACGTATTTTTTTTTTTTTTTGTGAAATCCGGTTAAAATCAATACTTTGCAGCTTTGCAGTTATTTCCTTCCAAACCGTTGAATAATAAAATCAAATCAAGCAACATTGCTCTGTAATATTACTGTAAGGTATCAGACTAACCGCAAAATACTGTTTGTTTTAATTAGATTAAACATTTTATTACTTAAATTTGATGAAAAATTAATAATAAAATACTTTACAAAATTTTTTCCAAGCTTATTGTGCAACGTTGCGGCATCATTATACGGTAATATTGACGCAACGTTTCCAAGTAATATTCCGACAATATTGCATTATAATGTTGCCGGAAGGTTGCCGTGTAAGGTTGGGGTAACCTAGCCGTGAAATATGGCGGAGGTGGGAAATATTAAGCTTTTAATAACGTTGCGGCAACATTATCGTGCAACATTGCCAACATTGCGAGGCAACATTGCTGTACAGACAAAATAAAAGTTAGTCCTATATCATAATTTCGTAATTTATAAGAAAAAGACAAATTAAATTTTAAATTCGTTTTGGATTTAATTTTGAACATTTAAAACGATTGAAAGTTGCATTTGAACAAAAATTACAATTTTCTGTCAATAAGAAACATTTGTTAAATTTTAGGTTATGTTACTTAAATCATTCAATCATTTATTATTGACAAAAAAATTTTTATTTTTATTCAAATATAACCTTAAATTGTTCAAAATGCTCATAAGAGCGAAAAGAACAACAATATCTAGCTATCTCTCTTGCACTCATTATTTTCAGCTTCGGGTTTAGGCTGCGTCAGGCTGCGTTTACATGCTTGCGTTTTGTGTCGTGAAAAAAAATTTAGAAGTGTTGTGCAGGCATCTTTAGGGAAATGTTGGTGCAAAATGTAGAATTCCCTTAACTTTTATTTGTCTAACTCTACTCAACCCTGTTTGTAAATAAACAAATCTTCATGAAGACAGCATGTTTGACAGCTTTTCAAAATTAAAAAAAATTTTTTAAAAATGATAGAAATACCTAAAAAATCTAAAAAATGACTGAATCTTTAAAGGAACCTGTATTGTTTGCAGGTGAAATTGATGAAAATATTAATCTTTCATTGCCTGCAACTTCTGCTGAAGAATACATCAACCAAGTAATGTAAGAATAACCTCCTTACTTTTTCAAAACAAAATTGTTGAATTAGAAAAAAATAGTATTAATAGAAATTTATTTATTAGAATTGAAGCCAGAAGATGTGAAAGCGTTGTTGTGTCAGAAATTGACGAGACAAAATTGAAGAAACCGACTGTGAATATAAAAACTGTAAGTCTGGTTTTAACAAAATTTGACTTTCATTTTGCTTTTTATCGTACATTTTTGTAAATAATTTAAAAATGAAAAGTTAGCAGGATGCACTGAAGCCCCGGCAAGCTTAGGTCCATCATTAGAATGGCAAAAGTGTCAAGTTGATGATTTTTCGAAAATCAGACTCTACATTGCAAGGGTAAGAGACGAAATACAAACTTGCAAGCGGAAATGGAAACCTCCAGCTCTGAAATTGGTAAAAAGTTTTTCATTTTTTAAATTAAATCGTCCAATGTAAAGAAAAAACTTTACGAAATTTAGTATTTTAATTTTCCAATAAAGAGAAGCAATTATGCTTTTATTAATAATAAAAGTCAAAACATCGACTTGAGTAAAAATTAAATTCAACTTCAAAACCTTGTTCAATTTAGTGGATAACTGAATTCTTTTCCCTGTAAGAAGAGCTGAATTCTTTAAAACGATTCAATTATTTTCAAAAAATATTAGAAATTCAATTATTTTCAATATCTCGTCTTTTCATTACAAACAAAAGAATTCAATTATTTTAAATAAATGGAGAAAATTCATACAAAATTCAATTATTTTCATAAATAATAAAATTTCCACAGGAATTCAATTAATTTAAAATAGCATTTTCAAAAAAATTTCGAAAAAATCAAATATTTAACAAAATCTATATACAATTCTTCATAATAATTCAATTACTTCCACTAATAATAACATTTTTCATAGAAATTAAATTTTTTAAAAAAAAATTTTGATCAAATTCTAAGCAAGAATTAAATTATTTTCATAAATAATAAAACTCATCGAAGAATTTCAATTATCTTTAATATTATTTTAAATTAATTAATTGAAAAATTCAATTATTTTCACAAATAAAGTTTTCCAGAAGAATTCAATTATTTAAAACAAAATTTTCATATTTATTATATAACGAAAAAAAAAAATTATTTAAAACAATGTTTATAAAATTCTTATGAAAAATTCAATTACTTTCAAAAATAACAAAATATTTCACAGAAATTCAATTCTTTTTTAACTTTTTAATAAAATTTTTCGCAATAACTCAATTATTTTCATAAATAATAAAATTCTTCTCAGGAATTCAATTATTTTTGAAAATTCTAATAAAATTTTTACCCAACTAGGTATTCAATTATTTTCATAAATAATAAAATTTATTCATAGCAAGATTTTAATTATTTTAAATACACTTTTACAAGAATTGTTCAAAAAATTTAATTATTCTTAAAAATTTAATATCATTTTCTCGAAAAAATCTGTTTTTTAAAAAAATTTTTTTTTAATTTTGGATGAATTCAATTATTTACAAACATATTAGAGTTTTTTTTACAGGAATTCAATTATTTTTATAAATAGCAAAATTTTTCGTCAAAAATTCAATTATTTTAAAAAATTCAAATAATATCCTTTGCAACATTTCAATTATTTTTAAAAATTTTTCGCAAGCAATGTTTTTAAATATTTACTATTTTCATCAAATTTATCAACAGATTTAATTATAGAAAAAACTTGTTGATACAATTCTTACGAAAAGATTCAATTATTTTCATAAATAATAAAATTTCACTTACGAATTCAATTATTTTCATCGCAGAATTTCAAATATTTTTAATATAATTTTAAATAAATTCCTTGAAAAATGCAATTATTATTAAAAAATTTATTAGAACTTGAGGAAAGAATTCAATTTTAAGAAACATTCAATTATTCAATAAAACAATAAAATTTGTTGCAATAATTCAAATATTTTCATAAATAACATTTAATTCGTCGCAGAAAACCAATTATTTTCAAAAAATTTTAAGTAATTTTGCAAAAGAATTCAATTAGCTTGATAAACATCAAAATCGCATAAATTCTTCCCATAAAATCAATTATTCTAAGGAATTTTAATAAAATTCTTTTCCAAAATTCAATTATTTTGATAAATATCAATATTCATCACAAGAATTCAATTCTTTTGAAAAGTAATAAAATATTTTGCAGAAATTTAATTATTTTCAAAATTTTTTTAAAAATTCTCGTCAAGAATTAAATTATTGTCAAAAATTTTTTAAAAATTCTTCTCAAGAAGTAAATTATTTTCGAAAATTTTAATAAATTAAATTCTTCTCAGGAATTCAATTATTTTTTAAAAATTTAATAAAACTCTTCAAAATGTTTTCAATTATTTTCAAACATTGTTATAAAATTCTTTAATATAATAAATTTCATTAAAATTGTAATTAAATTCTTTAAAAGAATAATTTGTAAATAAATTTAATAAAACATTTTTTTGAGTATTAATAATTTTTAGAGTGAATCAGAATATTCTTCAGGGTCAGGGAAAAAGTGCAAGTTGTGTTTGGAAATGAGGGAAAAGTCAGGGAAAAATAAAGTTAAATTTTTGTGGCAACCCTGTATAAATAAATTATATTTTTATCTTTATTTAACCAATTTTTATGGTCCTCTAAAAGTCCCCTATTTTTTAATTTTCAGTCCCTTTTTCCCCTAAAATACTTTTTAGGGGCACAGTGAAGCCTAGGAGTAGAAAAACGTGAAAATTACTAAATTTATAGATATACTGTTTCAGCCTAATGTCGGTGAAGAGAAAGAATGGATAAAATTTCTTTCCGATTCTAATGATGGGACATGTGAAACTCTCGTGCCCACTTTAGACATTGTTCTGGCAATAAATCAGCCAACCATTGAAAACTTGTTGGAATATCTCGTGGACTCAGTTGTCGAACAAGGAATTATTCAGTTTCATATTGGACGATGGATATACGTTTTTCTAGTTGCTCTAGAATTACCAGTGAACCCCGACATGTGTTCCTGTTTACGATCCCTGGCCAGGATATGCTCAGTCATTAGAGCTAATGAGGTAATTATTCTTGATACAACAAAAAACTAAATTTTAAGTTTAATCAGATTTAGGGTTCCGATCGAAGAAACGGTTATAATTTTTTAAGACTCAAAATTCTCCGCTTCTGCATTAAAAAAGGATTTTAAATTTTTACTTCTTGTGAGCATTTCGTAAGACTTGTATAAAGACTACGAAAAAGTTCCTCAAAAATTGTGATTTAAAATCTGTTTTTTATTTGTTTGACAATAATTTTTAGTTGAAAAAAATTTTATTTATTTTTAAAAATTGAAAATTAAGCTGAAATTTAGACACTAGATTAATCCTTTGATATTAAATTAATTTCAGACAACGCCCAATGCATCTCAAGTGAATACATTGAATTTAATGATTTGCTTGGTTGCAAGGTATTTTCGACAACTTGATTTAGCAGATCAGTAATTCATTTATTGTCGTGTAAAAGCTTATGTAATAATTTCTATTTTGTACAATAAAATATAAATCTATTTCTACTTTCTTAAAAATTTGTTACTGCACTTAATGTCTGACGTACACAATTGAGTTGTATGCCTTAATAATAAATACATATTTTAACTGTAAAATTGTGTTTCTTCCTCTTAAAAGTCTGAGACAGAAAATAAAAATTACCAGACGCAATTATTTGATGGCAATAAATTAACTCGATCGGAAAAAAATTGACAGTATCGGAGTAGTAACAAGTCGAAAAAAGAAGGGATTTTATTTTAAGTCCTGATCTTGCATCAGTGCAGTTGCAAGTCTCTCGAAGTCGTCGTAACTGCAATTCTCCACTTTACTTTTCAGGTCTTCTATTATATCGTCCGCTATTAATTCTGATTCAGATTCTGTATAATAGCGTCGAAGAACCCTTGTCATTTCGGTTTTTAGGAGGTGCATACTTTTCAAAATTTCCGGCACTGGATAACTTTTCTTTATTATTAAATTCAACTTGCTGCCATCCTTAATTCCTGGATAGAAGCTCAGTGGATTGTGATCTGAAATTAAATGTTTCTGTTATGTAAAAATTATTTTACAAATTAAAAATCATTATTTTCAAAAATTTAGATAAAATTCATCGAAACAAATTATTTTTATGAATTGTATACAATTCATAAAAATAATTTATAAAATCCTCCGCAAAAATTCAATTATTTTCATAAATAAGAAAATTCTTCGCAAAATTAAAATACTTTCACAAATAAAAAAATTCTTCAAAGGAATGCAATTATTTTCAAATAAAAAATAATAAAATGTTTCGAAGAAATTCAATTTATTATTTTCAATACAATTTTAATAAAATTTCTCGAAAGAATACAATTATTTTTCAAAATATTATTTAAATTTAATTATTTTCAAGAGTTTCAATAAAAATTCAATTATTTTCAACAATTCTGATAAAATTCTTCGAAACAATTCAATTATTTTTTAAAAATTGTAAAATTCTTGGCAAGAATTCAATTTTTTTGTAAATAAAATAAAATTCTTCTGAGAAATTAAATTATTTTTAATACAATTTTAATAAAATTCTTTGTAAATTTCAATTATTTTCAAAAATTTCTAATTAAAATAATTTAAAAAATTACATTATTTTTGCGAAATTTAATGAAATTCTTAAAAAAAATGTAATTATTTACAAAAATTTGAATCTAATTGTTTAAAAAAATTTTATTTTCTATGAATTATTTTAATATAATTTAATAGGAAAATTATTAATTACAATTAATTTTAAACACGATTATTTTAAAAACTTAAAAGAAAATCTTCATAAAATTCAATTACTTTCAAAAATTTCAGTAAAAATTAAATATTCGAAGAAATTCAATTATTTAAAAAAATTTTAACGAATATCTCGTTAAGAATTTAATTATCTTTATAAATAGCATAATTTTTCGCCAAAAATTTTATTTACTTTCAAAAATTTAAATAAAATTCTTTGCAAAATTTAAATTATTTTCAAAAGTTTTTCGCAATTCAATGGTTTTCAATATTTTCTATTTTCATAAAAAGCAAAAGAATTATTTTGATAAACAACAAAATTCTTCCCACAAAATTAATTATTTTAAGGAATTTTAATAAAATTCTTTTCGAAAATTCAATTTTAATAATTATTAAAATTCATGTTACAAGAATTTAATTCTGTTGAAAAGTAATAAAATGCAGAAATTAAATTATTTTCAAAATTTTTGAAATATTCTCGTCAAAAATTAAGTTATTTTTATAAATAGTTTGCGAAATTCTCTTCAAGAATTTAATTATTTTTAAAAATTTTAATGAAATTCTTGGCAAAATTTCAATTATTTAAACGAAATTTAATAAAATTTTTCGCATTAATTTAAAGATATATTCATAAATTATTATTTAAATTTTTCTCGAGAATTCAATTACTTTTAAAAATTTTAATAAAATTCTTGAGAAAGTTTTCAATTATTTTCAAAAATTGTTATAAAATTCTTCAATCAAATAAATTTCAGTTAAATGTAAATTAAATTCCTTAAAAGAAATTAAATATTTTTAAAAGTTGTTGATAAAATTCTTAGTAAAAATTAAATTTTAAGAAACATTTAATTATTCAATAAATTTTCTATATTTGCATTTAAATAATTGAATTCTCGTAGAATGTTTTAATAAAAATTAATTTAAAAATGAATTTCGAAGAAGTTATTGTTGTTTTCGAATAATTTTACAATTAAAGAAATTCTTAAATAAATGTCTTAGAACATTTTTCTCAGTATCTAATAATTTTTAGAGTGAATCAGAATATTCTTTAGGGTCAGGGAAAAAGTTAAAATTGTATCTGGAAATCAGGGGAAAACAAAGTTAAATTTTTATGGCAACCCTGTCAATATTAATTTATTTTTTCTTTCCTTTCATAAAAACAAAATGAAATTGTTAATAAATACCATCTAATGTTTTGCCAGTGAGAAGTAATTTTTGTTGAGGCACATCAATTCCTAAAAGAGTGCTGACTTTGTGCTTCAGTTCCAAAACCGTTTCGGAAGGCAGAATCTACATTGTAATTATTAAAATATTATTATTTAATTAATTTTAGTGTATAAAGCACTTTTCATTATCATTTTTAGGTAAAATTTAAGTTTCCGGTATCCTCACCTGTTCGATTAATAAATTGAAAGGACGACATTTTCAAGTTACAAATAATTCGTGATTTTAAGAAGTACAATAAGAGGTAAAATTAAAAAATGCTTTCAAAAATTATTTTTTCAAAATATATAAATTAAAGGTATATTGATCACTTACGTCAACCACGCATTGCTTTCCTTGAAGAATTTTCACCGTGACTTTCATGTTGTCGATTATATTCGGGGTGTATAAAAATTAAATTAAAGTTTAAAGTCACCGTTATTTAGTGAGCGATAATTCTAATGAAAACGATGAAATTCTAATCATTTTAGGTAAAATGTAGTCGTTTTCAATTCATAGTTTTTGAAACTGACAGCTAATAAACTATAGACCAGAGGCTTAGTACCTCTTATCACTTGAACAAAAAAAAAAATTCGGAGAATAAAAGAAATATCACAAACACTTTTCTGCAAATAATTCAAAATTTATAAATTGGCAAAGTTTTGAATAATTTTATAAAAAATGTGTAAAAAAAATTAATTTTGAAGTACTTTTTGGAGCACAAGGTAATGTATTAAAAATGTCTATGAGGATGAAGATGAAGCCGAATTCACTTGTTGTGAAAATGTCCTCCTGAAAATTGATCAGAAGGTAAGAAGCGTGTATTTGATTGGTGGAAAGTTTCTTAAGAGCCAATGAAATTTGTTGCTGCGGACAAGTTGTATTTTTTTGTCCATAAATATAAAATTTTCAACATTGTGAAATTTCTTTTACGCAATTTTTGTTAAAAATAAAATACCTAAACTTAGTGACATTAGATTATTTAAAATCTTTAATTTTTTACTAAAATAAAATAATTAAATTAAATAATTAAATTTTACAAAGAATTCTTTTAAAATCTTTGACAATAATTGAATGTTTGTGTGGTATTTTATTAAATTAAAAAAAAAATAATATTGAATTCCTAAAAAGCATTTTATTATTTATGAAAATAATTGAATTCTTGAGAACGATTTTATTGGAATTTTTTAAAATAATTGAATTTCCAAAAAGAAATTTATTACTTTTAAAAATAATTGAATTCTTGTGATAAATATCGTTATTTATGAAAATAATTGAATTTTCGGAAATAATTTTGTTATTTTTATCGACATAATTGAATTCTTTCGAAGAATTATTTATTTAAATAATTGAATGTTTAGGAAGAATTTTATGAAAATCTAAAAGAATAATAGAATTATTTGAAAAAAGTTTAATTCAAATTGTGTTTAAAACAATTCAAACAATTTTTTTTAAATATTTGAAAATAATTGAATTCCTGTGAAAAATTCTAATATGTTTATAAATAATTAAATTCTTCCAAAGAATTTTAAAAAATATTTTTTTTTAAATAATTTATTTTTTTTGAGGAATTGAAATTAAATTTTTAAGAATAATTACATTTTTTAACCAATTCCTGTAAAATTGTATTATAATTTTAATATTTATGAAAATAATTGAATAGTTGCTAAGAAATTTATTAAAATTTTCAAAAATAATTAAATTCCTGAGAAGAATTTTTTTATTTACGAAAATAATTGAATTATTGCGAAAAATTTTATTAAAATGTTTAAAATAATTTATTTTCTGTGAAAAATTTTGTTATTTTTGAAAATAATTTAATTTGTCATAAGACTTTTATAAATATTGTTAAAAATTATTCATTTTTTCGAAATATGTATAATAAATATTATGAAAATTTTATTTCAAATAATTGAATTCTTCTGGAAAACTTTATTTGTGAAAATAATTGAATTTTTCGATTAATTAATTTAAAATAATATTAAAAATAATTTAAATTAATCAAAAAAAATTTTAAACAATTTGTATTTCCATGACAAATATCATTAGTGAAAGTAATTGAATTATTGTGAAGAATTGTATAAAAATTTCGTTAAATAATTAATTTTTTTAGAAATGCTACTCTAAATTAATTGAATTCCTGTGAAAATTTAATTAATTAATTATTATTTTATTAATTAATTTTATTAATTCCTATATAATAAATTTAGATCCTAAATAATGCCAGAAAAAAAAATTGGCGCCTCTCAACAACGTAAATATCGAAGAGTTGAAATTTCACCGGTTCCTCTCCGTAAGAAATAAATAAAAAAAACTATTTGTATTTTTAATTTATAAAAATCAATAATGCAATTTTCAAGAAAAATTTTTAAAATTATTACTAACGGGTTTATTTTTAATTGTTACGTCAAAATTAAGCGCTAATGTAGTAAATTAAACAGAGCTTTGATTTTTAATTGTGAAAGACAACGAAAATTATTTTTTCATTAAAGAACATTTTTGAATAAAGTTTAGACTGTAATCCATAGTTGTAAATACCTCTATGTTTAATGTTTTTAAATTGTATTGAATAATTTTTTTTTATAATAATAATGATGAATTTGCTGGCGCAGTTGTTTTTAAAGAACAAACTGCAATTTAGCATGTTGGTCATTTATATACTTTTATAGATACGAAGAAATATTTTTTCCCCTCTTCTACATACCAAGCTTTGAAAATAATTAAATATTGCAATACACAATATAAGTACTCGATTTTTTTCCATTTACAAATACGATAAAAAGTAAATTTTTATTTCTCAATATACCGAAATGATAGGTATATTTTTTTTATGAAATTTAAAAATAAAATGAATGAAATAATAAATTTTGCTGCTTTTAAATACATTATCTAGTTAAGTTACTCTTGGAGTAATTTTGAAATATGTATTTAATAAATTATTTTTTTTCCTAGGAAAGTAATTTTCAATTACAAAAATAATTATCATGAAGATGAAATTAAAGTGAATTAGTTCACTTGAATCGTTAAACGAAATTATATGTCTTTATCGAATACTGCAATAAGAAATTAATATTGTCAACGTGACAGTATAAATTTATCACAGATTTTCAACATGTCCAGGAGCTTTAATTTAACTAGGATTAAAATACAACTATATACATTTGTATTCAGAGACAAAAATGTGTAGTTGAATGAAAGTAATTTTTTTTTTTTTGTAATACACATCTCTGTTTCTGTTTCTTTTTTTGTTTCTCAATTAGTAACTTTCGCAAACCAAATTTCTATAATATTTTGTAGACAATGGAGGAAGCTAATCTACTAAGATTAGATCTGAAACCTCAAATACAGAATGTATAGTTAAACAAATTGTTACAAAATTCATAAGGTCGTTGATTAATTATGTTCAACTTCTTAACATAATTTCAAACTAAAAATTCGTTTTTAACAAAAAAAATTATAATTTAACAAATTTGAAAATTAATCAATGTGGAAAAAAAAAATTTTTTTTTTTGTTTTTTTACAGATTTTTGAAAAAATCTGTTATACAATTTTTTCACATTGATTAATTTACAAATTTGTTAAATAATAATTACACAGACCTCGGAAAATTTTTGGTCTTTAGACCCACGAACCGAATACACTGAAAAAAAATCTGATTCAAATAATCAATTATTTGTCAATTATCAATTTTTTTTTTTTTGAATCAAATAATTTTTATTTCAATCAAATAAATTTGAACCAATAATTATATTTGAATCAATAATTTCAGTATTCGAACCATTTAATTGACTCAAATAAAAATTATTTGTTTCCAGTAAATTTTTAATTGATTGTCAAGTAATTGGTTATTTGAATCAAATCAATTTTTTTCAGTGCATTTCTAATGCAATTTTTTACGCTGAATGCAAAAATGATCTTAAAATTGTTCCATCGCTTCAGGATTTTCCGGTATATTTTCAACTATGTACATTAGTGAACATGTGAAAAAAATATTTTTTAATACTTTTCATTTTACAACCATAAATATTGAAAATCGAAAATTTTTTAAATCCACAGAATTTTAATAATTTCCTTCAGATTAAATTTAAAAAAAAATCAGAAAATATATTTCATGTCCAATTTTAATACTGATGGCATTTATAAGTGAAATTTTTAAGCGATAAGATACTTCTTTTCTATTAACAAAAATTTTTTAAAAAATAGTAAAAATAAAAATTTTGGGTCGACAATTTTTTTCTAAACATAAAACACATTTTTTTAAAATTACGGATTATTAAAGTTCTTTGAAAAAATGTTAACAGTTTTTTTAAGTAGATCCTAATGTAAATAGTTAAAAATATAGCCGAACTCTCTTAAAAAATTATAATTTAGCTAATTTTTAAAAATCCAGTTATACAATTTTCACAAAAAGTAAAAATCATGTTTTTTTTCATTTAAGAAAGAATTCTGCTGATAATCGAATCTAAAGTCATTTTAATTCAATAGTTCAGTATTGTTGAATAGGAAGAAAAACAGTTAAATTTCTAACATTTAAAATAGTGAAAAGTTGAATTTGAATAAGAATTGTATTTTTCTGTCAATAGAACATTCATCTGCTTCATTCCCTATTGACGGAAAATTATACTTTTTATTCAAATTCAACTTTTAATTCTTTAAAATATTTCTAAAAAATTATAATTTCTTAATTCGATTCATTTATAAATTTAGTGAATTAGTAAATTTAAATTTAAATTTAAATTTTTCTAATTTTGACAAACAATAATTTACATTTTTTATTCTCTACAATAATTTTTTCTTGAAATTCGTAAAAAATATTTTGTTTTAAGAAAAATGTTATTTAACAAAATCTGATAAATTATTGCTCGTAAAAATTTGATAAAAATTGACAATTATTGTTATTAGAAAATTGTGTAACTGAATGTTTTAAATCTTTTAATTGACTAATTAATAATAAAAATTTGAATTAAAATTTTTCTAATTTTGACAAACAATAATTTACATTTTTTATTTTCCACTATAATTTTTTCTTGAAATTCGTAAAAAATATTTTGTTTTAAGAATATTTAAAAAAAAAATTTTTATTTAACAAAATCTGATAAATTATTGCTCGTAAAAATTTGATAAAAATTGACAATAATTGTTATTAGAAAATTGTGAAACTGAATCTTTTAAATCTTTTAACTGATTAATTAATAATAAAAATTTGAATGAAAATTTTTCTAATTTTGACAAACAATAATTTACATTTTTTATTCTCTACAATAATTTTTTCTTGAAATTCGTAAAAAATATTTTTTTAAAAAATTGTTATTTAACAAAATCTAATAAATTATTGCTCGTAAAAACTTGATAAAAATTGACAATAATTGTTATTCGAAAATTGTGTAACTGAATCTTTTAAATGATAATCTTTTAATTGAATTTTAATTAAATTAAATTTAATTTCAATTACATAATTAATTTTTTAATTATAATTAAAATTTAATTTAAAATTGGAAAATAGCAAATTTTTTGTTTGAAATTACGTCGAAGTAAAGTGAACATTCTTCTTTTAAGTTACATTGTATTTAACGAAGATTAAATTCATCAGGGTGACCAGATTATCGAATCGATTTCGACGTTTGTAGAACAAATGTTTGCATTTGCATTGCTGTATATTTAATTGGTAAAATATAAATACAATTAACCAATTGCAAATTAACAATATTATATTATTGCAAGACACCCTGAAGGAAATTTGAACAATTATCACGTTTTACAAAGTACAAATCTTTTGGAGTTTCGAAGTATTTTTAAGAAAATTGTTGAAAAACTTTTATAAGTAAATATTTAAATATTAACCGGACTCTGGGAAAGTAAATAATAATCGTTCAAATACTCTTAAAGCACCGGTCACCCTAATTTTCAAATTCGACTGATTTTATGAATTCAATATAAATTGAACTGAACGATTCAATCAGTTGAATGCGGAAAATTCAAACAAATTGTGATTAAAATTAAGAAATTCAATGAATCTGTTTTTTTAAATAAAATTCTATCTACGTGAGTGTTTTATGAAAGATACCAAATATAATATAACGAACACTTGCAAGTTGACTATAAAAAGCATTTATGCATCAATTAAATACTGTCAAAGTTTTGTGTGTATGATTTTATGCTGCTTTACACAGCTTTAAAAAATCATTCGCCATCATTTTTATAATCGGAAAAACAAATGATGGTACACGTTTTAAAAATATACTAAAAATGTTTTCCCTCGGACACTTTTTTTTTCTTTCTCTTAAAGAAAGTGCTAGAAAATTCAGTCACTACACTTTCAAGCCTGCTTTCAAGCCTGCTTTCAAGTTTTTCACATACCAAGGCTGGCAGTCTATTATTTTTGCGACGCAGTGTTGTTGCATTGTAAAAAACGATTTTAACAAAAATTTGACACTTTTTTCTTTTTCAGTACAGATATTTTTTTATATAATAAAATTTAAGCGTAATTTTTTTTTTGTTTTTGGAAGTGAATTATTCTATATAAATAAATAACATTCAACAATAAAACTGTTTCGAAAACAAAGACGTATTAATCGATTTTGGCGAATTGCAATCCACTTTCGAGTCTTTGAGAAAAAGCCTCCTCTTGAAAGAGCAATTTCGTCTAGCAAAGATAATTGTTGGACGTGAACTTGAGGGAGCCGCGACAAGTGCTGGAGGGCGTGTTGTTATCGTCGTCGGAATTGTCGTGTCGACTTATCGAGAAGCTGGGTTTCCTTCGGTCGTCCTGATAGCGCGACTCATTGAGCAGAGACTTGGTGTCGTTCTCGACAATGTCCTGCAAATGATTCCTGAGCGTGGCCAATTCCTGTTTGTCCTCCTGAAAGGCACCGACGGTGGTGGACTTCTCGTAGAAGAGAATGTAGGGCGTGTCAGGCGGCTCGAGTCTCTTGAAGTCCTCGAGTGTCGTGCATGACACGTAATTGTCGTTGAATCTGTACCACTTTTGCCTCGAGTCACAGGCGTAGGTGAAATAATGTCCATAGTCGACACTGTAACCCGAGTGAACGACGGCGGCGTACAAACGATAAGTCTCGGGCTCCGAGTCCAAAACGGGCAATTGAATTGTCTCATCGTAGGCGACTTTGTGCCGCAGCTTTGCCCTCAGCCGACTGTCCGAATCGTAGCGAAAGTGCTTCAGTGTCAGGATGAGATGTGCGGGTGCTTGAAGGATTTTGATTATCCTCTGAGCGTCGCAGAGGTTCATGCATTTGTCACAACGATATTTATTGTCGCCGGTCAATTTCTCAGGAGCGAGGTAATAATTAATGAGACTCTGAACACTGACCTCGTGATTCTCGGATATCTCCTCGGGGAAGCACAATTGCAAGTCGCGAAATTTGTCAGTGTTGTCGGAACTGTTATCACATTGTTGACAGTGATAGGTGATTTTTGACTCGCCACCGAAAACCCGATGGACGAGGATTGAGGGTGATGTCGTCACGTCTTCACCACCGACCGATTGGATTCCACTGTCTGTCGAGTCCGAATGACTGTCACTCAATTGTTGTGATTGCGGCAACTCATCACCTGAAAAATATTTCTTTCATTAGAACCAAAAATTATTAATCACGCGAGTTGTTTTCCTTTTCAGCAACAAAAATTTAATTTTGTTCTTCCCTGACTTTTCCCTGATTTCCAGACAAAATTTTCCCTCTTTCCCTGAACAAAATTTTGATTTACTCCAAAAATTATTAGATATAAAAAAATGTAATAACTTCGGAAAATAAATTTAAAACTATATAAATGACAATCGTTTCGTTGAAAAATTCTGAGAAAATTTAAAATCAATTCATGTTTTATAATAATTACAAATTTTTTAAACATTTTTCAGAAAAAATTGAATTATTTACAAAAATTTCAATAAAATTCTTCGCAAGAATTCAATTGAATTTTTACAAGTAATAAAATTTTTCACATTAATTAAATTATTTTAAAAAATGTGATAAAATTCATTGTTTTTCAATTATTTTTATAATCAAATTTTTCATAGAATTTCAATTATTTTTAATACAATTATTTAAAATGAATTTCCTCGAAAAATGTAATTATTTTCAAAATTTTTTTGCATGAATTTCAATTACATTTCATAAATAATTAAATTCATATCTGAAATTAAAATATTTTCAAAATTTTCTATTTTAATAAAATTTCTCAAAAGAATTCAATTATTTAAAAAAAACATATAGGTAATAAAATTCACTGCAAGAATTCAATTATTTTCATAAATATAATAAAGTTCCTCACAGGATTTCAATTATTAAAAAGAATGTAATAAAAATTCATTGCAAGAATTCAATTATCCTCCTAAATAAATAAAATTCATCACAGGATTTCAATTATTTTTAATGTAATTTTAAGTAAATTCTTTGAAAAATATAATTATTTGCAAAAATTGTATTAAAAATGTAATTATTTTCAAAAATTGTATTAAAATTCTTTGAAATAATTCAATTATCAATTATAAATTATTTTTAGTAATTTTTGCAAAAAATTCTTTGAGAATTTTCAAATCCATTTGTTTACAATTTAATTTAATGAAATTTCGATTATTCGAAAATTCTTGAATTAAATATTTAGAAAATAAAAACTTTTGAAATAATTTCAAAAAAAATTCAATTATACTTCAAAAAAATTTATTATTATCTAAAATTTAAACTAAAATCCATTTTTTACTTATTTTGTTTCTTTATTTTACAATAGAAAATACAAAATTAAATTATTTCTTGAGTAATTGAATGTTTCTCAAAATTGAATTTTCATAAAGAATTTTATCAATAAATTTTCAAATCATTCAATTGTTTCGACGAATTTTAATAGAATTTTAAAGAATAATTACATTTTTCGATGAATTCGAAAAAAAACTCTGTAAAAAATTGTATAGTTTATGAAAATATTGGAATTACAAAGAAATTTATAACAAATTTGTAAATAATTGAAATCTTGTGAATTTTTACTATTTATGAAAATAATTAAATGTTTTCGTAGAATTTTATCAAAATGTTTTCAATAATATTGAATTCTTTGGGAAAATTTTATTAAATTAGTAGATATTGAAAATCATTTAATTGAGAAAATTTTATGAAATAATTCAATTTAGGAGGATTTTTTTGAAACTTTTGAACATAATTGGATTTTTCAACAAAAATTTGCAAAAATGGTCTTAATCAACAAATTTTTAAATAATTGAATTCTTTTGACGAATTTTAATCAAAATTTTTAAGAATAATTATGAAAATAATTCAATTATTGCGAGAAATTAATAAAAAAATTGTAAATAATTCAATTCCTGTGAAATTTTTATTATTTATGAAAATAAGTAAATGTTTTCTTAGAATTTTATGACAAATTTTTATTCAACAATTGAATTCTTTTGGAAAATTTTATTAAAATAGTAGATATTGAAAAATCATTGAATTGAGGAAAATTTTAGAAAATAATTGAAATTTTGCGAACAATTTTATTCAAATTCTTGAAAATAATTGAATTTCGGAGAAGAATTTTGTTTTTTATGGAAAGAATTGATATTTTGGTGAGAATTTAAAAAAATTTTTGAACGTAATTGAATTTCTGCGAAGAAATTTATTACTTTTGAAAATAATTGACTTTTGCAATCATTTGTAACTGCTCGAAAATTAAATTTTTTTAAACTAAAATTCAACTATATTTAAAATTTGAAAAAAATTCTCGTAAAAATTTCAATTATCTTTATAAGTAACAAAATTCTTCTCCAAAAGTCAATTATTTTCATAAATGTCAAAAAAATTTTTTGTCCTGTTCCAAAAATAAGATTAAAAATAGAAATTGTGCAAATATTTTTCTTCTTTTTCTAAAACAAAATAATAATTTTATTAAAAAAAAATTGTGATTCATAAACAAAAATAATGCAAAATAAATAAATCACCCATATAGAGTTAAAAATGTTACCTTGACTAAAATCAGCTAAAGACTGTGTTTTCCTTCGTAAAACAGGATTTTTGGTTAAATCTTCCTCTGTTGGCCAATGATTCAAAACCGATTCATCGCCCATAATTTCATCCATAGGTTCATCAGAATTTGGTTTCAAATCGACCGTCGTTTCTGCATTACCACTAATTGCAATTGCCGATTTCTCTTGCTCATAAAGTACATCTAGTAAGTGACTGCAAGCAAATAATCAATTAAAAAAAATTCCCAAATAAATAATTAATTCAGATAGCTTCAAATCAAGAAATTAAATCACTTATTACATAAACACTCAGTTAGGTGGGAGAGAAGTTATTGGAATTTTACGTAAGATTTATTTATTTATTTATTTATTTATATAAATATTAGGCTGTATGATTAATATAATCAAATAAAAATTGAAGCAAATCGCCAACAAAATTTGACAAAGAATTATTAAAGAAATCCAACCGATCTGCATGGTTAGCTGATTTACATATTCAGATAAGATATGTAAAACTACTTTAAAAATAATTTTGTTTAATTAATGAAATATTTGTGATGACATTTTCTTAACATACTGCAAATATTTGAATACCATCAACAACGTTATTGACAAAGTGTTTTTTTTATGAATATTTTATCTGCTTAATTAAGGAAAAATAAGTCCGAATAACATTTCCGGGTAGAGGGGTTGAATAATCTTAGAGAAAGACTTACGTCATTTAATTTTTACTACTTTTGAAGCTTTTTTTAAAATTGTTTTTAGGCTAAATGCGAATTACTTGAAAAAATATTTATTTAATGTCATTAAATTTGGAAAAATTCAATTGTCCAGTTTTGAGAAAATATTTTCTTAAAAAAAGTTTATAAAAACTTTACAAAATGTAAATTTAAAAAGATCTTTCCTTAATTCTCGCATAAGATATACATAATTTTTTACTGTCATCTGTTAAAAACACATTTTTAATTAATTTTAATTTTAGATTTAATCTCTTTCTGCAATTTTTTCTTTTGGTATTTTAAATATTTTTTTGTAAACTATTATTTACAAAATTATAAACTGTATTAGAATTAAAAAATTTATTAATTTGAAGTTGCAAACTTTCTTTAAATTTTAATCTTTCTTAGCAAAGATTGAAATTTATGAAATTTTTAAAATAACTTTCAAACAATACTTATAATAATCTCAAGTTTCACGCCAAACAATAAATGAAACCTTGTATATTGAGATTTAAAAATAAACAGAAAAAAAAAATTACAAAAGTTACTAAACTTCTTGTTTACGAATTTTCCATTTAAGTTTGGAACATTTCCAAAACATCCTTTGTTTCCCTAAAAAATAAAGTCTTGGACAAAAGTTTTATACGTGACATTTTGAATGTTAAATGAACAAAATTTGTAGAAAAAAAAATAATAAATATGCAAATTTATTAGAATCTTTTTAAGCTATTAAAAGTTTTTTGAAAAAAAATCTTTGTTTCTGACCTAAAAATTCAAAACAATGCCATTAACATTCGATTTCTTTTATTTAATTACAATTAATAATAAATACGATTATTTTAAAAACTTAAAAGAAAATCTTCTTAAGGGCATTTGAACCTTGATGACGTTACAGATTGTGCAAAGCATGTGTGACGTCATCAAGGTTCAAATGCCCTTAAAATTCAATTACTTTCAAAATTTTTAGTAAAAATAATTTTTTTTAAAAACTCCATTATTATAAAGAAATTAAATAAAAATCTTGCCAAGAATTAAATTATTTTTAATACAATTTTAATTACATTTTTTTTTAAAGAATTCAATTATTGTAAAAAATGTTGATAAAATTCTTGAAATTAATTCAATTATTTTGAAATTTTCTGATAAATAGGTACTTTTCAAGAATTTAATTATTTTCATTAATAATAAAATTCTTCACAGGATTTTAATTATTTAAAAAAAGAATTGAATTATTTTCCTAAATAGTAAAAAAAATTCTTCACAGGATTTGAATTATTTTTAAAAAAATGTAATAAAAATTTGTTTGCAATAATTCAATTATTTTCCAAAATAATAAAATTCTTTACAGGATTTCAATTATTTTTAATACAATTTTAAGTAAATTCATTTTTAATTCAAATTATACCTATTAGAAAATCCTACAAGAATTCTGTTTTTAAAATACAAAAATAAATAATTTATTGAATAATTGAATGTTTCTCAAAATTAAATTTACATTGTAAAGAATTTTATTGATTTTTAAATAATTTAACTTTTTTTAAATAAAAAAATAATAAAATAAAATAATAAAAATATTAAGGTCATAAATTTTTCAAGAATATATATATTTAAATTTCTATAAAAAATTTTATTATTTATGTAAATAATTGAATTATTGCGAAGAAGTATATAAAAAATTTGTAAATAAAATTGAATTCTTGTGAAGTTTTTATTATTTATGAAAATAATAAAAGTGTTGGTGTAGAATTTTATTAAATTTTGTTTTAAATAATTGAATTCTTTTGGAAAATTTTATTAAAATAGTTGTTATTGAAAATCATTGAATTGAGGAAGATTTTTGAAAGTATAATTGAATTTTTGCCAAGAATGTTATTAAAGATTTTGAAAATAATTGAATTTCGGAAAAATTATGGTAATAAAACTTTAAATAAATAATTAATAAATTTTGTTGATTCTAATGTTTAGAATTTTATGAAAATTTAAGATATAAAAGTACTGGACAATTATTTTATAAAAGTGAAATATAAAATATTTGAAACTATCTTTCATTGAATGTTATATTAAAAATATAAAATAGTTCTTCTTACCAAAGAAATTCAGAACTGTCTTGTTGTTGTCCTGGCATAAAATAGGCGGGTCTTGACACTTGAAAAATTTCATTCGGCGAAAGAGAATTTCTCTTCGAATGCATCAGCAGAGCAAACAATTTTTGTAATTTACTAAGCAAAACTTGACTACCAAGATCATTGACTTTATAATTCAACACCTCGTATCGAAATTGTCTGGTCATAGCTAAAGCTTGCAAAACACTGTTCATGTAACAGGTATTTCCCAAATTGGCGAGGCCAACTTTACTGTCCACATTTCGTATACTATCAATACTGACGATATTAATTCTACTCCTCTCCGGCACATAACTCAGCTGAAACTTATTTTCCCTCTCGACATTCCAAAAAGGGTTCTCCAATATTTTCCGAACAATGTCTTCTCGCGGTCGAACCGGGAAAGTCTGCTCGATTTTCTCACGATCTTTAACCTCGAATCGAATTAATAAAGCTTCAATCACATCGACAATTGTTTGAAGACAATCATTAGCGTACTCTTGATTCAAATTTTTCAAAACGTTCAAAACATTTTTATTCTTTATTGTGTCGACGAATGTAAGAAACACATCGGGATTGCTCTGCATTTGCAGCATGTAGAGGAGAATTTTCCCCACCGATTGACTTTGTTTCTCAAAGTAAAAAGCCGTGAAGACATTGTTCAAATTTAACGTTGCCTCTGCGACACTCATCAGAATATTGTATTTTTCCTTCAACTCTAATCCTCGAATGAAAGTCATGAGCCATTCGGACAAGAGTTCATTATCCATGAAGATGAGGCACCATTGGAAAATGACAAACAACGCTTGCACCAAGTCAGGATCCTTGTAAGGTGTGTCGAGATGTAAATAAACACCTTCCTTAATCAGCGACTTGTCGAGTAACAAAATTATACACAATGCGGTTCCTGGCACTTTTTCCCGACTTGTGTCCGAAATTATTTTATAAAGTTTCTGCAGACAAAACGAATGAAGACTCTTGTCGATCAAACTACTCAGATAAATATGAATCTGCCGCGTGCATGCCTGATAATTTTTAATTTCCTCCTTATTAATAGGCGTGTGACATCGAGCCAGACAACTGACAACTTGTTTCCAAAATTTCCCATCTTTCTGATTGCCATAAAGAAAAATTCTCTTGTAATCATTCACAACATTCAGGATTAACATCAAAATTTCAATGTCCTCGAGTTTGGAATTATTGAGAATATTTGCTAAATCATAGCCGAGATGCAAGTCAGGTTCATTGTCCAAATACTTAGCGAACCAATTTAAAAGTCTTGGTAATTCTTGTGTATTTTGCACAGTTCCGTGAAGGAGATCTTTGAGGGATGTTGTCAGAATGTCGACACAATTACGAGGTGTTTTGTCGAGGAGAAAATTCTTCTCAAGCTCTTCGAGATTGGTCCAGCCTTGAATTATTTTCTCCTTATCACCCGATGTAATAAATTGCAAAAGGGTTTGAAACTCGTTTAAACTATCAACATTGATATTCATTGTGAGAATGTGTGGCGAACGATCACTTATCACTTTTATCTAATAATTCTAATAATTACTATTCAAACGAAATATTAACTACTTTTAACCTCTTTTCTCTTTAACGATGAGAAATCAGTATTATTACCTGGACAGAGCCATGGCATATTCACTTGTATTCACTAGAACAACACGATTGATATTATTTGCTGAATTCACGAATTACGACAAAGAGACACCATCGTGTACCTCGAAATGACAAGGCAAGAGCAGGCAAGTTTCACGAGCGCCGCCACACGTCAGAAAAACCAGAAAAACCGCAGGAAAACTCGGAAAATCACATTCACGCATTCATTCTTATCTTCTGACGTTTCTCTTTGTGTGCGCCTCTCACATTATGTGCACTGTTAAACTCTACACGAGGTAAACACGGACCGCACGGACCTTTTAAAAAAGAGAAAAAGTCAAGGAGAGAAAATTTTAACTGTTCCTAATTCACTTTCAATATTTAAATTTTCCGCTGCAAACGTGGCGTCCTCATGTACTTTCACATTTAAAACTTGCTAATTTTTTAACAAATAAACATTTACTAATATGTTGTACTATTAATGTCATTTTTTCTTTAGTATACTTGATACGATTTTCCGGAAAGAATTCGCAAAACTGTATCAAATTTGAGAAATGAAAGTGCAGGTTATTTCGCTGTCGATAAAAGAAATTTCTACCTCATCGACTCAAGAACGTGGCGCTAAATTTAAATTTCTTAATAAGAGATTGAAAATTTGTTCATTTGTCAAATTTAGTAAAATGTTTTCTTAATAAAGGATTGAAAATTTGTTGATCTGTCAAATTTAGTAAAGTGAGTTGAAATTTTACAATTCTTCTGATCATAATATTTATTTACATAAACAGTCTGTGAAATAGATTTACAATATAATTTTCTTTTATTTTTTCACTGAAAAGCTAACCTAAAAACGCACCAATCATACATATATAATAATATGTCGAGATTTATTATTTTTTAGAACAAAATTTATATACTTATTTTTAAAAATATTAATTAAATTCAATTATTTTCAAGAATTTTAATATAAAATACAATTATTTTCAACAAAATTTTGATGAAATTATTTTAAAAAGTCATCATTTTCAAAATTTTTAATAAAATTTCTTCGACAATTATTTTTGAAAATAATTAAATTATATCTTAAGTATAGAATTTCATAAAAAAATTTTTTAAATAATTGAATCCTTGCGAAAAAATATATTATTTCAACAAAGAATTTAATTTTTGCGAAATTAAAAAAAAATAATTGAATTTTCGAGAAGAATTTTATTGAAATTGTATTTAAAAAAAATTGAATTTTTATGAAAAATGTACTATTTTCTGATATTATTGAATTCTTTCGAAGAATTTTAAAAAAATGTTTAAAAATAATTCAATTTTCCCTGAAATTCAATTAAAATTGTATTTCAAATAATTGAATGCTTAAATTGGATTTTATTAAAAGTTTTTTAATTAATTGAACTTCTGTGAAAAATTCAATTATATTTTTTTTAATAATTGAATTGTTTGGGATAATATTTTACCAGATTTTTCAAAATAATTGAAATTTTCGAAAATATAATTTAAAAATGGAATTGAAAATAAGTGAAATCCTAATAAAAATTTTATTATTTAAATAAAAATAATTGAATTTTTCACGAAGATTTTTATTATTTAAAAATATGACTAAATTAAATTATTTTCACTACATTAATTTTTAAAGTTTAATTATTTTACACAAACAATTTTAAAGAAATAAAATTTATATTGATGCGTTTGAATCTGTTCAATGTTTGAAGTTAGTTCACGTTTGCTTCTTAAGTTTTTAAATAAATTTTCTTTTTCAATTGTTATTAATATTTTTGAAAATAATAAACATAAATATTTAAATAACTTTTTTTATTTTCAATTAACAAAATTAAATAAAAATGGTTTTTACATTCTTAGAATAAAGTGAAAGGGAGAAAAAAATACTTCATTTGCTTTAGAAAATTTAAATATGCTATATTTATTTACAAAGTAACATTTTCTATCTTTATTCATATAAATTTTTTGTATTAGATTAACATACATATATTTATACTGCACTAAGGAACATTACGAATAAAAACTGTCACGGTGATCTCGATGTGTTTTTGAACAATGTGCTCGTCGTTCTGTAAATGCTGCCATTCGAGAAGAGGAAATTGTAGCACCTTTAGAAACCTAAAACATAAAGAAATTAATTTAATATAATTTTTATTTTATAAACTTTTAATATATCTTTAAATAAGATCAGAAAAATTTAAATATAAAATTTAAAGCATACCTTGAACCACGGGGAAGCCAAAGATGTTTCTGCACTCGCTCGATCTTCGCCTCTCAAGCATAATAATCTACCAAGTAAATCTTTCGCCTCATTTGAAATTGTCTCAAAATATTCGTCGGGGAAACAAAAATCACATTTTAAAATATTTGCCGTTGTTTCTTCCACTGAATCGTCTAAGAAGGGTGAAAGTCCACTGAAAAAAAACCACATAGGAAATTAATTTCTCGAACGCAGTACAATTTCTCATTACAAAATTATAATTCAAAGAACAATACAAAATGTATCGACAAGATTTTGAATATTTTTAACTTTTTTTAAAACTGTTGATAAATATTTCTACATTATATGTAAAATATGTTCTACTTTATAAGTGTTTTCAATTTTTAAATAATTTATAAATTTTTTGAAAAAGTCTTCAAAAAGGGAAAGAAAAATTATTAAAGGGTCAATCAATTAGATTTCATCTGAACTGGCTGCGGTCCATTTTTAATTTTTAGAAAATCTGATAATACGAAGTAAAAATATTTAATATCCTCATTGTCAAAAATTTTAATTTGATATTTTTTTAAATTCAATTATTTCTAAAAATTCATGCTATCATTCTTTAAATACTCAATTATTATTTAAAATTTTAACTAAAATTCATTTTTAAATAATTTTTTATTAGAAAATTCTACGAACATTAAATTGTTTAAATTAATAACTTCTTAAAAATTTAATTGTTTTAATGTTTCTAACTAAAATTCTTCTTTAAATTAATTATTAAATTCATTAAAAAATTTAACTAATTTCAGAAGAATTTAAAAATTATTCAAAATTGTCAAAAATCTGAGTTATTTAAAACTTCTAATTAAATTCATTCAAAATTGAAATTTTCTAAAATTTCAAATTGAAACCTTTTGATGTTCACATTGTAATGAAAATTGTAAACCCAACAAAGAGTTGGAAAAATTTAAATTTAAATTTGAAAAGTCAAATTTAATTAGTTTTGAAATATTTAAGTAAAATTATTCATTAAATATTAAACATCTTTACTACATACGTATTATCAGATTTTCAGAAAATAAACCGCAGCCATTTTGGGTGAAATATAATTGACTGACACAAAATATGCACTTTGTAGAGTATTGTTTCAAAATGATGAAGATTTACCTAAGAAGTACATAAATAAATACTCCGGCAGCCCACATATCGGTGTAAAGTCCAGTGGGTCTGCCTAAAACGGATTCAGGTGCTGCAAATTCCAGATCAGCGGGAGGCACAACTTCGTCAACCGGTCCTCTAACCGACTCTCCTAAATCAATGAGCTTCACAATTCCAGTCTCTTGATCAACCAGAACATTCTCCGGCTTCAAATCCAAATGAGAATTATTGCGACGATGTAACCATTGAAGTGCTGAGAGCAGTTGATTTGCAAATTTACTCGCCATACTCTCCGTATATTCAGTCTTTTTGCTCAAATATGAAAAGAGCGTCGGGCCACGAACTCTGAAAGATGAATTGCATTCAGTTTTAAATTGTATAGATACTACTACTATTTCAACTAGCGAAACAAAACTCACAATTCTAAGACGATTGTATCGATTCCTGGCTGAGGGGCGTTTTCGAAAAGCGCAAAAGCCCTGACAATGTTCCCGTGATGAGTGGAAGCGAGTAAATCGTACTCGGCGCGCGTCAATGAGCGCGACTGCTTCCGCCTGGGAGTCTGCTTGAGAGCGACTTCCTGGCCCGTTCCTCGATCCCGCGCTCGCCGCACGACGGCAAATCGTCCCTTGCCGAGCTCGTCCAACTCCAAGTACCGGGCGACGAATTGCTCGGCTTCCCAGGCGGTGCCGTCGCCCAGAGGGAGGTTCACGATCGGCGAGGCCGACGTTGTGATTCCATTCTTGCCCACCACTCGGAAGCTGTACGAAGTTCCCGGCAGAAGGTCCAACATCACTGGCGGACTCTCCACCTCCTCGAGGGCCAGGGTCCAGTTGAAGGAGGGCAACGATCTGTACTCGACGCTACATTTCCCCACTTCTCGATCCTCCCAGTCGATTTCGATTCTTGTCGAGTCCAGCACTCGGGCCCAGGTTGTTCCGCTTCCGCCTGGAATTTCAAGCACTTTTTACAAAAAATCGTCAATAAAAAGTAATTCTTTATTTAAAATCAGTCCTTTAACTCCCACTGGTTGTATTAAAAATTCGTTAGTCATCATAACTTTTAAACTCTTAGCGTCTCGTTTAATATAATTTATTTAAAATAACTCTAATTTTCTCATTTAGCTTAATTTTTCTTTCCTAACTTTTTAAATAATTTTTCTCTTAAAATGTTTTCTATTTCAAAAGGGAGACTTTGACAACATTTTTAGCTATATCAACAAAATGATTTAAATCTTCCAATAAATTATTTTTACAGCAATTTTTTGAGAGGAAATCAGTGGTTAGAAAATATTCTGACCCTTTTTGGTCTTTTATTTTTCTTAAAAATTGATAGATTTTAAAATCCATCCGTATTTTTTTAGAAAATTTATTTTTGTACCCACAAAAAAAATTATCGAATGAAAAAGATGATTTTCAACCTAAAAATGTTTTTTTTCAAAAAACTGCTTCAAAAAGTAGTGAAAATCAATTTTTTCATTTGGTATTTTTATTTTGTTGATACAAAAATATAATTTCTACAAAGTTACGAATGGAATTTAAAATCTATCAATTTTTAAGAAAAATAAAAATTCAAAAAATAATCAGAATATATTTCCCGACTATTCAAAAATTTACTAGAAAATTGATTTTATAAAAGATTTAAATTATTTAAAAATGCAGTCGAAGTCTCCTTAAAATTAAAGTATTTAAAATCATTGAATTCTTGGGAAGTATTTTATTAAAATTTTTTAAAATCCTAATTAAAGTCTTTTGAAGAATATCTATGAATTTTTTTTATTAAATAATAGAGTTTCTTTAATAATTTTAACTAACAATTTTGAAAGTAATTGAATTTTATGAGGAATTTCTTTCAAGTTTTTTAAATAATCGTGTTTATTAATAATTGAAATTAATAATTTTGCTATTAAATTATATTAAAATTTTTGATAGAAAAATAAATTCTTTAAAACAATTTTTGTAAACAATTAAATTATTTTGAAGAATTTTTTACGGTTTTTGAAAATATTTTAGTTATTTTAATTAAAAATTTTGAAAATTATTGAATTAAACAAAAAATTTTTTTTAAACTTTTTAAAATAATTGTGCCTGTTAAAAATTAAAAATTTGATTATTATCCAATTATTTAAAAAAAAATTAAATTTTCTTCATAAGAATGAAATTATATTTATAAATAAAAAAATCTTGTCAGGAATTAAATTATTTAATAAATTTTTAATAAAATTCGTTGTAAACATTTAATTACTTTGGTAAATTATACAATTTTCAGAGTAATTCAATTATTTAAAAAAAATATTTTATAAATTCAATTATTTGTAAAAATTCTTATAAAATTCGTTGCAAAAATTCAATTATTTTCATTACTAATAAAACTCTTAGCAGGATTTTAATTATTTTAAATATAATTATAAATTAATTCATCAAAAAATGCAATTATTCTTACAAATTTTATTAAAATTCTTTAAAAGAATTTAATTGTTTAAAAAATTTTTGTTATAATTTGTTTATTAGAATTTAATAATTATTTTCAATATATTTTTAATAAAAATTTTCTTCAAAGAATTAATTACTTTCAAAAATTTAAATGATATTCTTCGTGACAATTCAATTTTATTTAAAAAAATGTTGATAAAGTTCTTGATCTAACAATTGAATTTTATGAAATATTCAATTATTTAATAAATTATTTATTTTAGTATTTAAGTAATTGAATTCTTATAGAACTTTCGAATAAATTGATTTAAAATTGAATTTCAGTTAAAATAGCAATTTTTTTACTGCTTTTTTTAATTCTTAAATCTACTTTTTTGCTACTTCTTTAAAATTAATTGTCGAGTACGAATCATAATTTTTTAAAAATTGTATTTTTGCTACGAATTTTACTATTTACAAAAATAATTAAATTCTTCCGAACAATGTTATTATTTACGAAAATAATTGAATTCTTGGGAAGAATGTTATTATAGAATTTTTAAAAATCCTAATTAAATTCTTGTGAACAATTTCTTTCAATCTTTTTAAAATAATCTGGAGTTTCTTTAACAATTTTAATTAAAAGCTTTGAAAATAATAAAATTTTATGAACAATTTCTTTCAAGTGTTTAAAAAAATCGTGTTTCTTAATAATTGAAATTAAACATATTATTATTTTAAATTTTATTAAAATTTAGAAAATAATTGAATTTTTTCGAAAAATATTATTAAAATTTTTTTAAAAATTGAATTCTTCCATGAAATTTTACTACAATTGTATTAGAAATAATTGAATTTTTGCAAAGAATTTATTAAAATTTTATAAAATAATTGAATTCTATTGAAACTTTTTATAACGAATTAAGAAAAAAATTGAGTTTTTTCGTAAAATTGTTTTGAATATAATTGAATTTTTGCAAAGAATTTTAATATTTATAAATATAATTAAATTTATTGTTTCGAAGGATTTATTAAAATTTTAGAAAATAATTGAATTTTTGCAATGAATTTTATTAAATTTTTTTTAAATAGTTGAATTTTTACGAAGAATGTTATTATTTACGAAAATAATTGAATTTCTTCGAAGAATTTTATTTAAAATTTTTGAAATTAATAAACAAGAATAATTAATTAGTAAATTAGTTATTAATTGAATTTTTTTTTCAACCTAAAATTATTCGAAAATTCATATTTGAAAAAAAAAAAATTTTGTAATTTGCATAGATAATAATAATAACAAATTTAATATTATTTTCCGCGTGTTAGCGCGCATAACATTTGCTAATTTTAATATTCTGAAACTAAGTGAAAATGATTCTGGTTGGACAATTCTTGAATACAAAAAAAATTTTTTAAATAGAATTCTTTTAAAAAAATTTTTTTAACAACTATTTGTTCAATATAGTATATTGTTAAATATAGTAAAGTATAAAATTTAATAAATAGTTGTTAAATATTTATATTAAATAATATATTTAACTATTTGTTAAATATAGTAAAGTATAAAATTTAACAAATAGTTGTTAAAAAAACAATTTTTAAAAAGAATTCTATTTAGAAAATTTTTTATATATAAAAATATAAAGTCCACCCATTTAATGGAGTAAATAAATAAAAAAAACAAACCAGTGATGCGAAGGGCGATCGAACTGGAGCAAGATCCATTTTCACATTGAATATTGCACTGATAGACTCCGGAGTCTGAAGGCCGGCATCTTGAAATTTCCAAATAATAAAATCCAGCGCTGTGCCCGAGTCGCAGACGGTCGTCCTGCTCGAAGCAGAGCTCCTCGCCCTCTCGCTTCCACGAGACGATGGCACCGTCGACGGCGCCCGAGACCTGGACGGCGAGTCTCGCCACCTCGCCGGCGTTCGCTTTTATCGGCGACGGCGCACTCGACACGCAGGGCGGCGTTTTGCCGAGGCTGTTTTTCGACTCGGCGATGGGATTCTTGTCGGCATTCTGCTTCCTCGGTCGAAAGGACCACGCACGGCTCACGGACGAGTTCGGAATGAGACTGGCTGGAATCCAGGACTCCTCCTTGGCTCCCTCGGTGGGCGAAACCACGAGGCCGTTCCCGTCGAGTCTAGTCACGATCAACTCTTCTCCGGCTCGCAGTGCTCCCCAGTCCGCTGCTAATCGCACTCGCGCACCTGGTGCGACCTGGAGACAATTTTCTTACTTTAGAAATAATAAATACAGAAATTCAGATAAACTTCAATCACATGCATTTATTCATACTGTTTTCGTCGTTATTGTTTTTTACTTTTCTGCACTATAGCTTCCTATTTATTATTTTTCCTGTTTTATTATTTATTTTTGAAAATGAAAGTAAAATAAAATAAATAAAAAATTAATAATTTTCAAAATTTTTTATAGATTTATGAATTTATAAATAAATAGCAAAAGATAAAATTATTTCACTCACCGATTTATTTAATTCAAATTATCTTTAAATTAAAATTTCAAATTTGATTATTATAAGGTTGTCACTTTTTACTGCCTTTTTGAAATAAAATTAGCAATTTTAAAAATGATAGAATTTAAAAATTTTCTAATTTAAACTTTTGTTGAAAACACTAAAAACAATTCAATTTTGGAAAAAATACAAATAATAGCAGAAATTCAATTATTTTCAAACAAAAAAAAATTCTTATAAAATTCAACTATGTTAAAAAATTTGAAAAAAATTCTCGTAAAAATTTATCTTTATAAATAACAAAATTCATCTCCAAAACACTAAAAACAATTCAATTTTGAAGAAATTACAAATAATTGCAAAAATTCAATTATTTAAAAAAAAAAATTAAATTCTTATAAAATTCAACTATGTTCAAAAATTTGAAAAAAATTCTCGTAAAAATCTCAATTATCTTTATAAATAAAAAAATTCATCTCCAAAGTTAAATTATTTTCATAAATTTAAAAAAAATTCTTGTCCTAATTTCAATTATTTTCAAAAATAAAATGCATTTTTCTAATTTCAATGATTTTTAATATCTACGATTTTAATAAAATTTCCCAAAAAGAATTCAATTATTTAAAAAAAATTTTAATAAAATTGTAATGCAAACATTTAATTATTTTTATGAATAATAAAAATTTCACAGAAATTCAATTATTTTCATAAATAATAATTTTTTTTTAAGGAATTCAATTATTATTTACATAAAAAATAATTTAAAATTCTAGAAAATAATAATTGAATTAAAATGATAAAAATAATTTTGATGAAGTTACATCTATCTAAAGTTATCAAAAAACAAAAGTATAATTCTTCTTTAAATGAATTATTTTCAATAATTTTTGAAAAACTTCTTTGACAATTCTCAAATCCATTTGTTTACAATTCAATTTTACCAAAATTCGATTAATCGGATATTCTTTAGTTAAATAAAAATATTAGAAAATAGAAACTTAAAATAATTTTAAAAATATTCAATTAAACTTTTTTAAAAAAATCAATTCTACAGAATTGTTATTCAAAAGAATGAAAAATAGAGATTTTCCAAGAGTTTAATTTGAAACCTTTTCAAAATTCAATTATTTCTAAAGATTCAGACTATAATGCTTTTAATATTCAATTATTAACTATAATTTAAACTAAAATTCATTTTTAAATCAATTTTTATTAAAAAATTTTACGAGAATTCAATTATTTTAATACAAAAATAAATAATTCATTAAAGAATTCACTGTTTCTCAAATTATAAAAATAAGTAAATTTTATTAAAATTTTTTTTTAAGTAATTGCATTCTTTTGGAAAATTGTATTAAATGATTTAAAAAATTTTTGAATTGAGAAAAATTTAAAAAAAATAATTGAAATTTTTTTAATTCTATCATAAATTTTATTAAAATGCTTGAAAGTTAATTAAATTTTGATAAAGAATTTTATTACTTTGAAAAATAATTGAATCTCTGCAATTATTTGCAACTACTCCGAAATTTAATTTTTTTTTAGTGTTTATAACTAAAATTCTTTTATATAAATCAATTATTTTTAATTAATAATTAAATATGTATTAAAAAATTTAACTCATTTCAGATGAATTTGAATTATTGAAATTTTTCAAAAATCTAAATTCTTCAAAATTTCTAATTAAATTTATTCAAAGTTGAAATTTTATAATTTTTTGTTAATTTGAATTAAATTTTCTAATACAAAATTAATTTTTAAAAATGAATTTCAGTTAAAATTTTAGATTTGGATATTTATTATTCAAAATTATTCAAATATTCAAATAATATTTGAATATTGAAAGCATTATAGTATGAATTTTAAGAAATAATTGAATTTTGAAAATTTTTTCAAATCAAATTCTATGAAAATCTCAATTTTTCATACTAATTACGAACAATTCTGTAGAATTAATTATTTTGAAAAAGTTTATTTAAATTTTTTTTCTGAAATTATTTGAAGTGTTTATATTTTAATGCGTATTCAATTGAAGAATTTTTGAATAATCGAAATTTCACGTTAAATTGAATTGTAAACCAATGGATTTGAAAATTCTCAAAGAACTTTTTCAAAAATTATTCAAAGATTCAAAGAAAAATTTAAAGAAGAATTTTATTTAAAAAAATCTAGAAAAAATAATTGAATTAAAATTATGAAAATAATTTTGAAAATAATTTAGAAAAAATTACAGTAAAAATATTTCTATTACATAAAATAATGATCTTATCACTCCTTCACTTTTAATTTATTATAAGTTGTTAAATATCAAACAGCTTTGGATTTTGAATGTTTTGAAGAATAATTTTAATTCCTATGGAAAAATAATAATGATTAAATATTTATTTAGAAAAGAAGTTATTGATATTTTCGAATAATTTTACAATCGTTTTTAACAAATAGAAATTTTGTAAATATTTTTTCCAAAATAAATAAAAAATTTCTTAAACAAAATTTGATTTATAATCAATTTTTTTTACTTAAAACTTGTAATTTGTTTAAATGAATTGTAATTGAGAAGCAGAAAATGTGCAAAATATTTTCTACTTTCTAATTTTAATTTTCCAACAATTTTTTAATTTTTTTTTAGCAAAAAGTTTTTATTTTCTACTTTCTAATTTTAATTTTCCAACAATTTTTTAATTTTTTTTTAGCAGAAAGTTTTTATTTTCTACTTTCTAATTTTAATTTTCCAACAATTTTTAAATTTTTTTTTTAGCAAAAAGTTTTTATTTTCTACTTTCTAATTTTAATTTTCCAACAATTTTTTAATTTTTTTTTAGCAAAAAGTTTTTATTTTCTACTTTCTAATTTTAATTTTCCAACAATTTTTTAATTTTTTTTAGCAAAAAGAAAAAAAAAGCTGCATAAATTTGATTTGTCAAAAATTCAGAAAGTTTAATATCCTCGACTTAAGAGTTAGGTTCATCGACTTTGATCCTCTCTTAACGTTTGGATATTAAAAATTCGAATCACTAGACGATAAAAATCGTAAATGTTACCTGGAATGTAAGACCCTCCCCCGATGAAGTTTTTGGAAAACATGCTGCTTCTCATGCGGTTTCAAAGTTTCACTTGTTCTTAAAAGTAGAGATAGTAAGCACAAGAGTAGATTAGCAATAGCGGTAGAAAGTAGTAATAGTAGGAATTTGAAGTAGTTGAAGTAGCGAAAATTGAAGTATGCTTTTTTCAGCTGTTTTTTTCTTTTATTGTTAAGTAAAGATAATCGAAAAGAAGGAGAACCTCCACCCAACGTGCTAGTTAGTGTCTTTCGCTTGACCAATAAAAATCCTCTCTCTCTCGCTTTTTCTCTGCAATCGTTTTTAGTGAGCAAAATCAAGAAAATTATTTTACACGACAGTCCCCTTGCCACTCCACTTATCGTGTTGATAGTAGAGAAACGCGGGTTTACAACAGAAGGCAATGCAATAAAGAGCAGTTAACGACAGGCATCAAGAGGTGGAAGCAGAAGAGTTCCTCGGCTGTAATGGGAAGAATAAATTGAGAAACACTGTCCCTTGGGTGCTTTGGTTTTTTTTTGCGTGCCAGAAACGAGAATTGTGCAAGAGTCTCTCACCGGAACGGACGTCGATCGAACTGGTGAGCGCGCTCGCAGCGTGTTCCTAAATCCCTCCAGGAAGTTGAGCTTGCTCTTGGTGGGACTCGGCGTTCTCGGCGACTCGAAGCTGTCGAGGCCCCCGGTGCGTGATCGCTGGATCACTTGGGCCTTTCGTTGACTGTCACGCTCCTTGTTCGCCGCACCGGACACTGTCAACGTCGGCGGGACTGACGTGACCGCTCGGGTCAATGGTTCTGGTGTTGCGCTGCGGCTGTACGCCAGCAAATCATAAATGAATGCCTAACACAGTACCACTTGGGAGCAGAGCTCTGAGACAACTCCCCCATCACCTCGTACATTCAAGTTTCGATCGATATCAAGAAAATTATTCACAAACAAACAAAATTAAAAATTAATTCCTCTCTCGCTCTTTCTCTCTCTCACTCTCTAAATTTGAATCAGTTAAAAATAACTGATTCAGAAGCAAAAAGTCAGTCATTAATTCAAATAGTAATATTTCTACTGACAATTAGTTAAAAATAACTGATTGTCAAAAAATAATTTACTGAACTAAATTATTTTTTGACTGATTCAATTACAAACAATTTTCAATTTTAAATTGATTTCAATTAAAATAGTTATTAAAATAACTATTTTTTCATCAGTTATGTTTTACTGAAAATTAGTTATTTTTTCACTGAAAATCAGTTATTTGTAACTGATTCGGAAGCAAAATGTCAGCCACTGATTGTCAGTTAAAAACCACGATTTTTAACTGATTCAAATTAAGAGAGCACGATTCAATTAAAATAATACATAATTTCCATGCAACACATCTCAACCTGCATGTACGAGTTTTTAAATTCGAAATATCAAAGTTATTTGCAATTAGTAATTCATTTTTTCAATCTCTTCTATATTCTATTTTGCAAATTGGATCAATTGACCGTCTCCCACAAAATGTCAACAAAAATTTATACCAAAAATTGATTAATATTCCGCCTGGAAAACGAGACATGGCTGAAGCCTTAAGGATTACAGGACAAAAAAGTCCAAAGTACAAAAAATCAAAAATAAATCAAAAACGTCGAAAATAAATAATGAAACATGTGAAAAAGCCACGTTCTTACTTTTTACGCTATAAAATCAGAATTTAAAATATCAATGTTAAAATCGCAAGATTTTAATTATTTACATAAAAAATAAAGTTGGGATACAGATTTTTCTAAAACGTATTTTCTAAAATTTTTTCTAAAAAAAAGTGAATTTCTAAAAAACTTTTTTCTAATGAAGGTGATTTTCTAATTTTCTTTTTTCTATATAATAAAGGTCATTTTCTAAAAATTTCTTGTACTAATAAAGGTAATTTTCAAAATCTCTTTTTCTAAAAATATTCAATTTTTGTAAAGAGGATCAATAGGTATAATATGATTAAAAATTAATTTAAAAAAATAAAAAATACTTGAGATTTTCTTAAAAAAAATTATAGTAAAAAATAGAAATTATGCAAATTTTTTAACGAAACTTTAAAATAATGTAGTCGAAAATCGTAATTAACAAATAGAAATTCTAGGGATTTTTTTCCTCAAGTTATTTAAAATTTTTTAAAAAAGCGTTTTATAAATAAATTAATTTTGGAAATTTTGATGCAAATTATTTTTTTTTACAAGAAAAACAAATTGTGATAAAAAATAGTAATTTTATAAAAAAATTTTCTTCTTTTTTCAAAAAGAAACTTAATTTTGTAAAAAAAATTGTGATTGAGAAACAGAAAATATGCAAAATAATTTTAATTTCTTAATCTTAGTTTCTTTTTTAATAATTTTCAAACTTTTATCAAAATTATGGAATTTTATAAATTTTAGGAAAATAAATATTATAAATCATAACTTATTAGAAAAACTTTTTTTAGAAAACAGATTTCATTAGAAATCGCTTTTTTTAAGACAACAAAGATTAGAAAATATTTTTTAGAAAAAGTCATCACCTAAGCTAAAGTATAAAATTCTTCACAAAAATTCAATTATTTTCATAAATAAAAAAAAATCTTCACAAAAATTCAATTATTTTCATCAGTAAAAAAAATCTTCACAAAAATTCAATTATTTTCATAAATAAAAAAAAATCTTCACAAAATTCAATTATTTTCATGAATAAAAAAATTTCTAGAAAAATTTCAATTATTCTATAAAATTTTTAATTAACAATTATTCTAAGAAATTTATTGAATAATTGAATATTTCTTAAATATGTATTTTTATAAAGAACTTTATCAAAAATTTTCAAAATAATTAAACTCTTTCGAAGAATGTTTATAAGCATTTTTCTAAGAATTCATTAAAAATTATTATTATAAAAATGATTGAATTGTTAGTGAAGAATTTCAATAAAATTGTTGGAAAAAATTAAATTCTTTCAAGAAATGCAATTAAAAATATTTTTAAAATAATAATTAAACTCTAATCAACAAATTGTATCAAAATTTTTTAAAACAATTGAATTCTTTTAAAGAATTTCAATAAAATTTTTTAAAATAATTAAATTCTATGAAGAACTTTAATTAAAAGTGTATTGGAAATAATTATTAAATTCTAATAAACAAATTATATAAAATTTTTTTAAAACAATTTAATTCTTCGGTAAGTTTTATTAGTAATGAAAGTAATTGCATTTTTGCAACGAATTTTATTTAAATTTTTAAAAATAATTGAATTCCTGAGAGAAGAATTTCATTATTTTATAAAAATAATTGAATTCTTGAGAAATAAATTTAATTTCTTTGAAAAAATAGAATTCTTGGAAAGAAATTTTTTTTACAAAAATCTTTTTAAATTTTAATTAATTTTTTTCGTAAAACTTTATGAAAATTGTGTTTTTAATCATTGAATTCCTGTGGAAATTTTACTATTTATGAAAATAATAGAATATTTGTAAAGAATTTTTTAACAATTTTTTTAAATAATTGATTTTTTCAACAAATTTTATGAAAATTGTGTTTTAAATAATTTAATTTCTGTGAAAATTTTATTATTTACGAAAATAATTGAATATTTACAATGATTTTTATTAAATTTTTCTTAAATAATTGAATTCTTAAAAAGAATTTTACTATTTTTAAAAATAATTGAATTCTTGTGAAAAAAATTAAATTTTTTTTGAAGTAATTGAATTTTTGGGATGAACTTTATAAAAATCTTTTTAAATAATTAATTATTTCCGAATAATTTAATGAAAAAATTCCTCTAAAAATTGAATATATTTATAAATATTGAAAATAATTGAATTTCGAAAATTTTTCGAAAATAATTGAAATAATTCCCTAGAATTCAATTATTTCAAAAACATTAATTTTTTTTCTCAAGAATTCAATTATTTTTTATAAATAATAAAATTTTTCTCTGAAATTCAATTATTTTTAAAAAAATTTAATAAAATAAGTTGTAAAAATTCAATTTAAAGAATTTTATAAAATTTTGTTGAATAATCTTTTTATTCCAACTATTAGCGAATGTAATTTAGTGCAAATTCTCAAAAAGTAAAAAGTAACTTTTAGTGTCATATCTAAAAAAAAGTATCCGAATATTCCTTTGAAAAAAAATCACTGTTATCATTGACATTATTTTCGAGCTTTTACGAACAGTTGATGTGATTTCATTTACTGTGAATCAGTTTTCAGTCATAGTTTTTATAAACACCTATATTCTTTTTTTCCAGGCGGGATGTTTACTAAATACGATAATTACTTGACTGCTTATCGAAAAATATATTGAATTTGTTTCTAATTCTCCTATTTATTCCATTGTCGATGCAATGAAGAGTCAGGCAATTGTTCCAAAATTTTTGCCAAAATGAAGAAATAGAAGAAAATTGACTAGAGAAATATTAGAATAATTTTGGTTAGTAATATAGTATATAGGTTTTTAAAGCAAAAAACAGGGTGAAACTACAGGACGATATCGAGAGAACGTAGTACTGTGTTTTTGGTAAATAATAAAAAAAGAAGCATTTTAATCTAGTGCAAATTTGTGCCTATGAAGGAGAATAAAAAAGTGATTGGTGCTAATTAAAAAAATGGGTAATAAGGTTTTTTTGATGCATCACAATCACAGTCTTGGTCAATTTACGATTTATTCTAAACAAATTTTTAGCTTACGAGTGTCCATTATATTTATCTTTTTTTTTCATCCGAGAGTAATACGTAATTTTTTGTTTTTTATGTACATAACACTGCCGACTTACCGCTTCAGTGTCGCGTTTATAAACGTTATTAAAATTATTATAAATATATCGTACATTTTTCATCGTCACAGTACTAGGATAACACGTGCGTTTTTTTCAACCGAGTTATGCGCTTCCATTTATATATATATATATATATATTTATATATCAATATTACATTTTTTTCTATATGCGTACATACAAGTCATGTATATATGCACATTGGAACGGATTACCACGCGTTAAAGGCTCTGGGAGCTAGAGTGAATTTATTTTCGTAAAAGAGAATTTAACGACGAAGAAGATATTTGAATTCGGAAGAAGCCAAGAGCACGTAGGCAATTGTCAATGTTGTTATTATATTATTATATTGCTGTTGTTATTATTATTAATATTATTATAGTTATTAATTTTGTTCTCTAAAAAGGAGGAAGGATAACGAGAATCCGAGAGGTTGGGGGTGGGGGGGGGGTGAGGATAGCGACACACTGTCGTCGTATCATCGTTAACAGCGTTCGTATCTTTATATAAAATATACAAAAATATGTCAGAACGACTATTCACATATTATCGAGTGTTAGAGACTAGAGTCAGTGAGTTTAGGGTAGAGAAACGCTTACAGTGGGTCTTTGGTAAGTTCCTTTTGGTAGGCGATCGGCGACTGTATCGCCTTAAGGAAGTCACGTTGGGTCTGAAGAATTGAGTTGATTGTGTCCACCCATTCTTGTTTGCTTGGCCCAGACTCTTCCGCAACGATGCACACAAATCCCAAACCTGGCTTTCGCGGGTCCGTCGAGCGAATCACAAACTTTTCAGGATCCTCCACTGTCTCTTCTAAACTCAATTTATTTACCTGCGTCAATCAAATCATTAAAATCAGTTAAATGTTAAATCTCATTTTTTTATCTCCATTTATGCAATCAAATTTGTCGATTAGTGAATCGACAAATTTAAATTTTCTCACAAAAAATAAAAATTAATTTCCTCCAATTTTCTATCAAACTCGAAATTCGTGAAAAATCCTTAAGAGCAGTGTTCGGATACATTTTCAACTATATTAATATCTACACAGAAACAATTGATAGGCATAAAATAAATTTAGCCAACAAATTTTTTAGCTGTAAAAAATATTTTGTATAACTCATTCGTCAAATTTTAAAAAATGTGTGTTAGACATTTTTTATGATTTACAACATTTAAAAAAATTTCTTTTAATATTTTTTTTAACATTTAAAAAATGTGTTTTAAGAAATTGTCGACTTCTAAAGAAAGTTAGTTTGTTACTGTTTGATTTTTTGTTTCCTAATTATTTAAATAATTTTCTCTTTTTCAATGTTTTCAATTTTAAAATTAATGTACTGAAAATTATTGAATTCTTGCAAAGTATTTATCAAAAAATCTGATAAATTTTTCATAACTATAAAACATGAAGATATCGATCACTCCGAGTCGAAGACTCGGAGTTATTGATATCTTCATGTTTTATAAATGATGATCAAGTGATAAAATCATTATTAATTCAATTATTATTTTCAAGAATTTTTAACTAAAATTCTTCTTTAAATCGATTATTTTTAATAATTTTCGAAAAAGTTCTTTGACAATTTTCAAATCCATTTCACGGAAATTCAATTATTCGTAAATTCTTCAATTAAATTTTAAATATATATATATTAGAAACTATAAAAACTTCAAATAATATAAAAACAATTCTATATTAAACTTTTTCAAAAAAAAAATTAATTTCAATTTCTTAAAATTCAATTCTCATAAAGAATTTTATCAACAAATTTTTTAATAATTAAATTCTTTGGACGAATTTTAATAAAATTTTTAAGAATAATGATATTTTTCGAGAAATTCGATTAAAACTGTATTAAAAATAATTAGAATTCAGCGAAGAGTTTCATTATTTATGAAAATAATTGAATTCCTAAAAAGAATTTTATTATTTTTTAACAAAATTAAATTTTAGCGAAGAATTTTTATTATTCTTGAAAATAATTGAATTTCTCCAATAATTTGTAACTTCTCAAAAATTAAATTTTTTTAAATGTTAATAACTAGAATTCTTCTATAAATCCATCATTTTTAATAATTTTTGAATTATTATTAATTATTATTATTATTTAAATACAAAAATAAACAATTTACTGAATAATTAAATGTTTCTTAAAATCCAATTCCCATAAAAAATTTTAACAACAAATTTTTAAATAATTGAATTCTTTCGACGAATTTTAATAAAATTTTGAAGAATATTTTATCTATATTTTTCGAGAAATTCGATTAAAATTTATTGTTTTTCAAATAATTGAAATTCTGCGATAAGTTTTATTATTTGTGAAAATACATAATTGAAAATCCTTAAAAAGAATTTTATTATTTTTGAACAATATTTAATTTATGCGAAGAATTATTTCTAAAAATTATTTTATTAGTAATTTCTACTAGAATTTTTAAATCTTAATGTAGTTGAAAATATAGCTGAAACCTCCTCTTACATAATTTGAAAATAAATAAATTTAATTAATTGTATTAACATTACATTAATAAGTGAAGAAAATATAATTTTTCCCTACCATTTTCTTTTGAGAAGAAAAAAAAATTTTTTTGAAAGAAGTGCAGTTAAGTCTAAAAAGAAAACTGTTTTGTTACCACATACCTGGATGTGAGCTTTGTAGTAGTAGCCAGGATTAACAAACTGAGCTTTTTTGCCAACTGCCTCGCTGAAGATTATGTTCTGCTCAAAAAGAAAGACCTGCCACTCTCTTCCGCGAGACGGCATCGCCGACAGTTCAGCGACCATTAATGGACCGTGGAGTAAGAGTTTACCCTGTGCTGTTATTTTACCCTATAATGGATTTCAAAAAATACAGATTTCTAACGGAAGTTATTATTTTCAAAGATTTTTTTTTTCTAACTTGCTTTCAAGTTTACTTTCAAAATACAGTTTTCAAAGAAAGCTAATATTGTTTATAATTTATTCAAAGAGAGAAATTCAGTGAAATGTACGTTATTCTAGAGTTTTTTTTATGCAACTCAAAATCTGCATGGAAAAATTAAAATCTAAACTTCTCTTATAATTTCTATTATTTTTCATCGTCAATCTTTTTTTTTTGATTTTTGTTACGTGAAATTTCAATTATTCGAAAATTCTTCAATTAAATAAATTTTAGAAAATAAAAATATCAAATAATTGCAAAAAAATTGAAATTGAACTTTTTAAAAAAATTAATTCTTCAAAATTGTTAGTTAAAAGTATGAAAAATTCAGATTTTCAAAGATTTTATTTTGAAACCTTTTCAAAATTCAATTATTTCTGAAAATCCACGCTATAATGATTTTAATATTCAATTATTATCAAAAATTCTAACAGAAATTCATTCTTAAATCAATTTTTATTAGAAATTGATTTATTTCGACGAATTTTATGCAAATTCTAATTTAAATATATATATTTCTGAGAAAAATTTTTTAATCATGAAAATAATTAAATTTTTACGAAAATTTTTACTAAAACTTTTTTTTACATAATTGAATTCTGTTTGGAAATGTTATGAAAATAGTAGATATTAAAAATCATTGAATTGCAAATTTTTTAAAATAATTAAATTTTACAAAGAATTTTATTTAAATTTTTGAGAATAATTGAAAAAATAATTGAATTCTTGGGAAGAATTTTATTAAACTCTAAAAGAAGAATTGAATTATTTTCAAAAAAATTGAATTAAAATTGTGTTTAAAATAATTGATTTTCTTCGAACAATTTTATAAAAATATTTTAATATAATTGAATTCCGTTGAAAAATTCTAATATTTTTGTAAATAATTAAAAAATTCTTTCAAATAATTTTTAAAAAACTTTTTTCTAAATAATTGATTTTTTCGGGGAATCGAAATTAAATTTTTAAGAATAATTACATTTTTTGAGCAATTCCTGTGAAATTGTATTAAAAATAATTGAAATCCTGCGAAAATTTTATTATTTATAAAAATAATTGAATTTTGAAAAGAATTTCATTAAAATGCCTCAAAATAATTGAATTTTCGGGAGTAATTTTGTTAATTATCTTTAATAATTGAATACTTTTGAAGAATTATTTATATAAATAATAATTGAATTCTTGGAAAGAAGTTTATTAAAATTTAAAAGAATTGAATTATTTCAAACAAATTTAATTAAAATTAAAATAAAAATAATTGATTTCTTTCAAACAATTATTTATTAAAATATTTGAAAATAATTGAATTCCTGTGAAAAATTCTAATTTTTTTGCAAATAATTAGAAAATTCTTCCAAAGAATTTTAAAAAAACATTTTTTTTAAATAATTGATTTTTTTGAGGAATCGAAATGAAATTTTTAAGAATAATGATATTTTTTGAACAAATTCCTGCAAAATTGTATTAAAAATAATAATAATTTTATTATTTATGAAAATAATTGAATAGTTGCAGAGAATTTTATTAAAATTTTAAAAAATAATTGTATTTCTGAGAAGAATTTTATTATTTATGAAAATAATTGAATTCTTGCGAACGATTTTATTAGAATTCTTTAAAATAATTGAATTTTCAAGAAAAAATTTATTATTTTTAAAAATAATTGAATTCCTAAAAAGCATTTTATTATTTATGAAAATAATTGAATTCTTGCTAACGATTTTATTAGAATTTTTTTAAATAATTGAATTTCCAAGAAGAAATTTATTATTTAAAAAAATAATTGAATTTTTGTGATGAACATTGTTATTTATGAAAATAATCGAATTCTGCAAAGAATTTTATTAAAATGCCTCAAAATAATTGATTTCTTGGGAAGAATTTTATTAAACTCTAAAAAAATAATCGAATTATTTCGAAAAAATGTAATTAAAATTGTACTTAAAAATTGATTTTTTTTGTACAATTTCATTAAAATGTTTGAAAATAATTCAATTTTTATGAAAAATTATAATATTTCATGTAAATAATTGAATTCTTCCAAAGAGTTTGAAAAAAATATGTTTCTAAATAATTGACTTTTTAGAGGAATTGAAATTAAACTTTTAAGAATAATTACATTTTTGAGCAATTCCTATAAAATTGTATTAAAATTACTTGAAATCCTGCGATGAATTTTATTATTTACGAAAATAATTGAATAGTTCCTAAGAATTTTATTAAAATTTTCAAAAATAGTTAAATTCGTGAGAAAAATGTTATTATTTATGAAAATAATTGAATTATTGCGAAAAATTTTATAAAAATGTTTAAAAAGAATTGAATTTCTGTGAAATTCTAAAGTTTCTAAGGTGGAAAATGATTTTGAAATAAAATTTAAGGTTTTTAAGTTTTTCAAAAATATTTTGGGACACAAAAAACCACAACTTTTGTAGTAGTTTTAGAAATTTGATATTTTTCTAGTACTTTTCATAAAATTACCTGACCTGTTGCAACCTTGTATTATTATTCTAATATTGAATTTATTTCATTACAAAAGAAATCAAGATAAATCTCTTTCAAAGCAAGTGAGAGTTTGAAATAACCGGATACTTTTTCTACAGTGAGGAAGCAATAAAATTAGAAAAAAACTGTCGATAAGTAAAAAGGTAGTAATTCTCACGTCAAAATTTTGCAATCTTCCAACATCCATCATATCGTTGGCAGCTTTAGGAATGATTCGCATAACGTGAGCAGCTGCTCTAAGACCCTCGATTTCCGATAAACGTCTAGTTCCTTCCGTCAAACGGAGTGCCTCGCGAAGCAAGAGTTGATATTTTGTAATCCTCTGTACAGGTTTGATTAATAAATCACAAAGCTTAAGTCGGTGGCCGAGCTTTTGTCTGAGTTCCTTAAACAAATAGAAAGACAACGTGTTTAATTAGGTGTTCATGTTAATAATAATAATAATAATAATAATAAAAAAGTACATTAATCATTTTCAAAGTGTAACTTACTTCGAAATATTCGTCATTGTGCTCAGAAACAATGTACTCGGACTTTGGTTTGTTTTGACAGTAAACAACGTACATATGCAACTTCCTCTCGTAGCGTTTAAACAGTGGACCAAGTTCTTCTGGTCTTTCGAGACAGTGCTCCAGAGACTTTAGAAAACAACTGCAACGAACATACCAATATTATTATTATTATAATTATAATTTGAATCCAAACTTCATTAAATCAATTATTTTTTATAATTTTCGAAAAAGATTGAAAATCATTGAATCAGGAAAATTTTTGGAAATAATTGAAATTTTGCCAAGAATATTATTAAATTTTTTGAAAATAATTGAATTTCGGAGAAGAATTTAATTGTTTTTAAAAATAATTGAAATTTTGACAAGAATTTTCTTAAAATTTTTGAAAATAATTGAATTTTTGAGAAGAATTTAATTGTTTTTAAAAATAATTGAATTTTTAAGAAAAATTTAATTGTTTTTAAAAATAATTGAAATTTTTACGAGAATTTTATTAAAATTTTTGAAAATAATTGAATTTTGTAAAAAAAATTTATATTCTTTATAAAGATAATTGACATTTTGAAGAGAATTTAAAAAAATTTTTGAACATAATTGAATTTCTGCGAAGAAATTTTATTACTTTTCAAAATAATTGAATTTTTGCAACCATTTGTAGTTTCTCCAAAATTCAATTCTTTTTAGTGTTTTTTTTTAACTAAAATTCTTCAATAAATTCATTATTTTTAATTAACAATTGTTTTTTCCAAAAATTGCTTCAATAATAGTAAAAATTAATTTTTTTTATTCGGCAATTATTTCGTGGATACAAAAACGAATTTTTTTTACAGAATTACAGATGGATTTTAAAATCTATCAATTTTTAAGTTTTTGAAACATAAAAATTCAAAAAGGGTAAAAATAATTTCTGATCAATTGACTTCCTCTGAAAAAATTTCAATAAAAATAATTTGATGGAAGACAAATTTTAATGACACGGTTAAAAATTTTTCTAAACCGTCCCCTTAATTAGATTAGATAAAAATAAATAAAAGTCAATAATGTAGAATAATGAATTTTCAAAACAAAAGAATGGAGATAAATCTGATAACGAAAAAATGTTCAGTTAAAGAAATTATTTGACTTGTTTAACTCACTCTCGGTGGAATTCGTAAATCGCTTCAATATTTCCGAAGATCATTTTGTCCTTTCCACCCTTGAGATCATCGGGAAGGGGAATGTCAGTTTCTGGATCTTGCATCAGAGCAATGTAGCCCTCGACGATTTGCCGCAAATCGCTAACGTAATCCCGCTCCGTGTCAACCAGTTCGCTGATGACGAATTGCCTCTTCGCCAGAATAGTGCTCTCCGGATCCTCGCCTCCCTCGGTTATCGACACACTGCCAGCCATTCCGCCGCTGTATCCTCCGTCGGCGGACGTCGCTGCGGTTCCTGATAACGTCGGCGACCCAGTCGACGTCGACGATCTAATTGGAGTTCGGATTTGCGAGCTGTGCTGCCTCTCTCGATTCTCTGTGTGTTGCTCCTGCGATTCACAATATATTTTTAATATTTTCTATACTTCATCTCACATTTTCGCTACATTCTTACTATTTCAACTCTCGTGGTTCTTATCATCACAATAACATAAATTCTCTACAAAATATTGCTATTTATAATTTTATACACTTTACATGTTTCTAGAAAAATTTAATTTTATTATTTAAGGTAAATAATAATAAAAATATATTTCATCACTTTTTATTACTTTCATTTATTTCTTATTTCTTTCATTATTTCTTTACTATTAAATTCATTTTATTAATTACAAAATTCATTTCTACAATTTAAAAAAAAAATTCAAGTCAAAATTATTTTACCTTTTTCTCTAAATTTAATAAACAAATATAATTTTTAACCTAATTTTTACAAATTATTATAAATTCATTTTTCTTTGTAATATCTACATTCTCTACAATTTTGTTTGTCGAATTCAGTATTTCAATAGAATTTTATTCCTAAATTACAGGCCTCGGATTTTATGACTTTTTCGACTATTTTCAAAAAAATGCGACTTTTTACGACTTATTTTCAAAAATTGAGACTTTTTCTACTTTTCTTTCAACTATTGCAACAAAATGTCCACATTTTAAGTATAAAATGCAACTTATTTCGATTTTTAAAATGTAAAAAGTAACTATATAGACAAATCTTTCAAAAAATTATTTTTGAACAATTTTTCTAATTCAATGTTCGAAATATAAAATTTAAAAAATTTTGAATAAATGGAATGTTGAAAAATTTAATTGAAAATAATTGGTTTTTTTCAAGTATTTTATTACAATTTTTGAAAATCAATTTTTCAAGAATTTTATTGCAAATTTTGAAAATAATTAAATTATCAAAAATTTTAATAAAAAATCTTCAATTATAAACTTAAAAATGAAAATTGATTAAAATTAGCTTTTAAAAATTATATTAGGTAAAATATTTTTGAAAAAAGTAATTCCTAGAATTTTTTCATTCAATTTTAATTTTTTTAAATTCAATTATCTCAATATTTTCAATTATTTTCAATATTTTCAAATACAATTCAAATTGTATTTCCTAATTTTATAATCCAACATTCCTAATTGAAATGTTGGAAAATTTAATTGAAAATAATTGATTTTTTCAAGTATTTTATTACATTTTTTGAAAACAAACTTTTCAAGAATTTTATTGCAAATTTTGAAAATAGGTAATTGAATTCTCAAAAATTTTAATGAATAATTTTCAAGTGTAAATTTGAAAATGAAAATTAATTAAAATTAGCTTCTAAAAATTATATTAAAATATTTTGGAAAAAGTTATTCCTAGAATTTTTCCATTTAATTCTAATTTGTAAAAATACACTAATTTCAATATTTTCACTAATTTCAATATTTTTAATTATTTTCAATATTTTCAATTATTTCAATATTTTTAATTATTTTCAAATTTTTCAATATTTTCAATTATTTTCAATATTTTCAATTATTTTCAATTATTTTCAATATTTTCTATTTTTTTCAATTATTTTCAATTATTTTCAATTACATATTTTCGAAAATTTAAATACATACAAAAAAGGACATTAAAATTTTTTAAAACTATTTTTAACATTTTGAAAAAAAATCACTTTCAAAAATTTTTAATTAAAATTCTTCAAAAAATTGATTAGTTTTTTTAAAAGATAGAAAAATTATTTTGATAAATTTATTTATTTATTTATATTAATATACAATATATTATTTATATAAATTTAATTATTTTCGAAAAATTAAGCTACAATATTTTAAAAAAATAAAAAACTAATTCTTTTAGAATTGTTTTATTATAATTTTATTTAAGATTCAATTATCTTGGAACAAAATAAATTGAAATTTTTCAAATTTTAATAATTTTTTTCCTGGATTTCAATTTTACAAAATTTTAATTTTGCAAAAATTTTTTAATTATAGGCATATTTTTTTAATTTAATTATTTAAAAAAATTGTTTTCATAAATTATTTTCAAAAAGTATTCAAATTAATTTTTCGAACTCATTAAAATTTCGGAGAAATTATGTTCAAAATTTTAATTCAAATTCTTCAAAAAATTGATAATTTTTTACATTTTTCAAAAATGTTACCAAATTTTATTTGTTTGGAAATTTTAAAATATTTTTTAACATTTTATTTAGATAATTAAAAAAAAATGTTTGTTTTCACTGATTCACTAAAATTTTAATTAGTAATCAAATAGTGAACATTTTCTAAAATCTTATAATAATTTTATCAGTGCGATTAATGTGTAATTCTTTTTTTGAAATTATGAAAATCGTAAAAGTCAAACAACATAAGTTGTAAAAAAATGTTTAAATTATATTTTTGTAACAAAAAAAATTTTCTAATTAGAAAATTTTAATTGTAAAAAAGGGTTTAATTAAATTCAAATTTAATTTTGAAGGGTTGTAAGTAGTTGTAATTTTTAAAACATTAAATTTCAGAAGGTTTAAAATTGAAATTTAAAAAATTTTATTTCTCGTAGAAAAGCAAATATGAATTATTTAATAAAATCATTGAAATTTCTTAATTAAATAATTGAATTTAGAAATTAGTGAAATGTCAGAGAAATACAAAATGAAATTTTTGAGACAACACTGAATAAAATAAACAACTTTTTCGACTTCTTTTGTATTCTTAATCGACTAAAGCGACTTTTTTTTGCGCCCTCAAGTCGATCCGAGGCCTGAAAGAATTTTAATTCTTGAGAATTAAGAATTTTATTTTTATATTCTTTCAACAAAAAATTATTCTACAAAATCGAATTATAAATTATCGTTTTTCCTTTAATTATTCGATTGCACAAAATTTAGAAATTCTTTTCTAAAATTTGAAAAGAAATTAAATAATAAAAAGAATTGAAACTGTAAATAAAAATAAAATGGCTAAATCTGTAATTCAAAGTCAAACACAATATTTTCTATTTAAAGAAGCAATATTCAAATGGAATGTTCCAAATTAAGGTTTTTATTAGTAAATTATTCAAAGAAGTAAATTTCACACTAGCCATTAGCTTATTTTTATGACAAAAAGTTTCTCATTTCATTTCCTGCAAGAAATTATTTATAAGTTTGAACCACCACGAGAGTAAAATGATGAGTATAGTTATTTTATCAAAAATGAAAATGAAATTAAAAAGAGATGAAAACGAAGCGATAAAAGTGAAATGACTTGGATATTTTTTTAGCGCATGCTTAAAATATATTTTTTTTGGAATATCATTATCTTTTTCCTATTATAATCATGAATTTTCACGACTAAAAAAAAACCCCCATGCTCAAAGAACAGCTTTGCCGTCGTGATAATCAAACGACTCATTTCATATTCAAGCGATATCATTCTCCTAATGAAAAACCGTACACGTAAGTCGCCTTGCTTATTGTAATTAAAATATCGCGTGCAATAAAGTTGCCTTTGGAATAAGTTTATGCAAGCGCCACTTGAATGCAACTTGCTCATTTGCATGCAAACCCTCAATCGTGGCAGAAAAGAAAATTCTCTCCTTTTCTACTGGGACTTGAGCATCAACTTACATTTTTTATACAATTAACGTTTAAAAGCAGATTAAAATATATATGTGCGGCACATTTTTTTATTGACACAAAAAAACACTAAAATAATTCCAAAAAAAAAAAAATTACCATTCGTTCCTTAACGATTTGTTCGATTTCGGCGATATCCGCCGGCGTGGCACCGTCTAAAGATTTTATGGTGCGCTCCGTATTCTGCAAATTTCAAATATTACAAATACTAATACAAAATAAAATACACTTGACCAAAAAAAAACATGTTTTTTACACCATATCTTCAGCTTCATTTTCGAAATTTTCAAACCAACTTCTTTTTTTTCCTTCTTCAAAGGAGTTTCTCTTTAAAAAGAGATACCGATTTTTAAAAACGTGTGAAAAACAAAAATATTACTGATTGTAATATTTAAAAGTAGAAAGAGTTTGATTTAATGCGAAAAAAACACTTTCAGGAATTCATATAAAAAGTATTCGAGGAAAAATCAAAATGATTGTAAGATAAGAGATAAAGGAGGATAAACATGAGCTATTTTCAGTGTAAATATATATCAGCTCTTTATTCATTCTCCTTTGCTTCTTTAGGATCTGAAACAGTTCTTTTATGTAAAACTGAAGTTTGCAACGTTTACAAAGCGAAAAAAAATCCTTCTAAACAATTCAATTATTTTTTTAAATATAGTAAAATCTTTACAGAAATTCAATGATTTTCAAAAAAAAATTTTAATTGAATTCCTCGGATGAATACAAATATTTTTAAATATTTCCATAAATTTCAATTATTTCCTAAAATTTTAATAAATTCTTCAAAACAATAAAATTCAACTATTTTTATAAATTTTTATGAATAAATTATAAATATTATAAATAAATTCCTTTGCAGGAATTAAATTATTTTTAATCTTTTAAATAAAATTACATGGAAGAATTTAATTATTTTCAAAAATTTCCATAAAATGCAATTTCAACCAGAATTTAAAATTCTCTAAAAATAATTCATTCTCAAAATATTTAAAAAAAATTCTATATCAAAATTAAATTACTTTCAATGCAGTTTTTAAATATGTTCGTAAAAAAAATTGACAGAATTCAATTATTTTCAAAAATAATAAAATTCTTATTCAATTATTTTGAATATACTTAATTTTAATCAAATTCTTTAAAGAAATTTCATTATTTTTAAAACAACTTTAATTGAATTTCTCGAAAAATTTTCATTATTTTCAAATATTTTTGTATAAAATAATTTCAAAAATTTAACACAGTATTTCAAAAATTTAACTACTCACAAATTATTTCTGAAAACATTTTTAAAAATTTGTTATATTTCTCTTCACTATTTTCATCAAAATTACAATTTTCAAACAACATTGGAGGTAAAGAAAAATATTAATTATTTCAAAAATTTGTTTCAGAAATAACGTTCAATTTTGACAATAAATATTTCTATTTTTCAAAAGAGATGTGCTTTTTTTTATTTTTCAAAAACACATAATTTTTTTAAAATATAGTCTACGAAAAAGTTATAGATCTATAAACCAATTGAAATAAATTCAAGGGAAATGATCAGCGAAATTTTAACCCATCAAAATTTATGTTGTTGACAGACGTCAATTTTTCTCCGTCATATTTTTACGATCAAAAAATATTCAAAATTTATTTTTGTTCATTTTAGAATTTTTTTTGAAGAAACTTTTTCAAAATTACACTTTACTCCACTTTTTAAAAGTGATATTTTACAATAATTTACAACGAATTGTTGCAAAGAATTTTATCAAAAAATTTCATGATAATAGAATTCCTTCAAAGAATTTTATTATTTAGGAAAATAACTGAATTCTAGCAAAGAATTTTATTAAAATTTTAAAAAATCCTAATTAAATTCTTTTGAAGAATTTCTTTGTATTTTTTTTAAACTAACAGTTTCTTTAATAATTTTAATAGAAAATTTTGAAAGCGATTGAATTTGATGAAGAAGAATTTTATTAAAAGTGAATTGAAAATAATTGAAATCTTGCGAAGAATTTTATTATTTATAAAAATAGTTGAATTGTTTCGAAGAAATTATTAAAATTTTACGACATAATTGAAATTTGTGGAAATATTTAAAAATATTCGAATTCTTTCGACGAATTCAATTAAAATTGTTTTGAAAATCATTGAATTTCTGCAAGGATTTTACTATTTCTAAAAATAATTGAATTATTGCGAAGAATTTTACTATTTATAAAAATAATGAAAATGTTTCGAAGAATTTGTTATTTTAAGAAATAATTAAATTTTTATGAAGAATTTTATGGAAATATTTGAAAATAATGAAACTTTTTCGAAAAATTCAATTAAAGTTGCCTCGAAAATAATGGAATTTCTTTAAAGAATTTGATTAAAATTATGTATATTCAAAATAATTGAATCACAAGAATTTTATTATTTTTTGAAAATAATTGAATTCTTTCAATTCTTTTTGATGAATATATTTAAAATTTGCATTCAAAGTAATTTAACTTTTATATAGAATTTTTTTTAAATATTTTGTTATTGAATTATTTTTAGAGAATTTTAAATTCTTGTTGAAATTGATTTTTACGGAAATTTTTGAAAAACAATTAAATTCTTTTATGTAATTTTATTTAAATTTGATTACAAAATAATTTAATTCCTGCAAAGAATTTTTGTATTTATAAAAATAGTTAAATTCTTTCGTAAAATTTATTACAATTTTAGGACATATTTTAAATTTATGGAAATATTTAAAAATATTTGAATTCATCCGAGGAATTCAATTAAAATTATTTTGTAAATCATTGAATTTTTGTAAAGATTTTACTATTTAAAAAATTAATTGAATTAATTGCGAAGAATTTTACTATTTATAAAAATAATGAAATTTTTTCGAGAAATTCAATTCAAGTTGCTTCGAAAATAATGGAATTTCTTTAATCAATTTCATTAAAATTAAATTCAAAATAATTGAATTCGTCTCAAGAATTTTATTATTTTTTGGAAATAATTGAATTCATCACAAGAATTTTATTATTTTTTGGAAATAATTGAATTCATCACAAGAATTTTATTATTTTTTGAAAATAATTGAATTCTTTCAATTTTTTTGTCGAATATATTTAAAATTTGCATTCAAAGTAATTTAACTTTTATATTTATAATTAAATAAATTTATATTTTATGATTATAGTCATAAAATAAAATCGGTCAGAAAATAATAAAAATTTTACGTAATATTCAAATTATTTTCTTGATATAATTAAAAATATCTTTGTACACTGTCCTTGAAAAAAAAAATTGCTTTCGATCACGGAAAGCAAAAAAACTTGTTTCATTTCCGAAACGTTGCAAAATCCAAGTGGAATTCGAATGAATTTTGCTAATGAATACCATGACACCAGTGAAAATGGCAAGAATGGCTAGAATTTTGCCGGCCACTTACTAGTGAGGTGCCTCGTTTTCCGGGCAATTCGTCGGGGGCAGTTGAACCTGGAGGACCGTTTCCAGTTGCCACGAGAATTGGTTCTGTGATGGGTTTCATGGGAGGCGGCAATTCCAGATCGTCCTCAGCGTCCTCGCCGCCGTTCTGCTCGAGGAAGGCCGGCGTTTCGCTGTCCTCGTAGCCCAATTCCTCCTCCTCCTCGCCCTCGGACGTCGCTCTAGCCGCCGATTTGTCTCCACTTGGAAGTTTGAATCTTTTATCCGAACTGGTCTTCTTGAGTAACGGAGGCGGTGGAGGTGGAGGCGGTGGTCTGTCCGCCGTCGACGACGACTTCTCAACTTTTCCTTGACTAAGTTTACGCAGTGGAGGCGGAAGCCATTTTCTTCTGGAAACAAAAATAATCGTCAATTATTAGCTCAACTTCTTTTTGTCCTCATTATTAATAAATTATTAACTAGCAAAATTGTGTATTGCACTGAACTTTTAAATAATTTCGAACTCTGTTAATTTAAGGAAATTTAAAATTTTATATTTTTAGTTTTTATTGGCAAAAAAGAATTTTTCAAAAATTTTTAAGCTTTTTGTCGTTTTGAATATCTGTGTGATAAAAGACAATATTTTTATTAATTATTACATTATTATATTATTATGATTTTTATTAATTAATATATATATATATATATATAATAAAGTTGAAAGAAATATTAAATTGATATATATTTACGTATAAAAATAAAAAAAAAATATTATAAAAATAAATATAGGAGAGTGTAAAAACCATAGGTAACAAACGCGCGTGTCACACTTCTCCTTTTTCTTTTACTATTAAAACATAAATAGTTTCCTGACTTATAAGTAGTATAGAAATACTTGAATAAAAATAACCGCGTATTTAAAAATTTACACGTTTTTATTTGACGTCAGCAGCGGAAAATTGAATCGATATTTACTTCAATTGATTAAAAATAACAAGTGTGTAACTATTAACGAGTGCTTCCGAGATTTTTAATTTTCACTAATTGTAAAATAAGAGAAGAAAAATTATTTTAAAAAAAATATCTAAAAACCATTTTCACTCTTTACATAAAAGTTGATAAAAATAACTATTTTCGATTGTCAATTGACAATTTTACAATCCATTTCTTGAAAAAAATTCTTTTTTTCACATTATGTGCATAATGTCGTTTTGTTCACAAAAATTGTACTTAAAACAATTAACGAAAAATAAAAAATTTTTAATTTTACGTTTTTGTTAATTTGCTTCTTAATTTTCGAGAGGTGATACAAATAAATGTTCGCAGGAAAATATTAATAGCTACATCTAAAATACCTCCAGTTTATTGTGAAATCCATGGGCTGATGAAAATTTCCCAATTTTCCCAATAAAGATGAATAAATTAGATTTTTTAATTCTATTTGCAAAAAAAATTAACGTCAAAATTGAATATAACTTTTTCTCAAAGTATTAAGTTAGAAAATAATAGTTCTTCGACCGCAGAACTTATATTAAAGATTGAATTAAAATAAAATTCCTTTCTCTTTTTTAGCCTTCATAATGAAGTGAATGATTTTCTGTATATGATCAAGATTAACGGTTTTCTAGATATAGAAATTAAAACATCTTCCGAAATTATTGTTTCAAACCATTGTTAATAAAACTTTACCACGTAAACAATTTTTTATTACTTTTTGACCTCCCCCCCCCCTCCCTCCCTCTATCATGAAAAATCGTGGACAATAATTTTCTTAAATAGTTTTTCAATTACGTAGAATTAAAAAATTTCTAAACAATTAAATTTTGGTAAAATCTTTTTAAAAAAAATTGAATTTTTGAAAAATATAAAAAAAATAATCAATTCTTTAAAGAATTAAAAAGAAATTAAAATTAATTAAAAATTAAAAATGATTCTTAAAAATTTTAATTCTATTATTTATTGTATGTAGGTTGAATTTTTGGGAAATATATAATTAAAAATATTGAAAATACTTAAATTTTTTAAAAAAAGGAATAAATTTATAATGATTTTAAAAATTTTGCAATTAAAATTTTTTAAAAGTTGATTTTCAAAAATTGTAATAAAATACTTGAAAAAAATATTATTATTGAAAAATAAATTTAAAACTATGAAAAAATGTGAGACTTACTCTGAATTGACAATTGTTTCATGAAAAATTCTGGGAAAATTCAAATATTATTATTATTATTATTATTATTATATTTTTGACCCGAAAAAGAAAATTTAATAATTTCTTTCCTGTTTGAAAAAAAAGTTGCGACAGAAATTGCGTCTTTGAAATAACCGTCCCACATTATGGGAAACCTCATTAGCTTGAGGGTTTTTTTTTCATTTTTCTTTCTCTTTTCTACAAAAATATAGGTAAAATAATTTTTAATAAAAATTAAATTAACTGATGCGGTTTATATACAAAAAAAAAATTGTAGTGACGAAGAGTTAATAAAGAAATATTATTTTTAAGATGTGAAATAATGTAGATCTTTGGAAAAGTTGAATTACCCAGCTAAATTGAATTATGAAATTAAATTATTTTAATTAAAGCTCATTCTTGTGGTTATTTTTCTCTCCTCTCTTGTTTAATTAAATTTCCTCATAATCCGATTCACCTTTACTGTTGGAATTATAAAGTAAACTTTAATTCTGCATGAATTAATAAAGTGCGTAGGTATTTAAAAAAAAAGCGGAAAAACTAAAAAATTTTAATTTACAATCTTGCTAAAATAAGGAAAAAAATTTTCATTTTAAACTGATCTACTTTAAAAAACTAAAAAAATTATTTTCATAATTATATCCTATTTTATAATTATTGCTTTTAATGACTTCAAACGTCATAAAATAAAGTTGGTCAGCAAATTTTCTTTTACTATAAAAAATATTTCTTTCTCGACAAAAATATTGTTAAAAAAATTTTTTAAAATAATTTTAATTTTGTTTATTTATAATTTCAAAGAAATTAAAAATTTGAAAATTATAACTGCAATTCTTTTAAAATTTAACAATTTTTAGAATTTTTATCTTAAATTCGTCTCTGAAGCAATTAAATAAAATAAAAAAAAAATTTTTTTAAATAAAAATAAGGAAGTAAAAAATAAATTTAAAAAATTAATTAAAAAAGCAATTTAAATAAAAAAATTCGATTTCTTGTAAAAATTGTATCTGCAACACTTCATTGTTTTTTTTAATAAAGCATATTGAAAATAAGTAAAAAAAAAATATTCAAAGAAGTTGATTTTTAAAAAAATATTAATAAAAAGTTTTTTTAATAAGATTTTAAATATTTTAAATATTTGAAATTAATTTTTGAAAGTTAATAAATAGTTTTTTAATTCTGTAAGACTGAAAATTTTCCAAACAATCGAAATTAGAGTCAAAATTTTTATAAATAATAGAATTTTTTAAAAGTATTTTCGGAAAATATTAAAACATAATCAAGTTTATTATGACAAATTTTATTTACAATTACGAAAATGCATGATTTCTGTAAAATTTAATTAATTTAAATGATAGATATAAAAGTAAAAAAAAAATTCTAATTTAGTTTTTTTGAAGACAATTGAATTATAAAAAAATTAAATAATGGAGAAATTCTAAGAATTAGTTTTTTTAAAATTGGATTTCTCAAAAAAATCTCTTCGATTTTAAAAACTAATCAATTTTCTGAAGAATTTCAATTAAAAATAATTGAACTTAAAATTATTAATTAATTTTAACTTTTTTAATTGTCATTGAACTAATTGAATTTTAAAAAATTATAGTAAAAACATTCAGCGAATTACTTTTCTAAAAAGATTTTAATACAGTTGTTTGAAAATAATTGTTCATAAATTTTCATTTTTAAATTTTGAATTGTAGATTTTTCAATAAAATTTTTGAGAAAAGTCAATTATTTTTAAAATTTGGAAATAAAATGTTTAAAAATTTGATTTTCAAAATTATGAATGAATATTAAAAAAAATTGATTATTTTCTATAAAAATTTACAAAATTTCAATTATTTAAAAATTTTTTTATTATACATTTCAAAAATTTAAATTATTTAAAAGAAATTATTCAAAAATAAATTTTGAAAGTTTTGATTATAGTTATTTTTCACACTATAAAAATCGTTATAAGTTTCATTTTATATAAGAATAAATAATTTTTTTTTGTTGCAGTATTTATAAATTTAAAAAGTCGCATTTATTGAAAATAAGTCGAAAAATGTCGAAAAAAGTCGTATTTTTTGAAAATAGTCAGAAAAAGGCCAAAATAATAATTTTAATGTTTAATTCAAGATTAAAAAAAAAAATACTTCAATAATAGGTAAAAAAAATTTTTAAGCCGACAATTTTTTCTAAACATAAAAATACATTTTTCAGAAATTTCGGATTTAGTTTTGTCAAAAAAATTTTTATTTTAAAGTTAAAATATTTCATGACCAATTTTATTGATTTGTTTGCTAAAAATTACTCCAAAAATAATTTTTGTCAATTTTTTTCAAAGTAAATCTTAATATACTTGATTTAAAAAAACTATTTGTTTGAAAAATATTTTAATTCAAAAATAAATTCTGTTTCGATTTAAACTAAAAAACCTATTTTAAAACCTATTTTAAAAATTTTATGTACAATTTAAAATTAACATGCAATTAAAAATTAAATTAAATTTACTTTTTTGAATGAACCAAAAAAGATATTTTTGAATTGCACTTAAATAACTTTGACTGTACAGCAAATAGTATTTCATTGAAACAAAATGCATGGCAAGTGAAAAGCTTTGGAAGTAATTAAAAGTATCAGATAAAAGGCAAGCCATATATACCTATAAAAAAAATTCTTATTATTTCTTAATAAGAATTCTATTTTCTGAAGCGTATTTATAACTTCGTCAATAATCCTGACAATGAGGCTTACTAACAATCTCATTCACATCAGGCTTTCCTTGAAAAAAAAAAAAGAAAAAAAATGAAAAAAAAACCAGATACAATAGAATTCGCTCTGTCTAGTTTATTTGAACAAAACAGCATTCCCCATTTCCCAATAAAAATATAAAAATAAAACAATCCCGTCGTTGAAAAGGAGGCCAAACTTACGAACTGAAACCCCGTCTCTTGTTTCCTGGTGAGCTTGTGTTGGCTGGTCCGCTTCCGTCACTCCCAATGATTTCTGGAACAGACAGAACAAGAACATTTACCTTCTTGACTGACAAGTCATCAATTGCTTACTTCTAAATTTCAAACACAGATCGTCTAGTCTCTCTTTGCGCAAAAAAAATAAACAAACACAAACAAATCTGGCAATTTTCCAAAAAGTCGAAATTTCCTTCACATGGCTTTTTTATTTTCGACAAGTCGTCGAGTTGGAAAATCTTAAAATCTGTTCAATTCACATGATTTCTTGTAAAATTACACTTTTGGCAAAAAATATATATTGACTGATTAGACTAATTATTTCCAGACAAAATTTTCACTTTTTTCTTGATCCTAAAAAATATTCTGATTCAATCTAAAAAAATTATAAAAATTATAAAAACTTGAAATAATTTCAAAAATATTCAATGAAACTTTTCGAAAAAAAATTAATTCTTCACAGAATTGTAAGTCAAAAGTATAAAAAATTTAAATTTTCAAAGATTTTAATTTGAAACCTTTTTCAAAATTAAATTATTTCTAAAAATTAACGCTATAATGCTTTTAATATTCAATTATTAATTTATTATCTATAATTTAAAGTTTTAAACTAAAATTCATTTTTATGAAATGAAAATCAATTTTTATTAGAAAATTTAAAAATAATTGAAATTCTTTAAAAAATCAATTAAAATTGTATTGAAAATAAGTAAAATCCTAATAAGAATAAATTTTATTATTTATAAAAATAATTGAATTTTTTACGAAGGTTTCTTTTTTATATATAAATTGACTTTTTGCAAAGAATTTTTATGACAAATATTGAAAATAATTGTAAAAATTATTTAAATAAACTCCACTATTTTCAAGAATATTGAAATAAAATCTTAAAAAACAAATTCAATTATTTTAAAAGAATTTTAATAAAAATCTTGCCAAGAATTAAATTATTTTCAATACAATTTTAATTACATTTTCTCGAAAGAATTCAATTATTCAAAAAAAATGTTGATAACATTCTTGAAATGAATTCAATTATTTTTAAAATTTTTTATAAATACTTTACAAGAATTCAATGATTTTCAGTAAATCGACTATTTAATTATTTCTGAAATAATTCGACTCTTGAATAGAAGTTTCTTGAAACTTTTTTAAATATCGAATACTTGCGTGAAAATTTATTATTTCAACAAAGAATTGAATTTTTCCAAAATTTAAAAAAAGTAATTCAATTTTCGTGAAGAATTTTATTAAAATTGTATTTAAAAAAAATGAATTTCTATGAAAAATTTACTATTTTTTTTTGATATTATTGAATTCTTTCGAAGAATTTTAAAAAAATGTTGAAAAATAATTGAATTTTTCCTGGAATTCAATTAAAATTGTATTTAAAATAATTCAATTCCAGCGAAAATTTCATTATTTCTAAAAATAATTGAATTCTTGAATTGGATTTTAAAGTTTTTTTAATTAATTGAACTTCTGTGAAAAATTCAATTATATTTTTTTTCAAATAATTGAATTTTCGCGGGTAATTTTTACAAGATTTTTAAAAATAATTGAAATTTTCGAAGATAGCATTTAAAAATGGAATTGAAAATAAGTGAAATCCTAATAAAAATTGTATTATTTAAATAAAAGTAATTGATTTTTTTACGAAGATTTTTATTATTTAAAAAAAATTGTTAAAGAATTTTATTACAATTATTAAAAATAATTGAATTCTTCATAAAATTCAATTATTTTCAATTTTTTTGATAAATAATTCACAAGAATCCAATGATTGTCAGTACATTAATTTTAAAATTGTAAATATTTAACACAAACAATTTTCAAGAATGTTGATTATTTTCAATACAATTTTAATTAAATTTTCTCGAAAGAATTCAATTTTTTAAAAAAATTTTGATAAAATTCTTGAAACGAATTCAATTATTTTGAAATTTTTTTTAAATACTTAACAAGAATTTTATTGAAATTTTTTGAAAATAATTGAACTTCATTCTAATTCAATTATTGTTTTCTAGAATTTTTAACTAAAATGTTTTCTTTAAGTTAATCATTTTTAATAATTTTTAAAAAAGGTCTTTGAGAATATTCAAATCCATACATTTAAAATTAAATTTCTTCAAAGAATTTAATTATTTTCAAAAATTTTGATAAAGTTCTTTAGAAAAATTCAGTTTTAAGAAACATATTCAAATATTGAATAAATTATATTTATTTTTGTAATCAAAATGATTAAATTTTCTTAAAATTTCAATTAAAATTTTAGAAAATAATTAAATATTACAGAGGCGTGAATTTTTTGAAATAATTTAATTATTTCAATTATTCAATTCAATTATTTTTATGAAATGTAAAATACAATTCTATTCAATTCAATTCTATTCAAAACAATTTCATGAAAGTATTCAATTTTTTTCTCAATTTGTTCTCATAAAAAAATTTCAATATAATTCAATTATTTTCTAAACTTTTAATTAATCCTTCGAAACAATTCAATTATTATTTTTAATACAATTTTTATAAAATTTTTCAAAAGAATTGAATTATTTTCAAAAATTTTAATAAAATTCAATATAATTAAATATTTAATTTCTTCAAATAAATTTCAATAATAAACACGATTATTTAAAAAACTTGAAAGAAATTGTTGATAAAATTAAATTATTTTCAAAATTTTTAATTAAAATTATTAAAGAAACTCCATTATTTAAAAAAAAATTTAAAGAAATTTTTCAAAAAAAAAAATGTAATTGGAATTTTAAAAAATTTTAATAAAATTCTTTACGAGAATTCGATTATTTTCCTAAATAATAAAATTCTTCAAAGGAATTCTATTATCATCGAAATTTTTGTAAAATTCTTTGGAACAATTCGATGATAGAATAATAATTTTTAAATTAAAAATAGGTATTTAAAAAGAAAAATTATTAAAAGTGTTAAGAAACAAAAAAGCAAATAACAACTAACTTCAAACTGCGAATAGATTTTCAGAACAAAATTTCAAAAAGGATTTACACTGAAAGCATTAAAAATATTTTTATTTCTGTGGAAAGATAAATAGGTAATTAATACAATACAATTTTAATTACATTTTCTCAAAAGAATTCAATTATTGAAAAAAAATGTTGATAAAATTCTTGAAATGAATTCAATTATTTTAAAATTTTTTTATAAATACTTTACAAGAATTCAATGATTTTCAGTAAATCGACTATTTAATTATTTCTGAAATAATTGGACTCTTGATTTTTGAAAAATTTTAAAAAATAATTGAATTTTCGAGAAGAATTTTATTAAAATTGTATTTCAAAAAATTGAATTTCTATGAAAAATTTACTATGTAATTAAATATTTATTTTTAAAAAATGATTCTATTTTTGAATGTTAATTGAGAAATTATGTGAAAAAATTGAGTCGTCAAATTTAATTTTTCGATAGCCACTTTTTTTAAAGGCAATTATCGAGTACGAAGTCTGTAATAAATTTTTCGTTCCAAGAAAAAATTTTGTCAACTGTATAGCAAATGCATTCATTTGGTTGATTCAGTGAAAATTTAGTTTCTTGAAAGAAATTCTTTTCTTCACTGCGAAATGAAAAGAATTTAAAAGGAAATGATATTGCAAAATAAAGAAGAGGGCAGTCCACTCGGATGTTGGTGTAGTGTCACTTGCAGTCTTTGATTCGACTCCAACACCAGCAATGTTTATACAATATTAACCTCCACTCGGAGATGAGATACTTCTGACGTCAGGGCACGATAGGGGCTCTTATTTTTAGATAGTACGCGTGCACAGGCGAGTCAGGTGTGAGGTGAGAATCACTCTCTTCCGCTCCCGAAATCGTATTTTCCTCGAAATTCGGACCCTTATTTGTAATCCTCACTTGCTTTAATTTTCATAATTATTTTTTATAATTACCAATCACCTTAATTAACCTCGTCAAGTTAAATAACGAATTTTACAAGCTACACGGTCTCAATAAGAAACTCGATAACTTTTTGCTGCTGCGATAAATTATTTATGATTTTGAAAAAAATCTAAAAGCAATCTCGATAGTATGCTATAAATAATTTTTTAAAAATACTGCTCCACGCATTTTCAATAAAAAATAGTAAAGGCGAAAAAGTAGTAAAAAAAAAAAATGCTAAAGATAAAAATACTGAAGAACAAAAAATAATAATCAGGGTTTTTATAAATATATTTCTTTGGCCTTCCATAGAATTTTACCACGATTGTCATATTATGTCAGTTTGCAAATGAAACAATGAAATCAGTTTTTCGGTTTAAAATTTTAAAAAATTCTCGTTTAGTACGCGAATCTAGAAAATATGTTCTACATACTTACAATTTATTTAAAACTTGCTGGCAGTATTTATTGGTACAAATTTTCGTAAAACTAACTTTTCAAATGAAAACAATTGCTAAAAATTGGTTCTTATTAATCCAAATTTTGTTTTTTTGCAATCAACTCAAGAAATAATGAGTATTAAATAATTTATGAGCATGTTTACAATATTTCGTTAATTAATAAAACTTTACCCATTGTGCCTGAATCAAAAAAAAAGTTTTGACAAAAATGAATCCAAAATCTGTAAATTTTATTTGCATATATCAAAAGTAAAAAGCTGTTAGGAACAAAATCTTTGTTTGGGATCTGCTCTTTTTTTCGATAATTTAAAAAGCCCTGGAATATTAAAATTTGAAAAACATTGTTCATTTAAGAGAAACGAAAAATTGAAGTAAAAAATTACGAGAAAGAATTAGAAAAAGAAGAGCTTATAAAACTGACCTCCCGATGATTCTAAATCTGAGTGGTTAGGAAATAGAAAAAAGCATCAGAGTTGGAAGTGATTCAAACGTTCTCAACATATTAAGGCTTTTGAAGATCATCCTTTAGATATACCTAAGAATTAATGAGAATGAAATTGACTCTCGTTTTGCAGCACGAGGCATATTGCAGACAAATTCGATTGTCCTATCAAAATATCTGTTAAGACTCAAGTATTTGATAGCCTATCAAACGATAATG